AGATCTCGCAAATCAAAATACGCATATTCAAGAAAAGGACATGGTGCGTTCAATGAAGAGGGAAATGAAAGAAACATCCACAACAGATGCTTCACTTCATGTGGCAGCTTTTGACCTTCAGAAAACTCTTCTTTGTCCACATGGACAAGTGTCCTCCTTTTACTACACACAGAGGCTAAAAAATTTCAACTTTACAGTTACTGACATTCAGTCCATGCAAACCAGTTGCTATCTTTGGAATGAGGTGGAAGGGCGAAAAGGCTCTTGTGAAATAGCGACTGCAGTGTTCCGATACCTGTCCTCTCTCACCACAACAGTGAAGACTGTGCAACTGTTCTGTGACCGCTGCAGTGGGCAAAATAATAACAGAGCTATGATTGTGATGTTACTCTATGCTATGGAGGAGCTGCATTTTGATGAAATAGCACTCAATTTTCTAATTACAGGTCATTCTCAAAATGAGAATGACACAGCACATTCGGTGATTGAAAGAGCTGTACGAAAAGTGAACATTTATACGACCGACCAATGGGAAACTGCCATTTCAATGGCGTTCAAAAAAACAAAACCCAAAATAACTCTGCTGTAGCATGGTGATTTCGTTAATTTCAAATCAGCATCTGACTTCCCTAAATACGCTGGAATTTGGAAGAACAATATTACAATTCAAACTGGCTCTCAGACAGGTGAAAGGCTCTATTGGTCCAAAATTTTACAGGCAAAATTGAAAAAAACTGAACCTAGTATATTGCAATTTAAGTACAGTTACTTGGATGAGGAGCTCCAGAAAGTTGACCTTAACTCTTTGGTTCGAAAGTCAGCAAGATCAGCAACACAAAAAATACAGAATATAGAAAAGCTACCCCAGCTTTACCAGGAAAGGCTGCCAGTCAGCAGTGAGAAATACAAGAGTTTGACAACATTATGTAATAAGAATTTAATCCCTCCAAACCACAAGGCATTCTACGAAATGCTTCCAGTAGTTGATGAAAGTTAGATCTCATGAAAAGAAAGACTATCTTAAAACAAAACATTCATTGGAACTTTTGTAAAATTAAGCTCATTTAAAACTGTTTTCATGCTGGGCATTTTTTTCTGTTTTCTTTAACCATCCCTGATTGATGATTTACAACAATTTCTTTCCTATATTTGTTTAGTAATTTAGTTGGTAATTGTTCTGAGAAGGTAAACAAATGCAGTAATCAGTAGCAACAGCAGTCTGATAAAAATTGGAGGCTAGATAACCATTGTCATCAAGATTCAGAAGCAGGAATATTTTTCATCGTGAAAATAAGCTCACAAAAAATGTCAAAAACATTGTAAAAGGGAATTATTGACGTTCATCAATGATAAGTTGCCTCTACAATAACATAATAAAGGGGCCCTAAGTCCAATAAAATTGTTTCTAGTCCAGAAAACTGAGAGCCAAAAAGGGTTAAGTCCAAAAAACTCCCAAAAAAAAAAAATTGGGGCGGAGCACAAATTTTTTTATACCATTAAAATATGGCCTTCTTTGTAACTTTGGTGGACCATAAAAACTAGACATCCTTGATGTAAGGTATTAGAGAAATATAAAAAAGAAACAAAAAAAAAACGTTTTTTGCGTTTTTCTCAAAACTAGAAAAATGGACTTAGCCCAATTTGGATTTCATGCGTCGATATATATCAAGCTTTTCAGAGTAGAAAATTCTGTATACAACAAGTTTCAACCACATTGTAAACAGCCATTATTGCGTCGTTTGCATCATAATAAGGGAAATTATTATTATGCGCATTCTGCTGGAAGTTTCTATGTTAAAGTATGGCTGTAGCGGTTGTTTGATCAAAGAAATTGAAAGCAAAACTGCCTCAAGTAAATTATCATTCTTTTAATTAAAAATTCACACCTATGAATGGGGAGAATGAAAAAGTTTAATGCTTTCATATTTTTAAATTTTAAACAATTAAATGTGGTGTTGTTTAGAGAGAAATTCTGAGCTCAAAAATATGAAGGGGCCTCTCATGGTCTAAATCCAGCCCTGAACATCACCAATTTTGGGATAGGTACCGTACATAGTAGGTACCGTCAACATATGAACTGAGTTAGGCCATTGGATTTTGAAAGGTGTACCAGAAATGTACATGGAATTCATGAAATATATAACACAATTAAAACCAAAATAGGTCTTTCGTTGAACGCCAGTTGTGGTCCCGGTGCCGGTATTCCAGTATTCTGTTATCACAAGCAGTTGGAGCACATATCCCACAGAGCACGGCGCGTTGGCAGAATCTCATTGTCTAGTGAGAATGACGTCATCGGAAACACCGCTCTCATTAAAATTTCAATGAACGATTATTAAAAATCTTGACCATGTTTATCATAATAAAAATATCAAAAAAGAAGTAAAAAATATTCTATCCTCAAAACTGCTCACCTATACAATGAAAGATATCTAGAAAATTACATAAAATGCAAATTTCTGCTCTGGTGATCACATTCCCCATAAGAGCTAATGTTGAAAAATATTTTTTTACATCACTTTTTTTTGCGCGTAGGATGGGTTTTTAAAGAATAAGGTCTATTAAAAAAATCGTGCCGTGGTTCCGTGACTCGTCAGACTATCGGTAATGGCTAAACAGGAAAATTACAACAAATACTTATCCCAATCTAGGCCTTCCGTATCAAAAAATGTTGATATTTTTCCATTACACCCACACTTTTTGCAGTAGTTTTTAAAAAAGAGTGTAAAACGAAAATTCAGTTTTGATATCATATCCATGAATATATCGCACAAAAACAAGTAGTTGTGAGCAAAACGCCCTTGCATTTAAAATCATTATCTCCATCGTCTTCACTTACTTACGGTATGTGGACATGGGTTTGCTACACTTGTTCGCATCAAGACGAAAGCGAGGAACAAACTTGATGTGCCATATCACATGAGATAAATCAGAGGGCTATTTGTGTTACGTACGTAAGAAGTGACAACTAATTTGAATGTTGTCCTAATAGCTCTATGCTACTGTATTCTATTGGGTTTTTGGTTTGAAAATCGTGGGGGTCTGCGGTTGCTTCCGATAAGCATGAGGGGTTCGCAGGCACATAAAGTTTGAGAACCACTGGGTTAGACCGTTGGATAGTCGTCGAGCTTGTTGAAACTTTCACGAAATCACTCAGTTTTATTATATCATACTATGGTGTTTATGAATTAGATATTATGCATATAATATATGCGCCGGTGCCTTTGCTAATGTTTCATGGTATAATATATATATATATATATATAGAAATTCGAAACGTCGGCAAATCACATCGTTTTGCCAACACTGCTCTATAAATCCTCAACAATGAATATACCTGGCGCAATAATGCCCCGTGAAGAAAACTCGAATCGATAGAATCAGAAGCCAGAGCCGCGACTACGATGGAAAAGGTACCAAATCGTCTCGAAACACGCCCATTCTCCGAGAGCGATTTTTCACTGATAATAGGAACCTTAACTTCGAACGAAAATTACAAGCTTTGGGAGGAAGCCAAGACTGGAAGCACACTAGAGTCGACGGGATGAAGACGTTCCCAGCCTCGATTATTGTTATGGGGTGATCAGGATGCCACAAGTAGCCATGCATTGGTCGCCGAAAAAAAAGGATGTTCGACTGGTAAACGCCTAACAAAATAATCCCGAGAGACGGTTTCACTTCTTTATGGAATTATCGCCACTTTTGTTATTAATCTACAGCCACATCTCATGTAGAGACACCCATACAAGGCATTTTAATGGTCTTGTAAATCAATCTGTACGTCATCATTCTCGCACTTCTGGTCTACCACTTTTACAACCGAGAGAGATCACATTCGTCTAGAAATCGACTGTTTGTCGTGCTAAACTACATTGATCTGCTCTTAGGAGTAGATTATTGATGAATTGTTTAGTGAATTTTGAGATAATCGCTTGTAGAAATGATAATCAAGCAGAAGAAATTGCCAGACAATTATACCTCGTATAGCTGTATCTGTTGTTCAGCTGTTTGAAATTTAGCGTGACGGCGCCTGTCTGTAATTTTATTAGAATCTCCACCATTTTAACATGAAAAATACTACTACTATATGGCGGAGACTCGGTCTTTACTAATGTTTTTATTATAGAATTTCATTATGCTTCATTAATCAAGGCATAAAACCTGAATAAAAAAATCATATATATATATATATACGAGGTATATTGGAGTCGAATAATGACTTACTAAAAAATGCATGTTCTCGCCAGTTAATATTTTATGCGATTTTTGTATTGAGTGGTAGGTTTTCTCTACAAATGTTCCCATTTATTGGGTATATTCAGTATATTGCAATATTTGAAGACACAATAACTTATTTGGCAAGTCAACGTGACTCGCCCCATCTCACATTTATATTAGATTTGCATACGAGCACTCTAATAAACAATATAAATATGTGTTGCAGATCTTCCTATTGAAATACTGATCGATTGTCCATTGGACCTCAGTTAATGAACTTCTGATACCGGCACTCTTGTTGCTATTTTCTGTTCATTTTTTTTTATCTATCATCTTTTATTGCAAGTTTCAACGCTTATCCTGAAACACGCGAATATGGAAATAGTCGGAGCCACCACCGAAATTCTCTGGACGATTTTCAGCGACATGAGTTTTTTTGTCTCATGTAATTCAGATCCCGAAAAGATTATTTTTCCATATGGTGACATCTTTAATATAATAATCGCAATCGGGCCATGTTGGTTGGTAATATCGACAAAGCCTACATGTCCAAGATTGAAGTTACTTATACGACTGAAACTTCGAACCCCTTGAATATGAAGTGGATATTAGATTAGAACATGTGGTGTCACTTCCGAATCGCGCCGCTCCTCTTCTTTATGAAACTGTGTGTTCATTATGTTCTTGTGATTCCGTTGCGATATGTATTATAGGAATTATAAATTGGCCATAGCTAAACCATCTTCCCAAAGCTTTAAGGACAAAACAATAATAAGAATGTATCGGAGAGGAATTCTGTCTATTACAGAATCATCGGTAATTTACACATGCATAGATAAAATGAAGAAATGTGTTATAAGTTATAACATAGGACATGCATTTAATGTCGACAATCGTGAAATGATTCACATAGGAAACGCATCACGGAACATTAATCTAGGATATGCGCTAAATAATATGGTGTATTGCCAATGACTTTATGAAATAATATAGAAGTGCGCAACGTGAATCAACAATTTCATTTCCTATTCACAAATATAATCTCAAAACAGTTTTGAAAACGACTTTACTACGATTTTCAACGGAGACAACCTTTTCAACTAACATTAATTAAATCTTGTACAGACAATTAACGTTAAATTTTTCATAAATCATAAATAATTTTTTAATATAACGAAATCTTAAATTGTGTATAAGTGATGAACTAGTATTGCAAAACAATTCTGTTCAAATTCTGGCTAAAACCAACCTTCTTGAACGTCAGTCAGAAAATAGTTCACTTTTCTCCAAAAGTAGAAAGTTCTCAAAATTCGGTTCTTGGGTTATAATTTTTCTTCAAATGACGAAACCTATCGGTTTCCAGGAGCATATTTCGTGCTTTCCTAACTAAACGAATGAATTCCTCCACGTCAAAACTGAAGTTCCAAAATTTAGCATGATCTCCGTAATGAGGATGAATTCCCCTGTCATGATCTCGTACTTTTGATTCATCTTCCCAAGTCAGGTACCGAAGACCCCGTAAGCCAGCAAGATCACGATAGCAACGGATATCACCACAGTTGTATCTGAAAAAGGGTAAGATTAATTTCTCTATGTATCGTTTCCAGTATATATTATCGGATATTTGTAGTGGTGGTCAAGTGTTCAGGTGAAAGTGAAATATAACTGACAAACACTCAAGATTTGAAGAATGTTGCGGACCACTGTATAATAACCGTTCTTAATTTGTCCGAAAACATTACATTTCTATCGAGGATGAATAAAGCACAATAGGTGTTAGCAAAAAAATGTAATTTGCCGTCGTTTCGAATTCCTACACAGAAAACTTACATCGTTTTGCTAACACCGGTTGTGGTACGTTTTAAATATTCGATAATTTGCTAATAAACCATACATGTCTATGTTTATCATTAAATGTATTTCTAAAATTAAATAACCCCACAAAGGATGTAACAAGAAACAAAACGTTTGAAATGACCGAATTGAGACTTTGAAATAGCCTTTTGAAATTAGCGCGTTAAGCGGGAAACTCACAGTTCAAATGCGACTGCCCAATCAGGCAGAAATAGAAAATGTGCGAGGCCAGCCCCATGCATTCCTATAAATAAATCTGTTTTCCGTGTTGTTTGAAGTTGTTCCAGAAAATTCATTTCATCGAAATCGTAGCTTACAACCTAAAAGTTAATAAAATCATTGTTATATATAAGGAACATGTTGCGAACAATATATTTATAAATCAAAAGACAACGAGAACTCTTACTCGATATAACTCAACATTGTATGAAAAAGTAGGTTTTCATAGGTTTAACACCACTGTATAGCAACTAGGCTTGCACGTAATTGACAAAAATCAATTCCGTAATTACGGCCAAATCGATTACGTAATGACCCCGTAATTGCGATATTTTTTTCACACATTTAAACCTATCATAACAACCAATTTAATCCACTTCTATTCCGAATGGGACATCGAAGTTTGGTTTTCATATTCCCGGCAGTACTACACGCCGGCGACAGATGTTAAAGACAAATATCAAGGAGTGAATTCAAAATAATTTTATTCTGATTTTTATCTTTTGTATTAGCTTTGATTTTTTTTATCCACTTTATCACCAAATTTTATGCGATCAATTTTATCATTAATAACACTGGTAATATATTTAAGAAACGATAGTTCACTTTTTTAAAATCGTATTAACGTACGACTTTCGTATTAAATAAAAATTCAGGGTTGCTAATTTATTAATCAACTACAAGCGTATTCTCTCGTTTGATTATACATTCGCTCGCCTCGCGACGAAGACTTGTTATTTCACCGTTTTTTACAATATCCGACTTTACTACTTAGTTAGCATTTTATAATAATTATTGATGCCAACTTATTGACGATATTCCGAATTCTATGCTTCATTTTACATTAAATCATTTCGCGGCCTAAAAGTTATAACATTATTTGCGATAAATTTAGATCAAATATTAATTTATATGACATGCCTTCTCCGAAAATACAAAGTTATATCGCAAAACAATGCATTTTGTGACATTTATTTTGCACATTATTGAAAATATTAATTTATTTTTTTAACTCAAGTCGACAATCCTATTTGCCAAGATTGACACAAGTTTGGTCGAGTGCCGGTGGTATTCGAGTCGACAATAAATCGGCAATAAGTTGCCGCATTTGGTAAAGACAGGTAATCATGTTTGGCCGACATATTGCGAGGCACTGTGAAAACATATTGAGCAATGCCAAATCGGTAACAGAACATCAAGATTTTGTAATAGAAATGGACCTCGCGCAGAATAAACACGGAAAATCCCGTCGTATTGTTGTTTCTCTGCCGTCTCAATCGCTTTACCAATGCCGAAAATACTAAGTTGCGTTGGTTCATTACGCAATTTCTCTTCCGTCTTTATATTGATGTTTGATAAGCGCTTCATCAATTATCACGGCATTTACAAATACACCATGTTTTATAAGTTGATCTCTTACATTCTTTAGTCATTTCACCCGAAGAAGTTGAAACCAGGTGTGTTGACGTCCATCGGTCTCAACACAAGTCTATTCCTTATCTACGGTTAATATGTACATTGGCCATCCTAGATACGTTGATAATAGGTTAGTAAATGACGCGTTATGCCTTCCCCATCTGCCTAACAAGAGAGAGAAAAACGGCTGCGAATACCGGAACTCTAACTTCTTTTACTTAAACTTTAATTTTTTACAATCGACGGAATTGACTGCTCTGAAGAGAGCTCGTTTCAATCGCGAAAGCGCTCGACCAATAATTACGACTTTACGTAATTCGTAACTTCGCTTCCGTAACTCGAAATAATTCCGTAAATCCGTAAATTACGTGCAAGCCTAATAGCAACTACCATTTCATACCAGTGTATTAAGTAAAGTTCAGCAACTTTGTTAATATTGCCACTTTCATGAATATTATAAATACAGCCCATGCAGATCGCCGAAGAGCGTTTGCAGACGCGGATCACAGTCGGCCAGACCTGGGTACAACAGCTAAATAGGTTACGACTAAATAAGAAATTGTTCACAAATATTTTCTCACCTTAACTTCGATATTAGGAAGTTTATTCAGTCTCTTTACCAACGCTTCCAGGTTCAACACACGGCGAAAAACTAAACGATCGCTCTTTCCTCCTCTCGCAAGAAATGTGACCCTGATGACGTCAGAGACGTGATCCGTATCAGACTTAATCCCAAGTCTATGAAGTAAATGATCCCCAAAAGATTTAACGAGTCCCGATCCGCGGCATCCTTGTTCCTATATATAAACATACGTACTGCAAAAATTATTGGAGGTTGTCGTCTGGGCAAAAAAGTAAAAGACGAACGATTTGATAAAACATCAAGTGAATACTGTTTGCAGTAGGCCTATGCGATGTACATGCCAGTATCTTAATTTATGCATTTATTTCTTCACTCTATTTGAAAATATATCGATGTATTTTAACACGAATAGTTTTAATATATCGGATTACACTTGCCATCGTACCTGTGGTAATCTGGCATGGGCTATCATGGGTTGGATTCCGTGATAAAATTTCATACACTTTTTAAATAAAACGCCTTCTCACCAAATAAGTGCTGTAATAAAGACCGTGAATCATACGAGGTAGGAATGCGAAAGTGGCGTCTGGAATGCAGACTCGTTTATAGGCAAAATCGTGCAAAGATAAAACTGAAGAGTCTGTAAACGCTTTCCATGCGTCCATAAAAGGGTCACGAAATCTTGGGTGCTGTAAAAATACAAGAGTGGTAACTTTAATTTGGATTTTTTATATGTAAGTTCATTTTTTAGAAATTTAATATTAGGTTATTGAATTCGAATGATTGAGTTGCTGCATGAACAATTTTTTTTTAATTCCTTTTCATGGTAAAAACAGCATCTTACTATGCTTTATCAATTTATTTGAAAATTTTTCATGCTGCGATCGGCCTGAAAATCGGTTCGAATCTTCCATGTGTATCAAAGGCACAAATTTGCCATTGATATTCCAATCGCTGGTGGAAAAAAAATTGAGACAAAACCTAACCATAGTGTTCCAACGAGTTGTTCTGATAAAATACAGACTGCACTTACCTCATTCCATCGAACAATCTGAACATCTGTTCCAAACCATGAATTGTTTGCATGTTGAGTCAAGTAAAGATTGAAAAAATCACAGAAATGATGATAAAGATTTCCTACTGAATCAAGTTGTACAAATACAACAGGTTTATCTAAAATGATGTCACAACTTTTGTCAGCAAAAGGGTTACTTTTCAATGGCTGGAATGATTGCAGTTGAAAACCCCTGTAAAACAAATTTTGTGACAAAATAAAATGACAAAAAATACTTGGAATTTAATTAACCAATCGCAGCCAATTATCGATTTTATCCGAAACCGATATTCTATATTGGATCTTTCACACCGTCAAAGACCGAGATAAAAATAAAACAGGAGACCACTGCATGATATGTTCTAAGACTTTCTGCAAATACAGCGTAACATGCTTAAAATCGCGCATGCAATAAACGGCAACTTTTTATATATTACTCTCCTAGATTATGGCTCTAAAGTTATCTTATAATGAATAGCAATATCAAAATTATGACTGGAAAATATGTGGAACAAACAGACACTTTAACACGTCCTAGGGCAGGAGTGGGCAACCTTTTTCGGCTCGCGTGCCAAAATCGGCTGAATTTACTGACAAAACTCTTCCGCGAGCCGGCCAAAAAAACAATGCTTTTCTACTTTCACACAATAATAAACCTTTTAAATGTGTACGGACAGATTCACTATTCGGGAGAATATCACTCCGACAAATTGATTTGATTATTTTTCATATTCTATATCAGTGAGACTTCTGCTGCTGCATTACCGCTGATAGAGATTTTATATTGGGTTTATATTTTGTAACTTTCAGAGAAATACACGAACTCCTCACTACTGGTTTCATCTTTCAGAATACTCCTATTACGAGACTTAATGAAGTTCATAACTGAGAACAGAGATTCACAAGCACATGTGGATGAAAACATAGAGAGTAATGCAGTTGCGAAGTTTTCAAGAAAAATTTTCAGGAATAGCATTCTAATCACGCAATAGTTCCTTTTCTACACTCCTCTCTTGTATTCCCTTCCCCATTGCTCATATTTTTTTCGAAATCAATTTATAACAGTAATTTAGCAAGTAACTCTAATCAACATGACCTTTACAACTTCATAAATCAAGCAGAAATGAGAAAAAAGGGCAGCACAGACGAACTATATTATGTAAGAATGTATAGCCAAATGAATGCTACGCTCTTCTCAGAGCACTCATTTGTTACGTCATAATATATTTCTTTATAGCCAGATGTCATGAAAGAACAAAGAGAGTTTAAATAGATAACAGATTGTTAAACGATAATGAATAAACGAACACCGAGTTACATCAGATAATTCAGAGTCATGAAACTTTTTATGTCAATGAAAATGATCTCGTTTCCGAGGCCGAGGCTCGCGTGCCGAATAAATGGGCTCGCGTGCCAAGTTCGGGACGCGTGCCAGGGGTTGCCCACCCCTGTGCTAGGGAGAGTGTAACTACATGGTTGCATATACGGGTTTCATTCTAATAGTAAGCTGCGTGGAAGGAATATGCTCATCGATATCAACACTGCAATCAATGATCAGCGTCTTCATTGAGTACGTAGCGGGCCTACGAGTCGTTTTGATAAATTCCCATTGTTAGGTAAAAATCGTTTTTCTTCGCTACTAATGAACCATGCAATTAAATTCAAATATCTAATACTTGAAGACGAATGAAGCCGCCTGAAATGCATTACTTTTAATTATTTTTCAAATTCCTATGGTGCCCGATATTTCTATACAAATGTATGTTACTGTCTTTATTTTAAGTCAGCGGCACTAATACACTTTTTATGTCATTCGGGAACATTTTATTCGGACACACGCTTACGCTCGTATTGAGTACCGGTATCCAGCTGATGTGAATCAGAATTGCTACCCTTGTTGAATGAGGAATTGCTACTAATTGAGGCAGGCTCCTTCAAAACCATCCGACGGATTAAAATAGATATACATTTGTCATTTATAATTGTTTTGTCTGCTAACGCTCAGGTTATTCACATGAAGTCCGAATGGCGCTCCAGAAGTATGTGTATCATGGAGGTAACTAATTTTGTTCGCCTACTTCACACAAAGTTGAGTGGAGGCTGAAACCTATGGGCAGGGGGGATATTCACTTAGCTAACACAGACAGTGCCCGAATTCGTAACAGAACTAAAATAAGAAAAATCGAAATAAAATTATGGCCTAACCCTAACCTGGTACATACACTACGGGAATATTGTCTTAACAGTACGGTGGTTCCCACAAACCGCATTGAGTAACTTGATAAGATTCAGGGGGTCCACACCGGTTAGGGTGAACTTGTGCTTGGAATGTATGGTAATCAGTGAACCGGTGATTTTTTTAGGCGTTAGACGAACGCAACATATGGTTAACGTGCACCGCAGTCGACGTTATATTTGGCGTTTCGAAAGTTATGTATTAGAATTAGTTAAAGCGCGTTCTGTTCTCATCATGCTATCTTATGTAACGTTCTTGTAATGTTAAAGAGCTAGGTCGGCATGGTTCTCTCAAATAAGAAGACCTTTTGCTAGCAAGTTCGATGAAAAGAGAAGCTGTTCTTAATTTTTTTGAATGCCATCACATTTCAATATTTAAAGTTTTCGTGTGTACGTTTCACATATCTATATAAACTTACCACGTCGACAGTGATCGTTTTATTTTTGTTTCCTGCTTGAGAAGTTCCTTATTCAAAGAACAATATCCACCAATAACTCCATCATCAGGCACAAGAATGACGTTTTGATCTCTTTTATCAAAATTCGGAAAATGTATATAAAGATTTTTTGCTTTGCACATTGTTGCGTCCCTGAAAAAGAAAATGTTTTAACTCGTCGCAAAATTCGTTTTTGTTACGTTTTGTTTATAATGCGACCCCAACTTACAAGTTAGCATATAAAAATCTCTAATTTTACAGATGGCAATAAATCATTTGCATATGCCTCATGAAAACAAATAAACCAATTGTCAAATTTTTAGGTGAACGCCATCTCGCGTGAACCAATCTTTGAAAATGGAATTTTTCTCTATTGCTGAACGAAATAAATTGCCCTTCTATATGAATACATTGTATTTATTGGACATGAAGTATCTATATGGATCGTTTTCCGGAACCGTTGTTGTTGTTAGTCGCGATGTTGTGGGAAAAATTGCTTTTTTCTGCAGCTAATGGACAAATCTATTTCAAATTTTTGGTAATTGAAGACGGAAGTCGCCAGATTTCTATTACTTATATATATTTACTTTTTCAAATTTTTTACGAGGCCTATACGGGACCCAAAACTTACTATCCAAAACTTTGATGTTTTATTATAATTGATTACACTCCTCTATTCCGTCAAGCGTGCCAGCCGTCACGCCTGACCACCGATTTCTTCGGCAAAATAAGTCTTAGACTACCGAGATATTCAGATATATAATTATACTAATCAATTCGTCGTCTGGGAGAAATGCGTTTAAAATATGGTCAAGCATTGATCCCTTGTTTAGGAAATAACGGGAGCATCAATTTAGACATTTCGCGTTGTGTTAGATATTGATCTTGACGAACTATAATATGACATTAATCCGATTATTTCTGTCTTACTGTGTACATGTCAAAGATGACCCATCGATATTCTCAGATTTACAAATTTGACGAGATTTCATTTCCTCCAAGTGTTGCTTCAATTTACCGAAGTCGGCCTGAAATCAAATGGCAGTTCGATTTATAAATAGTTGTATTGCGGAAAATCAAAAATACCATAAACACGAATATTTCATTGGTTGCCCTAAAATTACGGGCGATAAATTATATAGGCTATAAGAACTTCCCGATATAATATGGTTAATTTAACTTGTTTGGAGATATGTATCGTGCGTTCTGTGTTCCGAACTGACGAAAATTATTCAAATATATAATTTAGAGTTGACAATTGCGAATGAAGTGCATGCTAGAAAGAAACTTTCAGTTACGTTGGGAATTCCGACATTCTGACAGACCTGAGTCCAATATTTGCGTTTTTCTTCTTTGGATGAACAATTTGTGAATTCATCAAAGTACGGTTTCTTGCAATCTTTCTCATATCCCCAGCATGATTCGGTCTTCAAACTTTCCTTGAATAAATGCACATTATCGGTTATTCCCCTTTAGCGCAAAAACGCTTTTGGTAACTTTACTTTATACAAATCCGTTTGTTCAAAGATTGCAATAGACGGTTGTTTTAATGGATCGATAAACAACCGCGAAGAAACAGCAACGCGTCGGCGTTCAGTAAGCGAGAAGTGTTATGATGGTCTTGAAGGAAGTCTGGTGGCACGCTTCACTAAATCACGGTACGAATGAGAAACAACCTCGTGGCAGAGATAATAGGGGAAATTTTGAAAGCGACAAGGCGCTCAAATTCTACGCGTCAACTTCATATTGTCGATAACTGCACTTATTTTAATATTAATAGTAAACAAGCAATCTAAAGCGCTTACTTTATACGGACAGTCTTCGTCAGTTGCACCCCCCCCCCCTAGTTCTCGATTATTTCTCAACACCATAGTAGCATGTTCGTCCAACAGCTTTAAACTTTGCCAGTCCAACGCCACTACTCGATATATTTGAAGAGTTAGTAAACAGAACGAAGCCGTTGCAACGGAAATATTATCAGATAACATTTGCCTTCTTAGTTAGCTTCGCCAAGTCGATCTGCCAAAAACCAAAATGATTTGCATCGGCAACAATTCAGTATAGTATTTGTTGCCTCGCCCTTCAGCACTACTATCCACCTCAACAGCGGAAGCGCAGGCTCGCCCACGGCATGTTTCTGAAGAAAATATTTCACTATATTGTCACAAAAGGCCTGCGGTTTATCCATCTGAACGATAAGTAAGATATCAGTCAGTTAACAACATAAGTTCATGCTTTGTTTCGCTTGGTTAAATGTAAATTGTCGTGACTTGCCGGTTCCGCCAATTGAATGAAAAGATAGACTTATCGAGCGCGGACAAATGATCACGAGGCAACCAATCGATTATTTATTATCCATTCAGCAGTATGCTCGGAAATTGTTTATATCAACTGAGGCTCCAGTTGGTCCGTACATGAGCTGTGGTGTCTTGAAATATGGGTAATACGATAGGTCACATTCACTGGCGCGTTTAGTATCTCTTTGAGGTGGCCATTTAATAACTGAATAGAATTCGCACGGTTTCAACATTCGCATAAAATACTCCGTTAACGGTTGTAGTTGTGCGCAAAATATCGATACAACTCAAAAGATACTTGTTATTAAAAAGATGAGTGTATTTTCACAGCCAACGATTTGCAGAAATTGACAGTGCTAAAATTAAAAATTCGCTAGCTCACCATTGCAGAGATGGCGAACCACTGGCCCGCGGGTCACAGATTACCTACGGCGTTTTTTCGGTGACCCGCCAAATCACGAATTAATTCAAAAACATATGAACATATATATCAGTGATGAAAATTGCTAACAAAACTGGCCTTATCCAATCTATCAATAAGTTGTAGTAGGCTACACTGTCAATAGCACAACAAGCTGAGACTCCGCTCCATATAGAATTTCTGGGAGATTAATGTACACTTGTATCTCTCGTCGTGTCGTAGTCTTGCCCGTCCCATTCCGTATATATTTCTATGCCTATTGCTGTTTGCTTATGCTTACTGAATTATGTTCTTGTATCGGAAATAAATCATTCGCCCCACAAGGATATCGATATTAGTTTTATTGCGGAATTGTATCTATAATGATAGAAACGTGCTCTCATCCTAACATCGGAAACGAGACGTTGAATTAAGGATTAAATCAATAATTTAATGATTAATTATAATAAATATTAAATTTGTGCAGTGCGTTATGCCTATTTACAAATTGAAGCGATATCATGGACACTATAAATAAAATGTAAAATAATGCTGAATTTCGCTTTAGGAACTCCGCGACAGATGAATAATGTTGTCTTAACTTAATCGGAAATCGTGAATTGCAAAAAAAAATCGCGTGGCTGGTTAACAACAGAAGCGATACCGCACGCAGTGTGCTATTTCATCTACTGCCCGTTTCAAAGGAGCCTTATTCAAATGACCGCTGCGAATTCATCCCGGGTCATAATAAAATGAAATATATACAGCTATTGGTAACAATGCTGTTACATTGTTTATAACTTGATGGTATAAGTATAACAATACAATTTCTCTGATTTCTCAATAAGTAACAATGACGGGATAATTCCAACTTGCGGAAACGCTCAGATACTTCTTTCAATCAGACAGATATTAAAGCATGGTTGTAAACATTGCCACTTTTTCGTTGTTTTGCGTGTTATTTGCCAGTGTTTAGTTATGTTTCCTAAATTTAGTTGTAAATCAAATAACTTGATAGTCAAATTAGTTCCGAAATAGCTGCAATAGACCAGGCAAAAATTAGCTATCAATGCCCGTAAGGTGGCACGTGGTTGATTTTTAATAAAAAATGATGGTTTTCAACACGTAAACCAGTTTTTAGGTGACAATCAGAACAAACACTTTCAATATGAGTACCAATAATTTCGCGACCTTTTTTACTTTTGACTACCAAAAGCCCTCCCCTGAAAAAAAATCCGAATAATTTTATTCTTCATTTATCATTCTTTTCATTTACTCTCCATTTTAGTCAGAGACAGTCTTAGGTCGCCAAGGTGGTTTCTTGCTATCCAGAAGCGCGGTCATGGTACTGAACGTACGGTATACCAAGTATGAGCTGGGTAAGACAATAAAAAACTTAACATGATCGCACACGTAAGGATATTCCAAATTTGGAGATTTATCAAGGAGTGAGTAAAATCTAGTAAGGTAGTTCACCCTGGTAATCCCCCTTACTTCGACGTGGAGTAAGTAGTAAACGTTCAATTGCTCATTCCCATGCAGAACTGTTTGAATAAGTGAGTATTTAGCGCGCGGGCTTAACAGCCTTTATGACCAAGACGACCTCCCATGTTTTTCGCCGTCGATGAAATACACAGTGAATCGTCAGCATATATATACCGTATATGGTTTGTTAATGAGGGTAATGGATGTTTCTCCGACCCTTGACCCCCAGACGGATAACTAATATTGGCTTAGTCTGTCGCAAAGTGACATAAACCTATAGTTTATAGTCACTTTGGTCTGTCGCAGTTTTTGCGGGACTTATATTTGATTATTATAATTAAACTGAAGCTCCTCGACGAGAGGCATAAGGACCCTTGAGTTATTTGATTTCCAACTAATTTTTGGAAACACAAGTGAATGCTGACAAATAACACGCAAAACCACGAAATGCCGATTTTTATGGTTAAGACCTGAGAAGCGGCGCGCTATTTTTTGTTTTGAACACCGTTCATTTTGCTATTTAAACGCCATAATACGCATGCGATGCGGACTAAAACACGTACGTGTAGGTTTTTACACATTCGCGAGTCTTACCAAAACGCTTTCGCGGCAGATCGTAACCTAAATAGTGGAATTACTGGTCGACCAAGACACCGCTGGGCAATCAATGCCGGTATCATACTTGTCAAAACACTCCATTTGGAATACAATTTGACCTAACAGAGCAACGTACAGCAACTTGTCTCTTCGGTAACCAAGCGCGGTTAAAAAAGAACGCTATTAATTTTATGCGGACCGGCGGTTGGGAACCATATAGCATACAAGATGCAAAACAGTTATATAATAAATGTCTAATCATTTCCCCCACTTCCTGGTGATGCGGGTATGTAAAATTGGAACGACACGCAGTTGGCATGTACAGCGATGCAAGAAGTCACTTCTTACGTTTCGCCCATCAAGTGTACTTCTGTAAAGCACCCATAACTTTTGCCTGCGGGTACATGTGGCGAATTTTGGGTGGGATTATCATACTTGGCGCAGGGTGTGGCTCATCGTGCTAAGCGTTTGGAATACGCTCGCCACCGCACCTCTGATTACTCTGCGTGGGTTCGAATCCCACGCAGGGATGGTTATGTGTGAGAGGATTGCTGGACTCGTCGCCGCCGTAGGGTGGTTCACGTAACCGCTGGTCGGTTACCGCTTCCGAAAACAAATAACTAATCCCATACCGACATGGAATGGTAACCGTACGAGAGGCTGTGTTTTGCCATATGGTTAAGCCGTCTTATCGGCTTTCCTCTCACTCGGGATAAATCCTATCCTATCAAAGATAAGTGATGATACTTCTACAATCCTATCATGGTAGGAGAGAAAGTCGATAAGGCGACTTCAATCATACCGGTATGCAGTGGCGGCGGGTGGTCATTTTGACAACCGGGGCAAGCTACTGCGGGACCAAGTCACCCCCATCTACGGGGACAGGATGAGCGCTGTAAGTTTTCCCATCATTTTATGAGTATAAAAACCATTCCATCGGTAACAACCAATCGGCAAAAGCGACAATTTTTAACGATAAGAAAGTGTCTTTAAAACCGGTCCAAGTCAAGGGATTAATAAATATAGACATAGTTTATTTTGAAACCTCTTTCAAAAGGAAAGGCAATATTTACCCAGATAAATACAATGACCTATTAACAGAAACTTCGGGAAAGCAGACAAAACCTAAAATAAGGTTTAAAACGTTACTATGAAGAAAGGAAAGGTAATGCAAGATAAGGACATGCGTCGCTCACTCATAGATATATATGCTGCTAGACTTCTACTGCTTGAACATATATGCAACACGCCGCGGTTTCTTGGAAGCAAAATGCTCAATAACGCGCTGATTAAAGTCATGCATCCCAGAAATAACGTCTCTGTGAATAGATAAAACAGCCAAGGAATTTAATCTATCTTGCTTCATTGTGTTTCTGAGATACGTTTTAATACGCTTCAGCGTGCTGAATGTTCGCCCTGCGTCGGCGGAAGAAATAGGCGTCGTCAAAATGATGTCCAGAATTTGTCATCAAAGAGAACGCGGCAAGGTGTTCAGTGCGCAGACGATCGCCTATTTGATTCACCAGAATGTCACAGCATTCCTTTGCAGACAAAATCAAACGCTGCGTTGTTTGCCCGCGGCGTAAAGAAGCACTCCATGTGTCGTCGTATTTTATTGTTTCCCGGATACGAGATACAGCATCGCAGAAGTCTGAAATACACGACTGCACAGACGCTCCATCCATTAGCCTTGACTGCAATGCGCCGTATAATACATCCACGTGATAGAATATTGTGGAGAAAAAATGAAAACTCACCATCTTCTAGCAGACGCTTTAGACCTGCTGCCTCCCTCACAGAGCGTTCGTCCCAAACCGGAGAGCTCTGAATGCCATTGAAACACTCAATGAGCTCAGACCTAATTTCGGACACGCCCTGCACCACGCGTGATTGGAAGTTCCAACGTGTTGGTGCACAAGCTGGGAGACGGCGGCTACATATCTGGCGAAGGAGGTCAGAGCTCTTCGGCGAAACGGAAAAAAATGAAGAAAACCCCGAAACATTTGAAAAAAATATACGGACGAGAGGGGTATCAAGACACATATTTTTAATAACGAGGTTAAATTGGTGTGCATAACAATGTAAAAAATGCGCATGAGGAAAATCTTCTTTTATATAAACTTGAACACCATGTTTCGACCCACTCATGACTGCCGCGCTGTCATAAGTTTGAGCTATCAATTTTGACTTCACGTTGTAAGGCTGTAACACTTCTTTCAGTACAGCCGATATCCCGCAAGCCGTGCGATCAACGATTGGTACAAAGCTGTGAAATCTCTCGGTAGGTTTACCATCTTTCACAAACCGAAAAATCACAGCCAGTTGGGAAACGCACGTGATGTCAGTTGTCTCGTCAGACTGAATCGAAAGGAACTGGCAATTCTCAATTTCCAGAGCCAAATGTTGTAAATAAATTTTATACATTGAGTCGAGCAAATCATTTTGGATATCCTTAGATGTCCCTTTCGAAACAGTTGCGGCATCAAGATGATCTCAATACTGTATCTAGGGATGCGGTGTATTCCACCATATCCAAAAGTACCCCTCTATTAGAAGAGCCAGCCCGTTCATCGTGCTCACGGAGGGACAGCTCGTGACAACCAATGAACTTCAAAACATCTATCAATCGACCGAGAACATGGCGGTTTTTCTCGACGTTTTGGTTGTGCCGACGAATAGAAACCGCGCGTCCTTCATCCAACTGTGCTGCAATATTAACATTTCCGAATGTTCGGTATTTTACTGCATTGTCCAGATGCTCCATAGAAGATTGATGATCCCTGGCACGCTCGGAAAGATGTTTAAGATCTCTAAAACCAAATTTACACCAACGTGAGTCACGGGCGGTAGCAAAAAGTAGGCAATAAAAACAAAAAAGTGCATTTTTGTCCTCGCTGTAACACAACCATTCGTGTTTTTTATACCAAGTTTCTGCGCAGAATGTACGCCGACGCTTTCCTCCGTCATGGGATTGTTCCAGTGAACAATTTTTTGGTTGATAAGGCCCAAGACATTGTACCTCTAATTTTTGTTCCAGCGGCAGCTGCGAAAACGGAGTGCGAAGTAGTGCATCAACCTTATTCATTATGAGGTCTAAGGCTAAGGAATGCGAAGCCGGAAAGAAGTGAGGAGCTCAAAAGGAATGTGGAAAATCGAAAGAAAATAGACTAAAGGTCTCTAACTGATTCAAATAGCGAAACAAGCGACAAAAACGAAGGCGAGGAAACTATCAACTCTTCAAGCAACCAACGAACGAGAAGGAATGCGTGAATATGTCAACACGTTGTTGTAAGAAACGTCGGCATTGTGTCGTTATAATTTCGGGGCTAGCCCCGATGATTTAGTAAAAGAAACAGAAAACAAACGCGGCGAGTGGAAGATAAAAGAGAGAATACGATATACAATGAGCAACCGAGGCAAAATCGGCGTCGCCCCGTCGACGTTCGGCGAAGGCTTTGCGTGCGAAAAATGAACCATGTCGGGAGAATATGGCTAGTGTAGACAGTCTGTGCAACCGATATTGAGGTATTTTTCGAATATTTTTTATTATACCGAAAAAACTGGCCCTATTGGCGCGCCGCCACTGCCGGTATGTCAAAATACGGTTTCCAGTTCACGTAGAATATGGGAATAGTTAACCACTTGTTCGTTTCAGGTGGATGGGCTTGATAACGGAAATCGTGACCGTGTCGGTGACTTGACCAAAACCCTACAGCAATTCACATAGTTATCTCCCAGGATTAAAACAAGCACATGGCAATCAGGTGAGGTGACAAGCGTTTTCTCAACGCTTGTTACTCACATTAAGACACCTGTTTATATATTATGAATATTTCATTTTTAAGACACAATTTTATATGAAACAATATTCAATTGAGATAAGTATCAAGTTTCTGAGAAAAACAATAACAAGGCAGCTTACAGTGGGATAAGGTACAGCACAGAACATGTAGGGTAGTTCATATATGTCTTGGCAGTAAAAGAACTGTTGATGAAAGTCATGATTGCGCATAAACAGTGAATTGGGGTCAGTTAGGTTTTGGGCCAGACTTCAACTGTCACTTCCATGCTGAAACACTTGATATAAAAATATATGAAAGGATAACATAGAATCATCAGATGATAAAAATAACATTTGGAATAAGATACTACGTTCAGACAACTCAAACATCGGAGAGTGAGACTTTTCAAATAATCAACCGTCATAAAAGAAGTTTTGTGTTTGGGTCATGTAAATCAGGTAGTTTATTTCCTCATAACTCGACATGTTGACTATTTTTTTCATTGATCTGCTTCATTCTTTTTTGAACGCGTGGATCAACTAGCAGTAGTGCTCGCGCATTTCTGATCAAAGTTCGAAACTCATTTGGATCAAAAGACCAATTCCAAAATTTCATGTGATCGCCATAACGTTTATGTTTTCCTTGATCAGATGGAATGGGTTTTGGCTTTTCCCATGTAATATAATCCAGTCCACGCAGACGGGCCAAGTCACGGTAACATCTCTCATCATCACAATTGTACCTACAATAATTAATAAGCAACATAATAAACCAAACACCTTGCAAAGGTTCTGTTAGATGCATTCCATTTGAATAAACAGGTTTGTACTCACCAACCGTTCAAAGTATTTCCCACAAACTATGAGCATGAAACAATTCCACTACCTGACAAAAATCCGAGAACCTCTTATTAATGCCAATCTCACACCTCTTCACAAAGTCAAACGCGAAGAACTTAATATTTTACTGGGCTTTATCGAAAGCTGGTATGTATGAACAATTGAAATTATTTGTGAAGATAACACCAGATTTTGTTTATATACTGCGCAAAACTTGAGCTATACGACATTCGCTGAAAGGGTCAGAATTTAACAATTTATATCAAGCAAATAAAATCGTTGAGTATCTCAGACTCACAATTCAAAAGCTACAGCCCAATCAGGTAGAAACAGAAAATGAATCAGCCCAGCTCCATGCATTCCAATAAATATGTCGCTGTTGTGTGTGATCTTCAACTGTTCCACAAATGATATGTCTTTCCATTTATATTGCACAACCTACATATTTTAAAAACAATTACCGTACTATTTCCAATCCTAAAATAAATTGCCCTCGTACTCCTAAATTTTGCATTTTTTAACAAACTGACGCTTGGATACTAGGTTTAAGATTTTTATTTTAACAGCATATTAATTTTTTTAGTTGTGACTCTTGTGAGATCCTTTTGCTTTCCTTTACAATTATTAATAAGCTATATAATTTTCAACATTTTGGTAATGTAAAGTATACTCAACACAATTTAATTGAACAGTAGGATTCCAAATATCTACCTTTATTTCAAAATCTGGGAATTCCTTCATAACTTCGATCAATTCATCCTGATTCTTAATTTTGCGAAAAACATGTTCATCTTCTGGTTTACCTCGTTCCAACAAAGTAACTCGAATTTTAGTTGAATTTTCTGTTGCAATATCATTTTGTGTCACTCCCATTCTATGCAGAAAATGTTCGGAAAAAGCTCGGAACATAGATGAACCAACACAACCATTTGGCTAAATTGATAAAGACATTGTCATGACAGTTAGCAAGCAAAATTAGCTTATATTGATGATGGTGTTATATGGAATATGTACAATATCAATATGCAACTTGGTGCTCCACATGTATTCAGGAATTAATGCGATTCTTGTGAAATGTAGCGAAACCAAGCTGCAGGTATTTCTTATCGTACTGTTATATCTGATAACATAGTTTATGATGATTTCCAATTGTATAATGTCTTACTATATATGTGTTGTAATACAAGCCACCTCTCATTCTCGGTAAAAGAGGAAACATTGCGTCTTTCAAGCAAACTCTCTTCCCTTTCCAGTCTTGAAGTTTAATGATAGGATGATCAGTGAATGCATTCCAAGCAGCAGTGGCAATGTCAAAATATCCTAAAGAAGACTTTGTATATAAAAATGAATAAGTTGAGGAAAAACATAATTTACATTGTGGGAAAAATATCATTTAGGTAAATTACAGAAAAAAATCATAGGGCTTCAAATAAACATCTTACAACTCAATATTATTATATATATTCAAGATATACACGGTGAAACAAGACTAAAAATGTAAGAAAGCTCATAGCGAATCATTAGCCCATGCAACTCTTTATTTAGTACTCTTTCAATTTATATTTATATTAAAGGCCCTGGGCCTTGATTTGAGCAAACTTGTATAATAAGAATATGTCATGTTATTTGCTGCATAAACGCAATTTTGCACAAAAACATTTTGCACACTTAGGCATAGGTACACAATCAATAAAACACGAAACAACTTGTTTTTGCATCACCTTAGCTTCTTACAACATTAAATAAAAACATTGAAAAAATATAAACAACAATAAAAATACATGTAATTCTTTATTAATTCGATGTATTAAATACAAGACCATATTAATTGGTGATTTGATTTCCTTAAAATAATATATTTGAATTTCTGGCTAGCGAGAAGCTTTAATATATTGCAAATATGCAATTCTAAGTGCTGATGACTGTCACTTGAACTTATAAAAACTAATTGTGTGCTCTCTACTCAATTTTCAATGTACACTCGGAAATACGAAAAAACTTTTGGCCCAACTTCACATAATTAAATTCAGTGAAGACAACTTACCGTATCCCACATAACGATTTGTATATCGGTGTCAAACCATGAATTGTTGACATGCTGAGATAAATAGAGATTGAAAAAATCACAAAAATGATGATAAAGGTTGATTCCGCTGTCCAATTTCATCAATACTGTAGGTTTTTCTATTATGACATCACAATTGGACCCATGATCATCATGCAATGGTCGGAAACTGAGATTAGTATAGTTCTGTAATTCGGAATACCTATGAAATAATAATACTATATTTAACACTTATGTTATTAATGACGAGGGATGTGTGTGTATCTGTCTACCTGTATTTATTATTATTTTTGATTCCTTAATATTTAGGTACTTTACAATGTTATTACAATTCAATTTCAAATATTATTAAGCGTTTCACAACATTAGGTCGATTATTTGGATTTTGAGCAAACTGGTTTTACACTGATACTATTATTTAAGACGTTCTGATTAATTGGATTCTAATTGTAACAATACAATACATAAGAAAATTTTGGTATGTTTGACAGCACAGTGGCTGAGCATAATAAAATAAGCCAATTAGTATTATAGGTTATTCAGTTTATTATTCACATATTTTTACATGCATCAAATACAACAACATTAGAGCTTATTTCTAAACATTTTCATCCAACATGATTATAAATAAGTAGTTTGGAGTGTCATGGATGCAAATACACAATATTTGGTATTCCCGTAGTGTGTGTGGATAGGGTTAGGCCATAATTATATTCGGGGACTGCCTGTGTTAGCCAAGTGAATATACCCCCTGGCGATAGGTTTCAGTCCCTTCACACAACTTGATGTAAAATAGGCAAACAAAATTAGTTACCTCCATATTGGTACACACACATCTGAAGCGTCCAGTATTTGATATGATATAAGATATATTTTTCATATACCAGGAACATCAATCTAAACTGGTTCAACGTATAATAATAGAGCTCTATCTTGCATCCACAAATCCTACCATGATTGCAATGGATAAGCATGCTGCCCTTGTTTATTAAGTAATTCCGAGTCCAATGTACAATGTCCACCTATCATTCCTTTCTCAAATATATCAGATTTAAATCTGTCATTTTCAGGTTTATGCTTTCTAAAATCAAGATATAGATTTTTCGCTTTGCAGTATCTCATGTGTCTGAGAAAAAAATAAACGTTTTTTCATTTTAGAACATCTACATTTCCTGTAATATGATCAAAATTCAAAACTGTTAATTTTTTTTCACATATTCCATAAAATCATATAATGTCACTGACTATCTCTTCTCACATAGAAATTTTTCACTAAGAAAGTAGGCAATGCCATGGTTTTCATTATACAAATGAATTCACTCATCACAATTGGACTGTTATTAAGTCTGTCAAATTGAATGATTAACTAGAAGATTTATTTATTTGAACTACAACAAATCATAGTTTGCAAATATTTTCACATAACAGTGTTTTTCAAATCAATTAAGTCGGGAAACAATTATAAAAAGTTTTTGTATAAAAATGGTATTATTTCTAATCAGTCCAGATAGAATCATTCACCGGATGATCAGTAAACACGCTATCAAACAAATAACTAAATAAATATGAAATGGGTGATCTTTCAGAAATAACAAGATGCATTATAGTTACCTCGAACATGTAAGAGAAGAATCATCAGTATCTTTAGGTAGACAGATTGCAATATCTTTCAATTCTTGCTGTATATTTGTTACAAACCCAAAATCAGCCTGTAAATCGTAAAAAAATATTTCAGTTCATGTATTTGATATATAGTATATTTCTACATTATATATCATCAGTATTTTGTAAGTGTATCATCATTTTGTCCTATACATATTAATTTTAGGAAATTAGGCAATAAATTATGGTAGCCACATTATGGCTCAAGTACCGTCAAACGATACTGTGACCTATGTTGACTAATGGCAAATCATTCACACGATTTGTCGGTATCCTGCGTGAAACACAATTTCCTAATATACGCTAGAGCAAGTGATCTGATCGAGATCTGCATTCAAAAATAACAACCAATAAATGGTATTACACTGATTGACTGCAGATGCCAAGAGCATTCGCATTCATTACGCGACAATCAGCAACATTCGGTCACAACTCACAAGTCACTCGCGGGTTGGGCACCCTTGATGTAGAGTTTTATATATTTTATTTTCGTAAATCTATGTGAACAAAACAGGAAGCTTTTAGACGTCAGTAAAACATGAAAATACATCTACATTACTGCTATATGTAGGATACGGTTTGTTAACAACATCCTTTATAGCAGGAAAATTATTTTAATATCAGATTGATGAGTAAAGGTAGTTGGAAATTGTGAGTTGACAGGCTTTAGCAAACAGTCATGTATTCTTTTTCGGGGGTTTAAAATCAATGCTATTATTGTTCACATCACTAACTGGGAAAAAAAAGAAGATTTTGGACAAAAGACAATAATTTTAGACTCTGAATAATAGAAAATTATACAATCACCAGATGTTGTATGGATAATATTTCCAAGCAACGAATAAATAAATAATCAGAATTTGAATATCTGAAGATTTTGGACAGAGGACAATAACTTTAGACTCCATATACATGAACATAAATAACATTACAGTATCGAATGACTGATTCATACTTACTCTAAACCAAAAATCATTCTTCACTTGTTGTGAACCACAACCTTTCGGTTCTTCCTTTGAATAGGATTGTTTTCTGTCACAATTGTCTTCATACCCCCAACATTGATTTGTTTTGTCATCAACAAGATCCTATAAAAATACATTGTAAATGGTGAAATCCATTACCATAATGAAGCATGTACAACTGACAACAAGCTGAGTATATTGTCCTATACAGATATACTCTCATTAATCAAATTTGTCTGTAAAAACAATCAAAACGTTTGACATATTTCGCTTGTAATATAATATCACTTTAGTATATATGATATCACAACTTTAGTGACCAAACCCAGTTTGAATATAAGTTAACCCACTAGTTATATATTGCGAAGAGTATTATCATAAAATATATCTTAGGCAACCAGAAAAATATGTTATGCAAATACACGCCTAAATCAATCCACTCCAAAATTATTTCATGAACAAACAATATGAAGTACCTGTTGTCAGGCAGACAAATCACAAATATTTACTAATCAATTGCATATTGTATACACAGAAATTCTTGAGAGCCCGCTGTGTACTATACAACCAACAACACAAGTATTTTAAAAAAAGATTAATATATTAAATATCTATCTTAGAGTCAGGGTTGTCCAAAACGAATCGAATATTCGAATGTATTCGAATATCAAAGTATTCGAATACCTTTTCGGCTGATTTTCGAATAATTCCGAATAGTAGCCACTTTTTGCGGTAAACGTGGTGTTTCGTTTTACGGGAATCTTTAAACGACTTTTTACGCTGTCTCACGTAATGACGATGAAATAGAATCGGCACATTGATTGTTTATATTCTGTGCGACCGTACGTCGCATAGTGTTGCGACACATTTGCACGTTTGCGTGGGTGGACATTGCCGACATTCGTGTACGAGGCTGTTAATTTACAAATTCATTTCCATTATGTCGAAAAATTGAGAAAGTATGTTTATTTTATTTCTATGTGGCCTGCTTATTATTCGCATGAGTCTTCTCAAGCATGATTTGTGTAACCTTATATTTGGGTCTTAGGGTCTGCCAATCATGATATATAATCGCAGGCTGGTTATCTTTACTTTAAAGAGAAACACGGCCACCAAGATAAAGTGATTTGTGATTGTGACCCTTTCATTTTGCCGATTCAGCAAAACACGACAGGGACAGGAAAACACAGCTGTGAAATAACCCGTGGACGTACAGTGTAGTACTTATCACATTCGAAAATTATTTCAACATTCGGGTTAATAAATTGTCCAAAATGATTGCGCTTTACAACTTAAATTTACCACTCAATTGTTAAAAATAGTTAATTCTGTGAGTATGATTCTACCAAACTAACATGATCTGGTTCTAAACATATAAAATTATTAGCGAATTTTTCTACCCGTCTCATTGGAGGCCTATATGGGAAAATCCCTTTTTTGAGTGCTAAAAATAGACATCGTCCTATTTGCCATGTGGACTTATTAGCCGGGAAATACGGTATTTATAGCCGTCATTGTTACGATATCCAATAAATTGTCACAAGTTGGAAAAACAAGTCGATTTATTAGAATATAATGTCTGGCAAATAATTCTGATAACGATAGTTAAAAGTATCGATCCTTTACCAGGATGATTTTTTGTTGCGCAAAATAATCCAATCCATGACTGGTACCAGCATTTAAAATGTCATGCCGTATTAATTTAATTCTGTTCAACGTAACTCATGGTTGTATCGGCAATCTGTGGACATAAAATGTGTAGTAAACTGACCGATATTATTAAATATTGATTCCTATTTTTATATTGATAAAATAATGAAAGTATTATTGGCCAAATACAACGGGTATTTGTGGACATGAAATATGTGGTAAACTGCCCAATTATAATTAATTTCGGATTCGTGTTTACAAAATAATAAAACTAATAATTCTAAAATGCAACGGCGATCTGTGGCCTTCAAATGTGTGGTAAACTACCCGATTTACCAACATTTGAGTTATGATAATAGAATTAAATTAACGCGGTAAGGCATTTCAAGTAGTGGTAGCGGTCATGGATTCGAATATTTTGCGCAGAACAAAATCATCCTCGTAAAAAGTCCATACTTTTAAATACAAACCACTGGCAACCATTGTTCAAATTAGTTCCCAAGAGCGGGATAAAATATAAATTCTTTTTCCGACTTGTGACAATTTTTCGTGAGTACGAAAATAAGAATCAAAACTAATTATATTCGGCCCAATATCACGGCAATCTGTGGACATAAATTGTGTGGCAAACTCGCGATTAATATTAACTTTTGATTCCTATTTTCGTATTTACAAAATACAACGGCAATCTGTGGACTTACAATGTGTGGTAAACTACCCGATTATAAATAGTTTTTGATTCCTATTTTCATATTGATGAAATAATTAAAGTATTATTACTCAAACATACAACGGCGATCTGCGGACTTAAAATGCGTGGTAAAGTTCCCGAATATAATTAATTTTTGATTCGTATTTTTGTACTCACAAAAAAATTGTCACAAGTCGGAAAATACCTCATACTTTATCCCGCTTTTCGTCAAATAATTTGGATAATGGTTGGTATTTAAAAGTATGGGCGTTTTACTAGGATGATTTTGTGTTGGCAAATATTCAAATCCAGCATCCACTATTGTCGTATTAATTTAATTCTGTTAACATGACTCATGGTATATAAAATATATACTGCAATAATCTGCAAATATGAAATGCCTGGTAATATATGGATATATAAAATATATAATATATGGAAATTCCTACATACATTTAGATAAGCTTAAATTAGTGGATTTTATTTTCGAAGTATTCGAAATTTCATATTCGAAAAAAAAAATTTCGAATGTATTCGAAATAGTGAACTATTCGGTATTGGCCATCCCTGCTTAGAGTTATTCAAAATCATATATACTCGGGGCATTCTTATTGGGTATTGCATAATAAATACCTTATATGGGCATCGACTATCCTGGACACATGACTTTGCGACTTCTTTATGATGACCAAACACAAATGGTAGATGATTTCTTGGAAGATTCAAATCCCAGAAAAACTTTTCTGCACTCAATGAAGATGAAGCCAAAATCAAAACAAGGAACACGGTATGCAAAAGCATTGGATTGGAGTTTGAAATCTAGAGTATCTAGTTTTATGAAAACACCTGATGAATAAATGGAGTGAGTCAAGTCATGTCAACACAATGTAGAGCCACAGTTATCAAGAAACATAAATAAACAACAATGACCAACAGTGTCATGTTGTTTGGCCTTAAAAAAGAATTCACAAATTTAACAATCATTTCAAAATTTATTTACTTAATAAATAGGTCTGAAAATAGGTGGGTGGCAAATACTAATTGGGAGTGCACTCACTATAAATAATAAATAAACTAATAAGGAGGAATATAGAACATAATTAACGAAATACAAATTCCTAACACAAATTTTTCAGTGATATTTTAACAGTTCATAGTTAGAATAAACAGGAAAATATAAATGCTTTTATTTCATGATAAGTCAATAATAAATTTTTGTTCTCGAAAAATGAGGAAAATGCTAATTGCAAGTAGTTCACTATAATACTACATCATGAAAAGAAGATGTTACAAAGCAATAAGTGTTGGAATGAACCAGAGGAATGACTGCGTGTGACGGTGGAGATTTGTTCAATAGTAACAAGTACTCACTATTAAAGCAAAAAGCATTTGTATAGGGTAAACTGTCCACTATCAATCAAATGCAATGAGAAAGTGACAAAGTAGAATATATATATATAACATGACAGTGATTAATAAAGACATTTCCTAACTAACTTAATTCATTCAAAGGTAAAGCAGAATACGGCAATTACAATATATATTGCATAATAAATTACAGGCGCACTAAAGTTTTACACCAGTCGAATTTACGAACATTGTTTATTCTGAATTCAACAGAGCACCAAATGTATGCTGCATAGGTCCATAAAAAGTTAATTTCCTAAGTTTTGCAAAACATAAGAATTAAACATTAGTATTGGCGTATTTGAGATGCAATTATTTACATATTATTGTTGGAAATACTGGCTTGAAAATTGAAGGAAGGCAGTATAATACAAACAGTGGAATTGATGTTAGGTTCCTTCATTTATTTACCATATTTACATTGCAGTTTATGTAATTTGGGTTTGCAGAATATTGATACCAATATACAATGCTATAAGGTGAAACTGAATATGAAAACAAAACTGTTTTAGCAGGAAAATGTTTAGAATACAGAATGAAATGAAATTCAGATTATAGGAATGACGAGAAAATTTATTTCTATATCCAATAAAAAAATCACATCTATTTTATAAAAAGCTGCAAATATCAAGTTTTGTTAAAGATCATGGGAATCAACTTTATTACTATCAGACTGGTGTAATGATTTACTACGTACTTCCCTACGCAGTAAGATTTGTGCTAAAGCAAAGAAGAATGAACTTATAAGATAAAATCCAGGATAAACCAAAGTTAACGCTTGGCGAGATCCCATATTATCTTTAAGTTTAGGAACACCAAGTAATACCAGACCAGCAATATTATTTATAACAAAAAAGAAAGTTGCCAAACAAGTTGATCTTACTTCGGTTGGTAGAAGCTCAACCAAAACTGCAAATATAATCCCAAACCACATTTCTGCAAATAAATATGCAGCAATGAGAGAGAAAAAACAAAAAGGAGGGGTAAGATACAGTACACCAAACGCGAGAGGGGAAGCTAGAGCCTGACTAATGGCAAGTACCCACATTCGGGTATGAACACCATGTTTCACCACGATTAAATCAGATATGAGTCCACCAGAAGCTATTCCTATAGAACCCCCAACAATGGACGATATTGTCATCCATAATCCAAGTTTAGTAGTTGGGTAATATTCACTAAAATATAATTGGGCATTATATGCAAAACAATAACTTGCAGAATGACGAATACAAGCTGCAATAAGTAGTACCATAAGAGAAGGCTTGGTAGCATATAACTTGATCGCCGTTGTAACTTTTGAAAATAAAAGAAAAACCTTATTTGGTTTCTTCTTTAAACTTCCTTTTATTTCTTCTTTTTGCAATTCTTGCTTCTCATCAGTCACAGTGATATTTTTTCGAGTAGGTTCTTTCAAAGTTAGCAAAATCAAAAATGCCAAGAAAAAGCCTGGTATTCCTGCAATATAATAAGCCCATCTCCAACCTTGGTCATTTATATTAGCTTCCGTTACTATATTTCCTACAGCAAATGCACAACCGAAACCAAAATAGATTCCCCAGTTGAAGACACTCATTCCAAGACCCCTTGAGGTTTTTCCAAAAATATCAGCGATTATACTTGCACTCAGTGGGGAAAACCCGGCTTCTGCTGCACCAAATCCAATTCTGAGAACAGCTAATTGCCAATATTGAGTAGAGAATCCAGTTACCAAAGTCATCAGAGAACAGACCAGAACACAGATAAAAAGTATTCTGACTCTGTTATAACTATCACCAAGTACACCAAGAATAATGCCCATGATCGTGAAGATTGCAACAAAAAATGGCCCTGCTAAGAGTTGATATTCAACACCATCACCTTTATAATCCCATCTACACACAAAACTTCCGTTAAGTGTTACATTAGAGCATTGTTCTTCAGGAAAATTATCATCAGAAGAGCTTTTGCACATTTCATGAACTTCATTATGTGTTTCCTCATTAGGCATGCATCCTTGGTCACCAAAATGAATATCCTGGGCCATTGGTTTTGAAGTAACACCAAGTAAAAAATGACCCAACTCTCCGACTGCATAGCAAAGCATCAATGCAAGACTGCAATACCACGTGTAAAAAAATTCTCCATGAAATTTATGAGGCATTTTTAGTTTGAAGTTAAATAAAGCACACAGTGGACCTGCACATAAAATACAATAAACATACTCTGTGAAAGTTTAAATAAAAACATGGAAGACAAAAAAAGGTATCGTAAAGGTAAAAGAAATTGATCACACGAAGGCAGCTGCGGAATAAAGTCAAAAATTGGCATATAAGGCAAGGTTCTAGGTAAAATCAATGAGGCCCTGAATGACAAACTGAATTATGTACCGTACTTAATTTTGGTTCAATTGAAGCTTGCATGAGCACAGTGACATAATTAATTAATTAAAAATTTATGAATGAAACAAAATCATATACAAGATCAATTATTTCATTAGATTATTAGTATGGAAAATATATTATATATTTACCCATAATTAGCCAATTTAAACACATTAAAATATGTAACACTGAATATACACATACATTTCCTATTGGAGAAACAAAAAAACTTAAAGGTATATAAAATTGTATGTGACATGCATTACCGTCATTACTAGTTGCACAATACGTAATTGGAGATAGTAGTATTAAAAAATTTCAACATGATATAAAAACAATATACTGGAATTCAATAAATTGCACTATTTCAATTTTACAAACAGTAGAAACTTCAACTTTTAGATTCTAAAATCAGTCACGAAGCTTGTTATGTATTAGCACATACTCAAGTTATTTAAGCAATATAAAATTTGAATAATGCAAAATACAACACATACTAGTTACAATAAAAATTTGATAATATATTAACATCAATTTTGATGCTCTCTTCGAAGCAAGAGCTGAGAAATAAAAAACAACAAAGAACTTATAAGATAAAACCCTGGATAAACCAGCGTTAAAGCTTCACGAGAACCCATATTATTTTTGAGATCAGGCACACTGAGCAAAACAAGGCTGGCAACATTGCTGACAACAAAAAAGAAAGTTGCCAAACATGTTGACCTTATGTGAGTAGGTAACAATTCAACAAGAACTGCAAATAGAATCCCAAACCACATTTCTGCAAATAAATAAGCTCCAATAAGCGAAAAAAAGCAAAAAGGTGGATCAAGGTAAAGAACACCAAATGCGAATGGTGAAGCAATTAACTGACTTGTTGCCAATACCCACATGCGAGTATTGGCCCCATATTTTGATACAACCAAATCAGATATGAAACCACCCAAAGCAATTCCTACTGTTCCTCCGATGATGGGTGACAATGTCATCCACAAGCCAAGATTAGTTTGGGGATAAAATTCTGTGAAATACAATTGAGCATTATATGCAAAACAAAAGCTTGCAGAATGACGAACACATGCAGCTACAAGTAGTAGTAAAAATGATGGCATAGTGATATATACTTTGATCACATTCAGAATCTTTTTGATACCTGAATCAGATTCCAGAGACTGGTCTCCCATGGATTCTGATAAGATGGGTTCATATTCTTCATTTGTATAGTTTATATTTACATTTTTTCTATTCGGCTCTCGCAATGATATTAAAATTACTAATGATATGAAAAAACCAGGTATTCCCGATATATAGTAAGCCCATCTCCATCCTTGATTGTTTATATTTGCTTTTGTTACCAAATTACCCACTGCAAATGCAGAACCAAATCCAAAATAAATTCCCCAATTGTAGATACTCATTCCTAGACCTCGTGAAGCCTTTCCAAAAATATCAGCAATTATACTTGCACTCAATGGAGAAAATCCTGCCTCAGCAGCACCAAATACCAATCTTAGTACAGCCAATTGCCAATATTCCTTTGCAAAGCCTGTCATCAGAGTCATTGTAGAACAAATAAGGACACATATGAAGAGTATTCGGATTCTGTTGTATCTGTCACCAAGAACACCTAATACAATGCCCATGATAGTGAAGATCGCAACAAAAATTGGACCAGCTAGAAGTTGATAATCTACACCATCGCCTTTGTAATCCCAGATGCAAACTTGTGTTCCGTTAACCGTGGCATTACTGCAAAGTATCTCATTTCCCTGCATATTGCTACAAAGGCCCAAAGATTTGGAGTTGTTGGCGGGCATGCATCCCATCTCACCAAAATGTATCTCCTCTGCCATTGGTTTGGAGATAACACCCAATAAATAATGGCTTAGTTCACCAATGGCATAAGAAAACATCAGAACAAGAGTACAGTACCATGTGTAAGATGACTCCCCATGAAACAAAAGGGCCATTATGCTACCTCTGTATAAGATAAATAGGTAATAGCCTAAATTACTACAAAAAGTAGATAAAAGACATCAGCTCACATTCTGACATTAAAAAAGATAATCACAGTAACATGTAACTTTTTCACAATTGTTTTTGATAGAGTTGCTTTACCACCAAATGTACTTTGCTCAGATATTGAAACATTTTATTTTGGGTTTATATTATATAACAGCATATTGCAAAAATTCATCCTGACTTTTTGTGTGACGAGACTCGAAAAAAATATACTCAAGACACATTTTACTGTTCCTAATATATTCAATAGTTGTTTTTCTCAAATGAACCCACACTTGCCTTGACTTCAATTTTCTCAAATTTTTAAAACAAGCTAACAAATCATCAACGATTCTTGAGAATATCACCACCTCTGAAATTGAGATGGTTATCATTTATCAACTCGTTCACAACTGGTAAAGCAGAGGGCCATACATTCCAGTTTACTCGATTAATTCATAATTATAAGTATCTTTAGTCCAACATTATGCAAACTTTTTACACATTTACGACCCTGCTGCCCTACCTAGGTAAAGCTAGCGGCCACTTACAGCGGACAGTTACCAATTTTTCCAAATTTGAACCCGCCATGTTCCACGACAGTTGTCGCGAATTCATTTAATTGCGGCTACATGGATGCAAAAAATTAGGTGATTCTCCCTTTTAGAAACTGACGACAGACCTGAAACATAATAAAAAACAAAAATGATTGAAACAACACATTTTTTCCTCGATGAAATGAATTATTGCTCAGAAGCTCATTTATCGACAAAATCTAAAATTTAACTGAGTTGAAGCAAGAAATAATTTTTTCTCATCCAATTCATTAATAAAGTGAATTTGATGAAGATATATAAAACATATATTAAATTTTAAAACAATTCCACTATGCGGAAAGTTGGGAAATACCCCCCAATTAAAGGAAAATTTTTAAGAAATTGTCAATATAACTCAGTTAAAGCGTCATTTATGCAGGAAATAATATTTTCTCATCCAATTCATTAATACAGTGAATTTGGTGGACAAATATGAAATACATATTAAAATTTAAAAAAAATCCACCTTGCGGAAAGTAGAAAAATTCCCCCCAGTTTAAGAAAAAAATATAGGAAATCTCTAATTTAACTCAGTTAAAGCGTAATTTAGGTAAGAAGGAATTTTTTCTCATCCAATTCATTAATGCAATGTGTTTGGTGGACAAATATAAAATAGATATCAAAATTTAAAAAAAATCCACCGTGCGGAAAGTAGGGAAATTCCCCTCAATTTAATGAAAATATTTAAGAAATCGTCTATCCAACTCAGTTAAAGCATAATTTATGCAAGAAAGAATATTTTCTCATCCAATTCATTCATACAATATATTTGGTGGACAAATATAAAATACATATTAAAATTTAAAAAAAATCCACCGTGCGGAAAGTAGGGAAATTCCCCTCAATTGAAAAAAAAAATATAAGAAATTGTCAATTTGACTCAGTTAAAGCGTAATTTAGGTAAGAAGGAATTTTTTCTCATCCAATTCATTAATGCAGTGTGTTTGGTGGACAAATATAAAATAGATATCAAAATTTTAAAAAAATCCACCGTGCGGAAAGTAGGGAAATTCCCCTCAATTTAATGAAAATATTTGAGAAATCGTCTATCCAACTCAGTTAAAAAATAATTTATTCAAGAAAGAATATTTTCTCATCCAATTCATTAATACGGTGTATTTGGTGGACAAATATAAAATACATATTGAAATTAAAAAAAAATCCACCGTGCGGAAAGTAGGGAAATTCCCCTCAATTTAATGAAAATATTTAAGAAATCGTCTATCCAACTCAGTTAAAAAATAATTTATGCAAGAAAGAATATTTTCTCATCCAATTCATTAATACAGTGTATTTGGTGGACAAATATAAAATACATATTAAAATTTGAAAAAAATCCACCGTGCGGAAAGTAGGGAAATTCCCCTCAATTGAAGAAAAAAATATAAGAAATCGTCAATTTGACTCAGTTAAAGCGTAATTTAGGTAAGAAGGAGTTTTTTCTCATTCAATTCATTAATGCAGTGTTTTTGGTGGACAAATATAAAATACATAATATAATTTAAAAAAAATCCACCGTGCGGAAAGTAGGGAAATTCCCCCCAATTAAAGAAAAAAATATGAGAAATCGGCAATTTAACTCAAATAAAGCGTAATTTAGGTAAGAAGGAATTTTTTCTCATCCAATTCATTAATGCAGTGTGTTTGGTGGACAAATATAAAATACATATTAAAATTTAAAAAAAATCCACCGTGCGGAAAGTAGGGAATTCCCCCTCAATTAAAAAATATATATGAGAAATCGTCAATTTGACTCAGTTAAAGCGTAATTTAGGTAAGAAGGAATTTTTTCTCATCCAATTCATTAATGCAGTGTGTTTGGTGGACAAATATAAAATACATATTAAAAGTTAAAAAAATCCACCATGCGGAAAGTAGCGAAATTCGGTACTCTCGAAATATGGACACAAAGATGACGCACAACCTGAATATAAAAGGTGTACTAGGATAGGTTCAGATTTAGAATCTAGATTGTACGCTTTTGGGAGCGCAGGGAATAACCCATTTATGCAAAAATTAATTTTTTCTCATCCAATTTATTGATACAGTGTATTTGGTGGACGAATATAAAATACATATTAAAATTTAAAAAAAATCCACCGTGCGGAAAGTGGGGAAATTCCCCCCAATTTAATGGAAATATTCAAGAAATCGTCTATCCAACTCAGTTAAAGCATAATTTAAGCAAGAAAAAATATTTTCTCATCAAATTCATTAATACAATGTATTTGGTGGACAGATATAAAATACATATTAAAATTTAAAAAAAATCCACCGTGCGGAAAGTAGGGAAATTCCCCCCAATTTAATAGAAATATTTGAGAAATCGTCCATCCAACTCAGTTAAAAAATAATTTATGCAGGAAAGAATATTTTCTCATCCAATTCATTAATACAGTGTATTTGGTGGACGAATATAAAATACATATTAAAATTTAAAAAAAATCCACCGTGCGGAAAGTAGGGAAATTCCCCCCAATTTGATGGAAATATTTGAAAAATCGTCTATTTAACTCAGTTAAAGCGTAATTTATCCAAGAAAGAATATTTTCTCATCCAATTCATTAATACGGTATATTTGGTGGACAAATATAAAATACATATTAAAATTTAAAAAAAATCCACCGTGCGGAAAGTAGGGAAATTCCCCTCAATTTAATGAAAATATTTAAGAAATCGTCTATCCAACTCAGTTAAAAAATAATTCATGCAAGAAAGAATATTTTCTCATCTAATTCATTAATACAGTGTATTTGGTGGACAAATATAAAATACATATTAAAATTTAAAAAAAATCCACCGTGCGGAAAGTAGGGAAATTCCCCTCAATTGAAGAAAAAAATATAAGAAATTGTCAATTTGACTCAGTTAAAGCGTAATTTAGGTAAGAAGGAGTTTTTTCTCATCCAATTCATTAATGCAGTGTGTTTGGTGGACAAATATAAAATACATATTAAAATTTAAAAAAAATCCACCGTGCGGAAAGTAGGGAATTCCCCCTCAATTAAAAAATATATATAAGAAATCGTCAATTTGACTCAGTTAAAGCGTAATTTAGGTAAGAAGGAATTTTTTCTCATCCAATTCATTAATGCAGTGTGTTTGGTGGACAAATATAAAATACATATTAAAAGTTAAAAAAAATCCACCATGCGGAAAGTAGGGAAATTCGGTACTCTCGAAATATGGACACAAAGATGACGCACAACCTGAATATAAAAGGTGTACCAGGATAGGTTCAGATTTAGAATCTAGATTGTACGCTTTTGGGAGCGCAGGGAATAAATGACCGTCTCACTGCTACTGTTCCCGACAGACAACTCAGTAACAATTCTACCTCTACATGATTCCAAATGGGATATAAAAGTATAATTTATTCAATCACAAGCAATTAAATAATTTTTATAATTCGTTTGTAACTGTTCTCAAATTTTTTGATCGGCACATACTTTCAGACTATTATTTACTCCTTTCAACTGATGACAAAGAATCGCCGTGATGTTTACGTTATGGATAGTTATATTGCTGGTTGTGTTTTTCACCAAACATGCATCACCATCTAATGACTGATGTAAGTCAATCTTTTGATGTTTTTAATTTTTCAGGCGGATAGGAAACAACCAATAAATATATCCGAGGCTCGAGAACCCCGGTGTAATTGATATGTATAAGTTGATTTCATGATTACTTTTGTTACAAAAATATGAAAAAAACAATTTGACGCCGAACACCTCGGATTTGAATGTAAAACTGCTGGAATATACTTGCGGAACTATGATCGAAAACCATTGGTATAAACAAAATTAGGGTTGGAAAAATCGACATTGTTTTTTTATCTAAAAAGTCCATATTCATCTTTCCTACAACACTTTAATATCATACTTATATCATCTCATTTGTTTTACAGTTAAATTTAGGAAACTATAGCGTGATTGTTTCTGCGTGCAGGATAAATGGAAATCACTGGGTTCTTTTGCTGAGGATGAAGTTTTGTTTTGAAATTTTAATAATATTCAATAAATAAGAAATTGTTGTGGCAAAATTACATATTGCCTTTTTGTATTTGATTCTTCATTTTGATTCGAACAAAATATCTTTGCAATTCATTGACACAACGAGAATTAATTTCTACTTTCTGAATCCGTATGGAAGTTCAATTGAAGAGACCACTCACGCATGTAAAAATTATAAGTGAGTTCAATTCCTGAAATACATCTTATCGTTAGCCATTTCAACTACAAGCTAAAGTAGAAACTCAATAAACCTTTACTTCACTGTTGCCAGATCGCTTTCAAATCCTGGAGTGGATTTTTAAAATTATCTTCTTTACAGTTATCCTGTCCTTTATTTTTAATATTCTATTTCTCTTGTTGAAAGTATTCGGCTGTTTTCGTAAAAACGTGTCCTGTTCTTACAAGTAATATATGAACTACATAATCACATTGTACCAGTAACAAACTGTATTTACAATTGGAATGACATTGACAATTGTGAATGACATTGAAATTGAATGAAAAGTATTGATTTTTAAAAATGAAGTTACATGAAAAGTATATTAGTAAAACTGAATTTACACACGTTACAACACACAGAAACTGGATGAATTTACGAAAAGAATGCGAAAACTGGACACCAACGGTTACTGAACATCCCATTCAGAGGGATGGATCCAGTTGTGGAATTTACGTGATAAAGGTATATAGGAAGTCATACAAATTTAATTATCCATACATCAGTATATGTTCTTTGTCAATTTATTCACAAGAAATTGTTCCATAAGAATTGATTAATTTATTTTCATATACCAAACAACATTCTCATGATTTTCTTCACACTATTTTGCGTTATTTTGAAACAACTTATTTTGTCTATTGGTTCTTTGGCATATATTCGATTGCAGTTCGCTTGGATGATGCTGGAAACTAAAAGCATCCATGTTGTTTCACCAATCGATGAAAGGGCGAAAATTGCCAGTTGGGTGATTCAGAATTCCGGTATGACGAAATGAATATTTGATATTTAGATAATTATCTAAACATTACGCAGTTAAAAAATACATTTTTGACAGACTGCGTGGAGACGTACTGCAGTTTTTGTGGGGAGACGGGAGAAGCAGAATGGGTAAGTAACCTAATAGGTGTTCAATAAACATGCAATATATAATTTTATATTCATGTTATTTTGACTTTTTTTAAAGATTGGCTGTGATGTGTGTCCACGCTGGTTTCATGCTGGATGCTACAACGGAGATATTGCGGAGATATTGGACGTACTTTGGAAATGTCCAGCATACGAGGCCGGTTGGCATTAAAACGCATTTGATGTAAAAATAAGTTTCAAAGGGTTGCCACTTGACACTAACAAGTAGATCAAATGGCCATTTCCCGTTAACCTGTCCATTTAGTACAGAGCCATGAATATACAGTAGAAGCGCTACCCACGAAATTAATTCGTTCCGAAGACCCGTCGTATTACATAAGGCGTTTTACCTGTAAATGCCTATCCGTTAAGTCCACGTAAAACTCGGACATCATTTTCGTATAAATTATATTAATGCTTAAAATCCAACAACTACATGTTAGAATTAGATTACAGCATAATAAATAAACAAAGAACATACGGAAAGAAGGAAGAACATAGTAATAACGAATAAAAACTAAGAACGGTATGCTTATGTACCTTTGTTTACCATCGTCATAATCAAATGATTGATTCCCAAATTACCGTCCGCCACTGATGGAGAATTAAGACCTGAAAACTTGTTTTATTTTTTAAGTCGGTTTTTACTTGATTTGAGTCGGCGCTAATCTTTCATGTCTGGTGTTATTATTTTAATTTTGCTTATTGATATCGCCAACTTAAAGTGAACGATATTGTCATCAACGACGTCGGGATAATGATAAAATCCGCGTTAGATATTAAATAACATTTAAAGGTCATTTTATAAACTCTTAATTGTAAGAAATGAAAAAAATTCCTGTTATGTTCGGTCACTATCGAAATTGAGGGTGAAAACAATTAATTGCGACACAATTTGCTTTCAGATTTATTGGAATAGACGATAATAATTGTGAATATTGTGTAATAATTGTAATTGCGCTTTTTGAATTTCTTTCATGCTGGCCATAATTTAGTGCCACGACGCGCACGGCTGATTTCAATTGCGATAAAAAATAGAATGGCTGTGAATATTTTTTTTTAAATCGTTTTAAATTTTTTTAAAAAGTTTGACGGCGCTAGGAAATGTGCGTCATATTCGGTATTCTCAAAAACACCAAAAAAACGATATTCGAAAGTCGCAATATTCAAATATTAGGTTTGTATTGAACATCCCTGCAATTAAATTAATCTAAAATGAACAAATATCACTATGCAAGTTTTCGGAAAAGAATTGTTGGATTTTTCGTATCCAGAGCCTTTCGTACGGAGAGTTTCTACTGTATACAAGTTTTTCGTGATATTTTTTGCTTCCATTTTTTTGTGATTGGCGAATAAAAAACGATTTGTTGATTGATTCATGTGAAAACTTCATTTGGGAATTGAAAGTTTCTTCATACGTTTACAGTGATCGTAGCGGCTGCTATCGATCGTATCGTCGTTTCTTCCAACGTCTTAGTACGGTGTGCCATACTTCCTTTAGCTCTTTAATACAGTTTCACAGTCTTTCAAATTCTGAGATATTTTTTAACAACAGCATTAAACGGTTCGGCGACATACATATTCGACATAACAAATGAAGCGCCATAAGTGTCAAATCGTTACTAATCTTGATGACGCCACCTCATCTGTTAAGGTTGACAATACTATTCTGATTTAGGCTGCTGATGTACTGGGTTAAGGCTGCACGTTCACCGAAGGTGACCCAAAGATACCAGCATAAGTTACTACTGAGGTTTACGGAAGGTAGTGCTATATGGAGTGAGAGGGGGTGTTACGAGGTTGTAGTGTAAACCAATAAAATGAAATAAGAACATGATAAAACTTCAAAAATAATATTTAGTTATGGAGGAGAATGGGAATGATCAATAAATATGACAAGATTTCGCTTTAATTTATATAAATTTACGATTCCGTTGATTTTAACATAAGTTAGGGGAATTTCCCAACTTTCCGCACGGTGGAATATTTTCAAAATTTAATATTCGTTTTATATATCACCATCAAATACACTGTATTAATGAACTGGATGAGAAAATATTCTTTCTTGGATAAATTACGCTTTAACTGAGTTAAATAGACGATTTTTCAAATATTTCCATTAAATTGGGGGGAATTTCCCTACTTTCCGCACGGTGGATTTTTTTAAATTTTATTATGTATTTTATAATCTGTCCCACCAAATACACTGTATAATGAATTGGATGAGAAAATATTCTTTCTTGCATAAATTATGCTTTAACTGAGTTGGATAGACCGATTTCTTAAATATTTCCATTAATTGAGGGGAATTTCCCCACTTTCCGCACGGTGGATTTTTTTTAAATTTTAATATGTATTTATATTTGTCCACCCAAATACACTGCATAAATGAATTGGATGAGAAAATATTCTTTCTCCTAAAATTACGCTTTAACTGAGTTAAAATTGACCATTTCTCAAATATTTTTTCCATCAAATTGAGGGGGGAATTTCCCTACTTTCCCGCACGGTGGATTTTTTTTTAAATTTTCAATATGTATTTTATATTCGTCCACCAAATACACTGTATTAATGAATTGGATGAGAAAAATATTCTTTCTTGCATAAATTATTTTAACTGAGTTGGATAGACGATTTCTTAAATATTTCCATTAAATTGAGGGGAATTTCCCTACTTTCCGCACGGTGGATTTTTTTTAAATTTTATATATTTTGTCCACCAAATACACTGTATTAATGAATTGGATGAGAAAATATTCTTTCTTGCATAAATTATTTTTAACTGAGTTGATAGACGATTTCTTAATATTTCATTAAATTGGGGGGAATTTCCCTACTTTCCGCACGGTGGATTTTTTTAAATTTTATTATGTATTTTATATCTGTCCACCAAATACATTGTATTAATGAATTGATGAGAAAATTCTTTCTTGCATAAATTATGCTTTAACTGAGTTGGATAGACGATTTCTTAATATTTCCATTAATTGGGGGAATTTCCCACTTTCCGCACGGAGGATTTTTTTTAAATTTTAATATGTATTTTATATTCGTCCACAAATACACTGTATCAATAAATTGGATGAGAAAAAATTTATTTTTTGCATAAATGGGTTATTCCCTGCGCTCCCAAAAGCGTACAATCTAGCATTCTAAATCTGAACCTATCCTGGTACATCCTTTTATTTTCAGGTTGTGCGTCATCTTTTGTGTCCATATTTCGAGAGTACGAATTTCCCTACTTTCCGCATGGTGGATTTTTTTTAACATTAATATGTATTTTATATTTGTCCACCAAACACACTGCATTAAATGAATTGGATGAGAAAAAATCCTTCTTACCTAAATTACGCTTTAACTGAGTCAAATTGACGATTTCTCATATATATTTTTTAATTGAGGGGGAATTCCTACTTTCCGCACGGTTGGATTTTTTTTAAATTTTAATATGTATTTTATATTTGTCCACCAAACACCTGCATATTAATGAATTGGATGAGAAAAAAACTCCTTCTTACCTAAATTACGCTTAACTGAGTCAAATTGACGATTCTTATATTTTTTTCTTCAATTGAGGGGAATTTCCCTACTTTCCGCACTATGGATTTTTTTCAAATTTTAATATGTATTTTATATTTGTCCACCAAATACACTGTATTAATGAATTGGATGAGAAAAAATTCCTTCTTACCTAAATTACGCTTTAATTGAGTTAAATTGCCGATTCTTATATTTTTTCTTCAATTGGGGGGATTTCCCTACTTTCCGCACGGTGGATTTTTTTTAAATTATAATATGTATTTTATATTTGTCCACCAAAAACACTGCATTAATGAATTGGATGAGAAAAAACTCCTTCCTACCTAAATTACGCTTTAACTGAGTCAAATTGACGATTTCTTATATTTTTTTCTTCAATTGAGGGGAATTTCCCTACTTTCCGCACTATGGATTTTTTTCAAATCTTAATATGTATTTTATATTTGTCCACCAAATACACTGTATTAATGAATTGGATGAGAAAATATTCTTTCTTGCATAAATTATTTTTCAACTGAGTTGGATAGACGATTTCTTAAATATTTCTATTGAATTGAGGGGAATTTCCTTACTTTCCGCACGGTGGATTTTTTTTTAATTTTAATATGTATTTTATATTTGTCCACCAAATACACCGTATAAATGAATTGGATGAGAAAATATTCTTTCTCGAATAAATTACGCTTTAACTGAGTTAAAGAGACGATTTCTCAAATATTTTCATCAAATTGGGGGGAATTTCCCTACTTTCCGCACGGTGGATTTTTTTTAAATTTCAATATGTATTTTATATTCGTCCACCAAATACACTGTATTAATGAATTGGATGAGAAAATATTTTTTCTTGCATAAATTATTTTTTAACTAAGTTGGATAGACGATTTCTTAAATATTTCCATTAAATTGAGGGGAATTTCCCTACTTTCCGCATGGTGGATTTTTTTTAAATTTTGATATGTATTTTATATTCGTCCACCAAATACACTGTATTAATGAATTGGATGAGAAAAAATTCCTTCTTACCTAAATTACGCTTTAATTGAGTTAAATTGCCGATTTCTTATATTTTTTTCTTCAATTGGGGGGAATTTCCCTACTTTCCGCACGGTGGATTTTTTTTAAATTATAATATGTATTTTATATTTGTCCACCAAAAACACTGCATTAATGAATTGGATGAGAAAAAACTCCTTCTTACCTAAATTACGCTTTAACTGAGTCAAATTGACGATTTCTTATATTTTTTTCTTCAATTGAGGGGAATTTCCCTACTTTCCGCACTATGGATTTTTTTCAAATCTTAATATGTATTTTATATTTGTCCACCAAATACACTGTATTAATGAATTGGATGAGAAAATATTCTTTCTTGCATAAATTATTTTTCAACTGAGTTGGATAGACGATTTCTTAAATATTTTCATTAAATTGAGGGGAATTTCCCTACTTTCCGCACGGTGGATTTTTTTTTAATTTCAATATGTATTTTATATTTGTCCACCAAATACACCGTATAAATGAATTGGATGAGAAAAAACTCCTTCTTACCTAAATTACGCTTTAACTGAGTCAAATTGACGATTTCTTATATTTTTTTCTTCAATTGAAGGGAATTTCCCTACTTTCCGCACGGTGAATTTTTTTCAAATTTGAATATGTATTTTATATTTGTCCACCAAATACACTGTATTAATGAATTGGATGAGAAAATATTCTTTCTTGCATAAATTATTTTTTAACTGAGTTGGATAGACGATTTCCTAAATATTTCCATTAAATTGAGGGGAATTTCCCTACTTTTCGCATGGTGGATTTTTTCAAAATTTTGATATTTATTTTATATTTTGTCCACCAAACACACTGCATAATGAATTGGATGAGAAAAAATTCCTTCTTACCTAAATTACGCTTTAACTGAGTCAAATTGACAATTTCTTATATTTTTTTCTTAAATTGAGGGGAATTTCCCTACTTTCCGCAGGGTGGATATTTTTTCAATTTTAATATGTATTTTATATTTGTCCACCAAATATATTGTATTAATGAATTGGATGAGAAAATATTCTTTCTTGCATAAATTATGCTTTAACTGAGTTGGATAGACGATTTCTTAAATATTTTCATTAAATTGAGGGGAATTTCCCTACTTTCCGCACGGTGAATTTTTTTAAAATTTTGATATCTATTTTATATTCGTCCACCAAACACATTGCATTAATGAATTGGATGAGAAAAAATTCCTTCTTACCTAAATTACGCTTTAACTGAGTTAAATTGGAGATTTCCTATATTTTTTTCTTAAACTGGGGGGAATTTTTCTACTTTCCGCACGGTGGATTTTTTTTAAATTTTAATATGTATTTTATATTTGTCCACCAAATACACTGTATTAATGAATTGGATGAGAAAATATTATTTCCTGCATAAATGACGCTTTAACTGAGTTATATTACAATTCTTAAAAATTTTCCTTTAATTGGGGGGTATTTTCCCAACTTTCCGCATAGTGGAATTGTTTTAAAATTTAATATATGTTTTATATATCTTCATCAAATTCACTGTATTAATGAATTGGATGAGAAAAAATTATTTCTTGCATAAATTACGCTTCAACTCAGTTAAATTTTAGATTTTGTCGATAAATGAGCTTCTGAGCAATAATTCATTTTATCGAGAAAAAAATGTGTTGTTTCAATCATTTTTGTTTTTTATTATGTTTCAGGTCTGTCGTCAGTTTCTAAAAGGGAGAATCACCTAATTTTTTGCATCCATGTAGCCGCAATTAAGTGAATTCGCGACAACTGTCGTGGAACATGGCGGGTTCAAATTTGGAAAAATTGGTAACTGTCCGCTGTAAGTGGCCGCTAGCTTTACCTAGGTTGCTGCCCTGGGACTTCTTCTCAGGAACATAATAGTTGCCAAAGTGGTACTAGTCTGCTAGTGTACAAATCATATCCGAGAAAAGTTTAGGTACTGACCAAAAGATCCCATTATTTATACTAGTCTACCTACTGTACTAATAAGTATGTTTTGCATTCTACCTGATTCTGTGCTTGAAAGAAAAAGAGGAGCGAGTGAACCACACATGATTAATTCACCAATTTTAATTACGGCATCGCGTGCCTGTATACCGCATCATATCCAAATAAATTCACCTTCACGAATCTCACTATCACGTCCATAAACGTCGTATTAGCACTCAAACATCTGGCCTTGCCCACGCTTATTTAACTGCCGAGTTACACTATTTGCATCCATGTGCGTTAGCGCCAGAGTTTATTTACACCCAATGATATAGATATTGCATCGCATAAAATGTAAGCCGGCTCTAGTCTTTTTTTGTGCCTAATAAATTTCAATTTTTAGTTTTAGTCATGCTCGCCATGCTTCTCATTGCAAAAAAATATGAATCCCACGTTTACCTCTGTTGAGAAAATTTTCCCGAAACCGCAATTCCTGGCGCCCAATGAGATTCTACTATAATTCGATTAATGGAAGGGTTCGGTTAATAATCCGGCAAATAAGGGGCCTTTTGGGGCCCAACCTTGTTTTCAGACATAAGTTTTTTTTATTTGTGATTATTCATCTTGTGATTATTCATCATTTCTACATGGATGTGGAGCAATTTTTTTTATGGCTTGATATTTGTATTAGTGTATTTCGTCAAATCTAATGGCGCACAACCTGAACCATAACCTTGTACACATACTATATTCAGGTTGTGTGCCATCTTGGTGCACATACTACGGGGGCATCAAATGTACTAGGCAATAAAATCAATAACTTTTAGGTATTTGTTGAAAAAATTCGTACCGAAAATATTTTCTGGGGACCCAGCTTTGGGTCCCGACCCCCAGATAGGGAAACACTGTTGAAACATAAGCGTAAAATAAGAAGTACTATTTCAAAATACCCGCTATTGTTGCAATTAACAATACAAGCCTGCTAATGCAGTCGGCAGTGGTTCAATTGGATTGCGCACTTTTAGTTTATGACAGGGTCCCCTTTTTAGAAACCCTGTCATAAACTAAAAGAGGCGACCATGCTTCTCTTGTCTGTTTTCATGCTGTCCCTCAAATTCAGCTACAACAAAAAATTCACGAAAACGGGTTTCAGATTTTATGATTTCATTAATATTCTGGACAATGAATGATATACGGGTGGTAAAATGCCAAGTTATTTCAACAACATGATCGTGTTTTACAAATTACAATCAATATTCTGTATGTAACTTTGTTTGTCAGAGCCCCAGGAGATCTAACTACAAATATCAAAAAAGTGAGGCCAAAAAAGTTACACTACAACATAGTCAAATGTGCTGTATATACGATAGATAACAGGTTTACCAAATAGCATTACATGTAAAATGGTAAAATGAAGATCTATTCAGCATTATCTATTTAGGACTTGGTGGTATGCATCTGTTGATGATTTTATGTGTTTGTTTCGGAAGTTTAATGACAGAATCAATTGTGGTTGTTGGCGATGTTTCAAAAAAAGGTTGAATGGAAAAAAGTTTTCACAAAATGTCAAGGTTTGAGAGTAGTAGAGAAGTAGAAAAAATACTCCCATGTTTCCTTCATTTGATAACCACGCCACAGAACTTCGATGAATATATATACGCACCAATTGCGAGAGGCAGAAATGCCAAGATGGGATGTTATCGCATTGCAAACCAATATTAGCGATTCTTAGATCTATCTATATCTGTTCCAGTAGTTGAAATAACAATGTTCACTTCAAGAAATTGTTCCCAGGCAAATATTTTATTCCCTACACTCAAAAACATTGTATACACGTCATTGATATTAATTATACATTCTTGTCAAATCTGCGTGCCGCTATTGGCCCTTTCATGGGTATTGGATCCGTATTAACAAAAAATGATTTTGGCCATCTCTGTTCTACATTACTCAACGAATTTGACTGGCAATACACGTCTCGTGTAGCTACCTTAATAAAAAATTAAACCTGGTGTCAATATGTTATTCCAATATATTCCCTCCAAGGAGGAGACTATTCCAATGGTGATGTGGATCTTGTAACCATACGTAATTATTCGGTATTTCTTAGTAACTTTGTCATTTTTTCAGAAATTGCTGGCAAATTTTTTTCCTGAATTAGTCTTGTTCATTTCTTTAGGAGCAGGTCTTGCAGAATAACTTGCAAACTATTGATACTATATTTTATCTTATTTCTTAATAAAAGCTTTTCAAACATTTGTTTCCACTAAAGCATATATTATTAATCACCAAAACTAGTAATATTTTTTATTTATTATAGAAATAGTAAATAGTCAGCTATAAAACTAGTATGCAAAACATAAATTAATAGGTAGAAAACAAACAGATAGCCATAACAATTTAATGCTATATGGAAATATTTTGAATAAAATAACAGCTAAAAAATCCAAAAATGAGTTAGGTAAAAAAACAAATGTTTGTTCGATAAATCAATATTACATCATTCAAGAGTGAGACTGGACGAGAAATTATTAAATTATTCCTTCATAACCATGATACATATGGAATGTTATTCTTTGAAGGTAAATAAAAATCTCAAAAATGGATGATAGCATATAACCATATCAGACACATATAATAAAACACAGCTAAAATATAATGCATAATTTATCTAAACTATGATATAATAGAGCTTAATATGGATAGGAGGTACAAAAATATAAAATAGATCTTTTTTCAAACATACTAAATATACTACCGGTAACTGATTCAAGAGGGTTGCTGAATACTAACACAATTATATTTCTCTTGAATCACTTAGGACAGTCATCTCAACTCTTGCTACAGCATCCTTGCATTATATGCATACGGATCCACCGGCGCAAAAGCATAGAAGACGGAGAAGTAGTTAGTCTCGTAGAAACCCAATCGATACTAAATATAGATATAAATCTTCAAAATACATAGATATAAACAGGTAACACAGTAGGCCTTTCATTCAAGATAAGCTATAGTTTTTTTTTTTGGAAATAAAATCTCTAGGTATTGTATCCCAGATTTCATATGCCAAAAATTTGCTGACACCAATTTTTAAAACTTGAAAACTGCTGATATTACCAATACCAATATTTTTGAAATATGTCTCCGGATATATCAATCACATTTTTCATCAACACTCAAAACTCCAACATGATAATTTATTGCAAGGGCAGTTAAATCGAAATTTGATACATAGCATATCAAAACATCATCAGTCAAAAGCAATAAAGATTTGTAAACCACTGAGCAAACATATGAAAACTAGGTAATTTGATTAGCATAGGTAAAACAAAATATGAAAAATGGTAGCTACGCATATATAGGCATTGAAAGGAGGTAAAAAATATGTTGCAAGCAAAGGGATATAAAATCATGCATACAAAATATAGAAAGCTTTTATACAGAATTATCAAAATTATCTAACACATGGAACCATATTCTTATATTAACATTTATATACTAAAATAATTTTATGACGGAGATAGTTTACAATACAATGGTATACGGTATTCAAAATTATGCAAGGGATACCAGCAAAATCATCATGCTTTTATGGAATGTTTTCCTTATTTACAAGGAAAGTGAGCATAGCTGATATTACCAGAAAGCATCGATTATGCATTTCTGTATTTATATTACAATTTTTTTAATAACATCTTCAAATTGTTCTTGTGGCATTTTTACAACCTCTTTGCGCATAAATTCCACTGCAGCACTTACATCAGGTGCGAAAATTTCAAACGAACGCAACTGTCGTAAAACTGTAACAAATGATTCAACCGTAATTTGGTTGTCAATTGGTGCATTGGATCTTTTCAAATCTTTTAGTCTAGGACTTGATCTTGAAGTAACATCAGGCGACATCCATCCCATACAACGAGCTGCAGATTCTTCAAGTCTCTTCATAACAGTCATGCAGGGTTTATCTTCAGACTCATGTGCCAACGTTAATTTTAGAAGTTGAGAGTACCTAAAAAATTTACTTGTGATATTATAACAGTTATTAAAAAAACATTAAAACACCAAATAGATTTGATCAATGATGAATTTAACAATAATATTCTGTGAAAACAACTGCAATAGCAATTTTAGCCGATTATTGCGACCATATTTAAACAGAAAGTAGAGAAGAATCTACATTAAGAAATGACACTTCAGTAAAAAATGGATTTCAACAAAATGATAATATATAAGTGAGTGTTTCATCAGGAGATCCTAGAATAGACAGAACAACCTTCACGAATATTCAGATCACATATAGCCCATTGCATGTTTTAAATAAATCATTCTGATACCAACTAAAATAACTAGTTCCACTAAAATACCGATGTTTATTGTTTAGTAGTCCACTAAACAAACCAACTAAATTACTATTCAATCCATGTTAACCATAAAAAGTTAATTTAGAAACATTGTATAAGTTGGGGCCAAACCTGGTAAGTCAACATAATCTGTCCTCTACACGCTGCATCAGTCTTGCTCGCTCCAGTGTTGATTAGCTAGCATAACAATATATTATCCAAGCTTGTATTTATAAATGATAACCGAAACACTTTCTTAAAATGTTGTATTAATAATAAATATTCCACTCATCTGTACTTGGCATTTAAATACTAAACTAAGTACTGTCCTGCTGATCAAATGACATCGATTATTTATAGCATATCCTCATGTAAATTTCAAACCTTATTTGTACAATCATATCTTCCCTATTCAAAAACTAAGATTGCATTGAGTTTTATATACTTGAACCTTCCATCTTAAATCTTCTCTGAAAAATCCTTCTTTGCTAAGTTTCTTGTGATAGAATTTTATGATAAAACAACAGAATGATGCTTTCTACCAAAGTTATAAAATTATTAAGATATACTGTATTAATTTTGTTCTCTCGAATGAAGTTTATGAATTTGAGAAATATGTGACAATGCTTTAAATCAGGGGTGTGAAACCTTTAATACAGGAGGGACAGATACCAATAACTGGGCGAAATCGTGAGCCACATCTTTATTTAGCATAAGCTTTCTAGTAATTTCAAACACAAAAATTTTGGTTATTAATCTTATGACATGCATTGTTCGCTTCGCAAATACTCAGGTATTGGCTCTTCAATGCAAAGGGATTGGAATTACTTGCATGTACTAGATAGAAATAAATTTAAAACCTGTTTCATGAGCTGCACACCATTCAAAATTAGCAATTCCCCGTGGACCACACATTTTTTTCTCGTGGGCTGCATTTGGCCTGCTGGCCGCATGTTGAACACCCCTGCTTTAAATCATTACTAAATCATTTATCTACGCATTTCAACAACCGAATTATTTCCAAAATTTTTTTTTGACTAACCATTCACATGTGGATGCACTAACTGCCGGAGAAGAGAGTCTGCTGCCATTTCTATCACCACTTCCGGCAGCAGCGACTGCAGACCTCATAACTTTTAAATTGCGATGCATGCCACGTTGACGAACATGAAATGCTTCAAATTTCTTTTCCATTCTTTCCCACCGGCTTCTGCAAATTAATTTATAAGTTTGAGCAAACGGTTGAATATTGCTATAATTTATTTGGATGACTAGGATAATTAGTCTTCATATCCAGATGCAACATTAATGATCTAAATTTCTACAAGCTAATAGCAGGCAGGCGATTTTTTATCACAAGAGAATTAAATCTGATATACATGGATTTTGTTAGCCAATGGTAAAAGAACATAGTCAAACAACATAGTGTTGGCAGGTAAAATGGAATTTGCACATTTGTAATAGAAATATTCAATCACACAATTTGATAATACCATTATTCTGTTTTGAAAAATTCTTGATGATACATAAAATTGCCTGAATATACGCCGCACCCACAATTTATTCAGGCAACATCCAACTAACCTTTGCAATTCTGTTAAATTTTGATGAAGTCTTAAAGCTTTTAAATTTGTCACTTCTTGAAATTGTTCTTTCATTTTGATCATTGTTTGTTCTCTGTTGGCACTTTGAAATTCTACACTAATGTCTACAGATAACTTTGGCGGGGAACTTCTTGGTCGCTTCAACTTGTTGGTACTGTGAATTGCGGTTTGAGGCCGTGGCTGTTTCTGGAACGATTCTGATGCTTGGGAGACAGCACGTCTATAAAAAGTTTTAAATTTCTTAGAAGGTCAAAAGATTGAATAAATGAGTATAAATTAATGTATCAAAATATGACATTACTTTATTCAAAATAGAAGGCATGCTAAAATATAGACAATTTTCACCTGTTTTGGAGGGTTGGGCCTGCTGTATGCGGACGTATGTGCACAGTGGGTTTCTTGCTTGGTGAAGTCTGATCTTCTACCACGACACTCTTCTTTTTGTCATAGTTTTGTTGTACAGGTTTTGGATAAGGTGTGAGAGCCCCTGCATTTTTTAAGAAGTAAACATGCTAGGCATAGAAATTTGTGTGGGATAATGAATTTCAAACTAAGATGTATAAAATTCCACTTTTTTCGATGCAAGGTGACACATTGTATGTTGCTATTTAAATATTACGTTCAATTTGTCGTAAATAAAAACAATGACAGCAATCTGGATGTTAATCTGTATTTCTTGTCCATAATGATTGCTGGCATACATTGCAATCACAGATGGCTAAATATTAAACCAAACTTCACTGATATTTTAGCGAAAAAAAACTTACTTGAAAAATAACTTTTTGCAATTTTGAAAAAAATACTCTTGACAATATATTTAAATATAATGGATTATTTTGTGAAATATGTCTATAATTCTAAATTTGGAATTATCAGAAAACCAAGGGTCCAATGAATTATGATACATTAATTATTTAACATTATCAGTCATATACATGTTAACGTACTGATATACATAACAGTCACACATATTCCAACATGAGTAATTTAAACAAAATGTGCCATTTCACTTACATTTGTAAACTGGAACCTTCAGCCTTCCTTTCATTTCTGCTTCATCTTCTGCTATTTTCTCTCTGTATAACATTTCTTTGCTTACACTTTCTTTAACAGTGTCAAGAAGTTTTACAAGGTTGTTATGATAATCGGACTCATTGTCATTATCGTGAGTCTCCTTTGAGCCAACATTCTTTCCATATTCTAAAAATATCCTTCATTTGAAAAAGAAAACTTACTTGTTGCTAGATTCACCCGAAAGAATACTTCTTCATAGCCTCCATAAGGCTAAGATGTGAGAGATTACATAAGAAAAATAATATGATATAAATAGAAAACAGATGATGTTGAATAGTAAAATCAACAGTTACTAAACTACTTAATCCTGAGGTAGAGTCATAATATGATGAAATATTGCATAAAATAGGTAATAAAATGCAGTATGTGAATCCCAGCTCAAGATGAATGCGATCTAAATAGTAGTTCAGGCGAGATACCAGCACAAGGCCAGAATCAATCATAAAACATATAAGACAGTCTTAAAATTTGAGCAAACCTGAAGCCAATTGTCTGTTATCAATTGAACTTCTTCTGAATGTGCTATGTCCAGGAGAAATTGAAAATACTGAAGGAGTTCTTGAATGTTCGAAAGCATTAGGTGCATCTTTGTGACGCTTTGGAGAGGCTGGTGACAAAAATCCTAGACTTGTGGATACAGTGCCGCTACATTGAGAATTTGATCTTGACAGTGATCTGAACAACAATATTTGTTGTTCTGTCAATTGTGAACTTTTAAACTAAAAATTAGATCTTTGACCAACAAATTAATGATTTAACAAATTCCAGATTGTCAACTTGACCCGGCGATTGACACATTGCGCTAAGCATTTGGAATATGCTTGCCATTGCACCTCTGATAACTATGAGCAAGAGAATTGTTGAAGTCTTCACTGTCATAGGGTGGTTCATGTAATCGCTAGCCAGTTATGACTTTCTCTACTATTGAGTCCATGAATCTAAAACGAATAACTGGTTAACTGCTCCCCTGTCTGACAGGAGTCTATGGTTCTTCATATTTTGATTGAGCTGTCTTATCGGCTTTCTTATCCCCCGGGATAAAAATGAAAATCCCATCCCATCCTAGCGAAATATAATGCTATCGAGTCCAAATCTTCTTTAAATATTGTACGGTAAATGCTTTTATGTTAAATATACACTTTTTGAGGTAATTACGCATGAGCTGGTTAAAAAGAATGATTATTAAAGCCATGTTTGATGTTCGTGGCAAGGATGAAAAAGATATCAGGACATTATGATATCATCATCAAATTTAAAAATATGATTTGTATCTGTTATGTTAACATATTATTTCTGATTAATATATTATTATAATGATTACAGTGAAAATTTATGATCAGAATATGTTGACCACCAGAGTATTATCAACTTACACAGATGTTTGAAAACTTGATCTGGAGAAACTACGCCAACTGGTGCCCATATATCTATCAGAATTTGCATCAGCCATTCCGCCAGGATGAACGGTATTCCAACATTCAGCCAATGGAACTATGTGCTCGCTAGTGACAAATAATGATTGATTAATAATATGATTAGTATAAATTACGGTAAGTGATAATTATGGGAAATTTACTAAATTGAAGCCAATAATGTTCTACTGTATCCAATAATATACAAATAATATTTGTTAATCTTTCATTGTTCAATATTACTACATACCCAAGAGTCACAATCTCAGAAAGTCCTTGCTCATGTCTGCATGCTTCGATCAACCAATGCAAGGCACAAAGTTGTCTCCAAAGTTGATAATTTTTTTGATTTTTATCAGAGTGAGATATGGCCTTAAAAAATATTTGTATCAGTATGACCACTTCATAATAATAACATTTATCCTCTATAAAAATAAAAAATTACCGGTATGTGATTTTCCAATTTAAAATATTTTGACTATCGCAACACTGAAGAGAGACTAATCATACACCAGTATATTAGGAATACTTCAAAAGTAAATATGCATCGACTATCTTTTAGTTGTTTACAAAACTTGTCTAATAATTCATCACTTCACTTTTTGAAACTTAAAGATGTTATTGTCAAAAATTGTAAAATTAATTTTTTTCAATTTTGGCATTTAGTTTCCATACAAAATCTTTTTTATTTCAATAATAAGTGTTTCCAACAATGATCTCTTAATGAGTTTCCATAGAAACATGCTCTCATTCGGATATCATGTTTAATTAAGTGTAAACAATTTACAAGACATAACAACTAACCTTGTAACTGAAATCTGAGGGCATTTCTCTAGATTTATCAGTGCTCTGCAGTTGACATTGATCAATTTTGAATAAAAATTGTGGTGCTGGAAGAGCTTTGGCACCTTGCCTAAAAAAGCAGCCCAAAAATTAAAGTTGTATTGTTTCAATAAAAAGAAATTGCAATGATAATAACAACGAGAAACATTTATATGTTTGTACCAGTATATGTGTTAGCTGCTTTATTTAGGCAACTAATTTAGAGTAAATAGATTGTTCAAAAATGATTATTTGTTATCTCTGAGGTTAGTGCCTAGAATAGGTCAAATAATTCAAAATAAAGTCACTGAACGTCTAACAAGTTCAAGCTGTCACTGCTAAATAATTTAATAAATAAAGAAACAAATAATAAGAATTTACTGAACTTTTTTATATCTGACAAAAAGTATCAAAGTTTAAAAAAAAATAAATGATATTTATAAATATGAAAGAATTATTATTATTTTATTAATAGTGTACATATCACAAATACATACAAGTATGTAATGTATGTATACAAATAAAAGCGAAAATAAGATACGTTGTATTTGAATCATTGAAAATTGTTCAAGATATTTTTATTCAACAGCATTGTGCATGATAAAACAAATAATAGTAACTTTTAATATAGGTTTTTAAAACCATGATTGAATATCAGTTTATTTAGTATAGCTATCAATGCTTTAAACCTGGCGTATTTTTCCTCTTTTCAACAACAAAAAATGATAACTTACTGAAATTCCGCATCAGTTTCAGATGTGACACTGACAATCTTCATGTCGTCATTTGAATTTTTTGCTTGAACATCTTTAAATATCAAATCAAATATCAAAGCATTTATCGCAATGAAAAGATCTCAATATCAATGTTAACTAGCCTGAATTTGAAAACACTACCCAATAAAATTCTAACTAATCAGATTTATTTCACTGTATAAATTTAGAAAAGGCACCGTTTGTTTCATACAAACATAATATAGCACATTGTAATTTGTTTTACACAATGTATTAGTTTTTTGGAGCATTGGTAACAAACATCACACACACAAAATATGCACTATGCTAGAATTTGATGCATTGTTGTGCTTAGAACCATTCGAATTATGGCCACAGTAAATTCTGGTTGCAAATTGCAAGTCCGACAGTCCACTCAAACATAACATACCCATTTAGGTTATGCAAGTGTAATATCATTTCTAATAGATTGAAGGTGATTGAATTGGAGTTGTCAAGAAACAAAAGTGGTCAATCTTGAGAGTAGATTTGAAATTTGTAAGAGATCAATTTGGATTTGGGTTTTTAACAGACAATCTTATGCCAACTTTTATAGGACAAAAATTAATTTTGTTTTGGAAAACTACATTATAATATAAACCTAATTTCACCAAATTTATTAAATTCATTCACACCACAAAACTTTATTCTACAAAACACCATCGTCTATAACAAATCATGAAAGGATAAAAATATGTTTCAGTTTGATGCGCTTTTATTATCAAAACTTCTCAGGTTCGGATAAAATGTTCATAACAAAAATACGCTAGTTGCATCACATGACAAGAAATGATGCTACAAAATTTTTTGATTTCTAATAACTGTTTGATTGAGTTACAAATTCTAGTTTTGTAAATTCAATAAATTCTTTACACATCAGAGATATGTAATATCATGCCCAATAATTCTTTTGTGTTCCTTGTTAGATACAGTTACAACAATAGTTTTATAACAATCAGATTGTTTACATAGTACATCGTATCATGAAAGGAATTAACGTCATGATGGCACGAGTAGAAAGGGCACATCAAATTACAATAACAAGTTTTATAAAACTCAGTATTCTTCACAGATCCTAATTATCTCATGATTTCAAAAATATGTTCCAATATAAAAATCGAATCAATAATTCATGTAGTTTGAAACAACAACTTTCAAAAAGTTTCATTAGTTAGTCACTGCAAATTACTAAAAATTCGCAGCGATTTTACAAATTTCTTGCTTTGAATTTGTATAGTGTCAAAAAGGTATGGATTTTATTAATGAGTCTAGCGAAAAAAATATGAAAAATCCATTTTACTTCAATTAAGTTTTCCAATGACTAACAAAATTAGCCAGCTGCAAATTAGACAGTTTATTTACAACAGCTTAACAGGATAACGTTTAAAAAATAATAAGAAGCACAGCTTACAACTGGGGTCATTATGATGACGTTATTTTCATTTATATTTCTAAATGAAATTTATATTCAGCAGTGGGTCGGATGAAACACTTCGGTGGGCCGGATCTGAACTGTAAGTTGCCCAACCCTGGTCTAAACCAATCCATTGTCACTAGATTTTAAATTGTCCTTGAATTTCATGCATTAATATGGCATCCAGATGTAAGTTTTTTATACCTTACCTTATACCTTAAAATTTCAAAATAATGTATGTTTATGATATTGAATATTATCAAACATCAAACACTATTGTATTTAAAAAAACCTCACCCTTTATTTCAACATTATGTTTCGCTTCCAGCTTAAGAGATTCTGAAGTTTCAAGTATGTTGAATAAAGAATGACCCAGTTTCACAGAATGCTTGGTGCTTCCAACCATGTTCAGATTGGTTGCAATGTCTTGTAAATTAAGTCCTCGACTGAAAGCCAAAATTGTCTGATTAACCCAGAGAATAATAAAATCGATCTTTCCAGCATAATCCATTCCAACATAAGCTAGTTGATATAGAACATTACTTGGTTCCAAAATAATAATAATAACTTACTTCTGAGATCGTGAAGAAATAGGTCTACTTGAGGAACTTGCAGGCTTTGGTTTATCAGCATCATGCATTGAAGTATGGTTTGATGAGGGTATGTTTTCCTTTGACAACACTTTTGTAGATTTTGGATGTTGATCTGTAAAAATCACAAGAGTGAGTATAGTCAGCCCTTAACACTTTGCAAGAAAGAAAAAATATTTCAACAGAATTTCAAATATAAACAAAATCAAATAATCGAGTAATTAGGAAATTTATGATTTCTGTTTTATGGATCACCCTGTAATAGAGATTTCACCTAAATATAACCGAAACCCAGAGGAAAATCACTCGCATAAAACCCCCCCCAAAAAAATTGATTTTAAATTAGGAATTTAAAAAAATTCGCATAAAGCCGACCTTACAAAGCGTAACATGCTGTACACACCTATCACAGTTAAGGATGTTTAATTTGAATTTAATATTCGAATATCGCTATTTGCTATCTTCTAGTATCGTTTTTAATGTATATATTAAAATCGGATATCGTGCACACATTCTAGCGCCGCTGTTCACGGTTTGATTGAAAACATTAGGATAGGATTTATATATTTATCCCAAGGAGAGGAAAGTCGATAAGACGGTTTAATCATATGGTGACCAGTATATGGTTACCAGTCCAGGGTGGGTATGGGATTAGTTAGCCAGTTATTTGTTTACGGAAGCATGGACTTGATGGTGGAGGAAGCTGTAACCGACCAGCGGCTACGTGAACCACCCTGCGGTGATGAGGAGTTTAGCAATCCTCTTGCACACAACCATCCCGCATGGGATTCAAACCTGCGAACCCACGAAGGACAATCAGAGATGGACAGCCACACCGCCGAGCGACATTTTTCCATTATTATATTTTATGTTTTATCATAATCAAAGACAGCCCTTTGCAGTGCAGCTAAATTACTGCTGACATAAGTGGATTTTAATCAGCACCGACTTGAAGTACTTATAACACCTCAAGGATGTTTTTGGTTGAAAATATTTTACAATTATTATTGTATATTTTACACAGTCAAGATATCCTGGGCGACCACGGCAATAAATCTAAAAGCAAATAGTTTCAAAATTAATTGTTTTCATTGATAGTTACCCAGCATAACAGAAAATCATTGCAATTCCAGCCTGTGACATAGCTCCCAAATTTCATTTAGTATCTATCGTGAAGTTATTTGTTAGCCTGGCTTTGGTAATGATAATATCGTTCGATCAGAGTCATGCGCGTATAAGCTGACCCCTTAATTTGCAACTTTTTTTTTTTGAGTTTTGAACTTGGCATATATGTGAGGAGATACAGTAAAAGCAATATATACATTATACAACAACCATGATCAAGATATGACCATTGATCGCTCAAATATGCCAGGAAGCAGGTAAAACTTTGATTTACAATAAAAAGTCTTATGCTTAATTTGATGTTTGTGAGATATCAATATTTACCTTTTTCTTGTCCCAGTGTCTTTTTAACAAGGTCTTTCACATTCAGAATAAGAGTGCCAACTGGTTGATATGGCTTACTGGAGGATGACATAAAACCTTGTGAAGTCAACTGACGTAATCTCCGAGAATAATTCATGCGGAACATATCTAATCTTGTTGGTGAACCTAGATTGTATTGATTAAAACTTCGAGCTTTGAGTTTGGCATCCTTTGCTGCAGACCATGGAGGAACAGGTTGAATATTCAAATAATGCCGGGGATCTTCCAACGACATTTTTGCCAATTTTTGTTAATACAATGAAGATACAAATGAGTTCTTGCATATATGCCTTATTTCAGGGCATTTTGACTGAAACATAAATAGACAATGATATTAAACTTTGGAACTAACCACATATCTCCTCTGAAATAAAACTATGATCAACTTTGTATTAACTACTGTACTATATACATTCAAAAAATGTAACTATTCATAAACAGGTCTCAAGACAGACAAAAGGTTGAATACTGGAGTTTGAAAAAATATTATTTGGAAGTATTGCAGAAAAATTTGAGCTAAACAATCCACAATTATTTTTGGTAAATTATTGCTCAATTATTGGGAAATTTTGGCCAAGAAATTTATTGTACCCTCTTCATACTGTCAAAAGGGCAAACGTCAACTTTTGTCCTTCTGCCAAAAAACCATAGTACTGTCAAAGATTAGCATTCCTTCTTTTACCTTATCTCAATATATTTGTGATAGAGATAATATTTTTCAAACCAGGATTGAAATGTGAGTCACACAACACACAAAATAAGCCTAAAGGTGAAAGAACAATTTTCTAAATAATGCCAAAATCTATAAAAGCTTTAATGAAGACATAATTGGACAAAGATGTAAAATGCACACATTTTTGGGATGAATCTATGAAATTTGGTTTCTTGTTTTCACCTTCCTGTGTTCTGTTTTTATTTTTATGAATGAATATATCTGTCTATTACAGTACCGGTACCTCTGGTGATTTGCCACGTTAGAGTTTCAGAGTTAATTTCTTTCAACTAAACTGAGTTCAATACCAGGCCAGAATCCTCTTTGCAATTTCAAGTACGGTATTTAAAATTAAGTTATTCGATTCAGTCTCTAAAGACTGATTAAATCAGTTGTTAGGAATCTGAGGCTAAAACAGGAGTATAAAATTGCACTGTAACCGATTCACTTCTGTAACTTTAATTACGACCGTGCCTACCTGAATCTGTGATGAAGATGATGGAGCCCTGATAATCGTTGAAGGGAACTTCCTCAACGAAATCCGTTGTCATGACACCCATATGTGGGGACTTCCCCTCACTAAATCCTCCGGACAGGGTTTCCTAACCAGTGTTTAAGTTCATTTCGACTCCGTGTTCAGATTAACAGACGATAAGATTATATTTCATAAATAAAAACTTGACACTTAAGCAAGGTTTAAAGTGTACAGAATTTAGTTTAGAAAGATTCTAGCAAAAAATTGGTACGTGTTCACTCACCTAAAAGAACTGAGTGAATTCGCAGAAAACGTTAAAACTCAAGATAAATCACACAGTGAACAAATAAATAAATAAAAAAACAGAAACAACTTTACACATCATATTAATACTTGTATAGCAGTTGCCAAATTGAATACCGATTTTGTAAAAAAGAGTGAACATATATTTACGAGTGAACAGTAAAGAATTTTTTTTTTTGTAAAACGATTATGATTAGAGTCATTATGATGAATTTTCCAGAGTGGGTGCATAAAGAGGCGGTCTAGATCAAGGGTACTCAAACTATTGGTGCTATGGTGCCCGTGAAGCGCTTGACTAATATTTAACTAACTCCACAATAAATTTATAAAAATCAAGACAAAAAAACCCTATTACTTACCGATTAAATTTCCTGAGTAAATTAAAATTACTCTATTTAATGACCCGGATGTATTTGCTGCTTTTATTTAGAAAATATTCTTGACAACCATATTAACAAAGTAAAGTCGAAATGTCGCAAAATGCTGTAATTAAAATATTGTATGAAGTTTTCTATTCAATCCATTAGTTAATGTCGATATTGCTTCTTCGGACAATTACAAGTCAAAATTATCCAAGTCAACAGGCCTATTTTGATGAGTAAACGAACAGCTTGCGGAAAGGTTTTAATCGCGGAACGCTGGCGCTCCGTATGGAGCACTCTTAGAGAAGCCATGCGATTTTCAACCGGTGTTCTGCGGAAAACTGGTGTTCCGTGAACGACTTTCACGTGTTGCGCAATTTTCTTTTCTGATTTTCATATTCTTCGATAACAGGAGGAAATCAAAAGTCAATAAGTATGTATTAGGCTTTGCGGTAAGAAGAGTCAGTTACATGACGTTTTCCCCAAAATGACTTTCTAGTTTATTTTTACATCAGTGGCTAAACAACATAATGTTAACGGTCAAATACCAATTGAAACTCAACCAGTAGCTCAGAAATTGTTCTCACCTATAGGCGGATTTTTAAACATGGTTGTGACCATTTTCGTAATGTCGGGTGTATATTTCCAGAATTTAGGTATGGTACAAGTAACTCAAGTAACGGTTATTTTTATAAGAAACTTCGCCTAAGTCTCGGTTTTGCGGAAAGCTTTAGTTTAGTTGAAGTACCGCAATCAGAAACTATCACAAACAGGGTGTAAGCGACACTTAGGTCTGGGTCGTGTCGGCCGTTGATTGGTCAGCGACGCATTGACGCGTACAATTTTTTTTTTTTTTAAACCAGAAGTATATATTTTGTCAAAGTGCATTTGTGCACGCAAAATCGTGGCGAAATCTCACCAAACTTCAACAACACATAAATCTAAATAGAAACAAGCAGTCTTATAAATAAGAAATGTTGAAGAAACCAGGATCTACAGTAGTGGTCGGCAACCTTTTGTCGCTCGCGGGCCAAAATTAGGTGTTGTCGCACATATTTTTATGAGTTAAAAACCAAAGAATGGCCGATGAACCACAACTTTTGCACACAGTTCAGAAGTTGAAATTTTAGATTTCAAACATCGCGCGAAGACTGCGACAACTCGTGAACTCAACTCAGTTTCACTAGAAGAAAAAAATTTATTAATGACATTTAACGTGACACATGTGGAACTTTTCGACAGCAGGTGACACGCTGAATGAAGCCAAGATTAGAACATTTTCTATATGGGCATCACTAATCCGAGTTCGCAGATTGTTTTTTGTAAAGTTCATTATCGAAAATAATTGTTCGTACGCATATGTACTTCCAAACATTGATATAAATTTTTTCTCATGGTTTGTCAAATTTGGATATAGATTTTCTTCAAGAAGTGACTTTCGAAAAATCAAGCAGTGATACATCTCTCGAATTTTATTTCCTCATTGCATTGCATCTCAAGAAGCTCTATTCTAATACTTTCTGCGCCATTGAACCCTCTGAACTCAGCGCGAACTTTTCCACGTATTGGCATTTGTCTGATTATAATTAAATTGTAGGCTCGTTAAAGAAGGAATGACTGAAATGGCTTTTTGATTCAACAGAATTAAAGAATTGTGACGTACCGAGATGTTATTTACAAAAAGATTTTGATAAAGTTATTGATATAGGCCTACAACTTCATCATTTTTCAGATGCGTCTGAGAAGTCACGAAAAGAACTCAAACTTCATATTTTTGGAATGACAGTACAACAGTTCTCGGATACTGGGCAAATACAGATAAAGTATTTAAGACTTTTGTGGCTAATAAAGTAAACTTGATATAAGAAACGTTTGATATTGAACGATGGCGACATGTGCCTTCATAACTGAACCCAGCATTTGTAGCTTCTAGTGCAGGGATGGCGAAGTGAATTAATGCTAAAAAAACATACTAATACTTCAACGAGAATATCGGTCGGAGACCAAAGACTTATCGATCAAAAGTTACTTACTTACTCTTACTCCATAGCGACACCGCGTGTCACATAACTAATTAATTATTAACTCGCTAATTATACAACATAATTCATCCAAAATCAATAGGCTTCTGGTCCGAGATATGATGAATGCACATGCACATTGGAGCAGATTTAACCTCGCCTTCTTGAGATATCGCGTTCATCTAACAGACAGACAGACAAACAGACAGACAAACACCTATCAACATACTTACCGAACTTAAGATCGATAAGTAATAAAATAGAATCGCAATAAATTTTCGACTGTGGCAAAAAATGTTGAAATTCGGCTTGGCCATTATGCTCAATTACGAATATCATGTAGGCTCAAAATAAAACAAAAAAATCACAAATTTTGTTTTAGGAGCTCCGCGGCAGATGAAAATGTTGTCCTAATGCGATTTCAGAGATATACTATATATAAATCGCCAAAATTTCGCAATCATCGACTATATAGCACTGACGATGAAAAACATTAACTTTGCACAATGCGTCCTTTCAGCCATTGTCGGTTTCAATCGAGCCATATCAAATTATGGTCGAATTGAGATTTTTTTGATTTGTTTTACTTTTTGTTTTTCGAATTACAAATAGGATGGGATGAAATCGTTGATGTGTCTTTGTATTCTAGTGATATTCCATCAAAAACTACTGATTTTCAAGCTGACTACCATATTTCCAATCAATAATATTATTCATTTCACTTCATCTAATATAATTATCTGAGGTTTTAATCTATTTTTAAGTGGTATACGAAAATATCAACAGTAATCTGAGTTATCACTATTTTTATATGCTGTTTCACTTTTTGACGTCTAACAAGGTTTCAGAAATAAATCTATTAATTAATACTCAGTGGATCCTATTTACCGTTTAGAATTTCCTAACCAATTCATTACTATTTTGGCTTGGTGGTGGCCATAAGGGTCTATCTATTATGTTTCCTATTTGTTTCTCGAAGAATGCTTAATACAGATGTATGTTGTCGCTCAGAGCTGACATAAGACAATTTTTTATTCATTTTGCTCATACTTAACTTTATCACATCATTGTGTTTGATTAAATAGCGTACTCGCATTATTTAGTATATTTATATCTGGATGTCATAATCAACTTAAAACATGAGAATACCACTACTTCGATGACCATACCATACAAATCTACGGGATAGGATCTTGCAAAATACCTCAATCTGCAACAATTATTTAAGCATCCTAAGTTGAAACGTGACGGAATAAAATAGGTCTTTGAATTAGATTTTAGGTCAAGCCAATTTCATTAAAATCGACGTCAAGATATACTTTTAAACAGTTAGATAGTTTGTTTTTCCTATTGGTGTGGTTGTTTGGAGATAAGAAAGGCCAACAAGTAGGCACTGGCCTACTTCAGTCTTCTTTCAACCAATACTTAACGTTGCTTCGTAGCATGTAAACCGAGTATCATAATTTTCTTCATTTCGTTTGTAGGCGTAGCATCGTAATTGTAATAATTATGCTGATATTAATCAAACGATTGCTATACAAATTGTATTTCTAAATCACAAATGGTTGTAATAAATATCTTCATGTTATTATAGTTGAATTGTTTGAAATCAAATGCTTCTGAAAAAAGCTCCTACTATTGTGCATAAGCATAAAGATATTTAATTCCAAGAATAGATAGCAGACATTTTCACCGAAGTCCTTTCATCACTCATTTCTGTTTTCCAAGCGGAGAAACCGGATTTCCGTACAGATTGAAGATATGAGAATACAAATAAATTGATGAAGCTAATTCACGGAATAGTATTTGTATAGGGGACAATGAAATGAGTTATACAAGCATGATGGAACTGTTGTAGAATGTATCAGCCACCCTTATTTTGTCAAAGAGTGTGTATTTCAAATATTATTTGGGTTAGACGATGAAAAATGATGGTCAGAATATTGGTGATGGGAAATTGATGGTGGGTCAGTGAAAGAAACGGCGATAAGAAGAGCAGTTCAAAACAATCAAATTATATATATTTATTCAGGAAATATCTTGATGTCAGTTAGTTTACATTTTTAAACATTTCGAACTAATAATATTCTTGTGTTGCATTGTATATCGATAAGAAGGCAGTGTGGTTTTTAGATACGTATTCGTATAAACTCAAATTGATCTTTCATGGTACATTTTCCATGTAATTTCAACTTTAATATGGCGGTCGGGGTAAGATCGTCAGTTTTGAAGAAAACGATATGTACACAACCCAATAACTTTTGACTATACGTATTAATCTTCTTCTTCTTCTTCTCTTGATTTAAAGCATTTTAGTTTAGATTTAGAAAGCAATTTTTGTTGACTAATATAATGATTTTTTAATATTTATAAATTTCACACCGATCCCCGCGAATCCATTTTAAGCCGTCCGATAGCAGCACAGTGACCTTTAAATCTTGCCAAAGTTGCATAGGAAATTGCAAAAATCAACTTCTACTTTCATCTGAATATTTCTGTTAAACTTATGACATTTGTATATTTTATAACCAGAAACTATCTCAACTAACTATATAGTTTGTGAATGATTCGTTTCAAAACAACTATGCATATCCCTATCTTATTCGTTTGTTCGATGTTTGCTGCCAATGTGTTCAAAGGTAATCATTTTATTTCTTGCTTTATTCTTGCGTTATTCAATATGTTTGAAAACTTTACAGGTGCAACCGCATTGACTTGCGAAGATTGTCCAGGTTGTGATGGTGTGTGTTATAATACTCCCGATGGTCAAGTTTGTGCTTGTGCGGACGATAAATTTGGAACAAACTGCGATTTATGTAAGAATGTATAACAAAAGTTACCTATTAATGCAATTAATACTTATAATGCATCGAAATGTGTCTTCAGCCCATCGTTCAAGCCCGGATGTTATGCTTTTCAACAGTCTCTATATGCTTCTATATAGCAAACAGTAAGAATTAAACAGGATCTGTCGTTTTCCGTTGAGATGAATGGTATTACTACGAATTATTCATGCGCCATTCAAATTGTTTGTTCAGTGAATTGCGATGAGGCGTGTCCAAAAAATTTGCTGTAGGAAATCTCACCGCAGGAAATTTCGCCGCATAGGAAAATTCGCCCCATGAAAAATCGCCGCAAGAGAATTTTGCCGGAAAACAAGTATTTCTGATAACATAGAAAATCGCCACAAAAGAATTTTGCTGTAAAACAAGTATATGTGAAAAAAACTTTTAGGTTTATAGAGTTAGGGTTGAGGTATGCTCTTGAAAATCGAATCTTTTTTGAATAAAAATGTATTTCAAAAAACTAGCTGTTTTTATCACAAATATTTGTTTCACAGCAAAATGGTCTTGCGGCGATTTTTCATATGCGAGAAATTTCATGCGGCACATTTTACACATAGTGTAATCAATGAAACACAAACACACTTAAAACATTTATCAATTTATAATAATAGCCCACTAATGATAATATTGCCGATTTCATCTTGTCTTGTAACAGAATTTGTATTTTTGAATTCAAACTATCTTGCGCAAGTTGGGTTACAGAATTTAATTAGATAATATAGATATTAGATTTGAAAACTGTCTGAAATTTCTTTCGACATTTTTCATATGCGATTAAATATTTAATGTTCAGGTTTGATCAAGCCTGAATTGACTGACGGTGGAAATGGATACCAATACCTGAAAACTATTGAAGTTTACAATTATATCTCAGCTCAGTTATTTTGCGATAGAAATGGCGGCCATCTCGCAATTTATGGACCACGTGATCCTATTTGGTTGTACGTGAGCACAGTGCTTCTTTTCACAAAAAATTAAATCTGGCAGTGTAGACGATAGTAGCCATACTTAGATGTGCATACAAGATACTAATAAAAATAATAATAAAAATAACTAATAATAAATGATAATAATACTAAAAATAACTTTTAATTTAAAATTCACAGTGAAAGTTGCACTTGACAAATAAGCTTACTCATATAATCAGCATGTTTTTTCTGAATAAGAAACTGCTGGTTTCAAGCAAAAAACATGAATTTTGAAAACAAGCGATGTGTTTAAACGAAGCAAATTATTCTATATATGCACAAGCTTTCATGAAAAATATTATGGTCGGTAAAGGTACTGTACTATCACACTATTTAGAGCTGTGAATTCCGCCGCGTTCGGTGGAACTTATGTGGGGCTCACAGACAGAGATACAGAAGGAACATTTTACTGGAACGACGGGGTGAGAAATGAACTTGAATTGTTTGTAAACAAAACTATTTTATTGATTTACAAAACGATTAAATAAGTCATAAGTCAAAAATGGGCAAGATACCAATATTCATTACACAGTTTTTTTAATTGCGCAGTTTTGTCCAAATGAGACTGACAAAAGTAAAGCAAATTTCAGTATATTAAACTAAGAAATCCCATTATATTTTACTCGGTGATTTTTTTTAAGACATCAGTACAGAACTGTCTATTTTTTTTAAACTCGGTACAGAACCTTATGTTTGTTTTACGAATTCGTAGATATATTTATATATACTTTTGTCAGGCGTTAGCCGATGAAGTTTATACTCCCTGGTTACCATCCCAACCTGACGACCTAAATAACCAGGACTGTGCGTTGCTTAGAACAGACGGATTTCTCACAGATGAAGCTTGTACAATATTATCTCGGGCTCTCTGTGAGATACCAATAGGTGAGCTTTCAATATTTTTCGAGAAAGTTGCCTCTAAGTGAAGTTGCGACCCTTTTAAAAGAAAATAGATTATGTCGATAGAAAATTACAAATGCAGTTTTATACTGAAATTTTAAAGATCTTTTAATGAAATTTTCAATGAGCGTTGAGAAAGTCAATCATTTCGTGAACAACACTGCGTACATCGGGGATTGTTCTTTCAATAAATACATCAAGTTTCTAAAAACTTTTCCATATTGTGATCTAAAAAGACACCGACGAATGCGTGCGATGAAAGTGGAATAATAATTAATTAATAATATTAATCATTTTTAACTCATTTTCAAGTAAATTTGTCTTTAGATTATCCTGCTCGAGTACCAAAATTCATTGCAAAAAACAATTGCGAATACTTCATCATTCCTCCGGCATTTCAACACGTTAGTGAAATACTTTGCGAACAAAAAGGAGGAGTTCTTGCGGTCGATGCGATAAATAATGGAAACAACCTCAAGTAAATGATTTATTTGTTATCTCACATCTTCGCATGACAACTTTGTAAAGGCTCGTTGTCATCAATTATCCGTTATAATAACGATTGCAATTTTGGTCAACTTTAAATGTCCAATACGCCATTCTACCAGTAAATACATAAGGCTTAAAAATCGGTATATTGTACAGGTATTTACTCCACTATTGTGATTAATCATAAATTTCACCGACAAATTGCCAAACTGGTATTCAATTTTCCTAGCAATCCACTAAATGTCAAAAATCATGTTTTGCAGAAAACTTCTTCATCATTTCACTCAGAATGGACAAATACAGACTGGTGTTTTTACAGGATTTGAAAAAGTGGGAACGAATTTTTTAGCTGACGGAGTAAGAAACGATTTATATGATTAATTAAAATATTTTGAACTTGAAAAACATCTCTGAAATCTATGATTATAAGCAATTGGGCCTTTCTTATCTGAACTTTGTTATAAAAATTCGAATAAAATAATAAATATAATAATAAAATAATAGTAAAGAATAAAATAGAATAATAAAATACTTCGAAAAATTTTAATCAAAAATATGACTTACTGGAATGCTCTGACATCATTTTGAATATCTTTCCAAAAATGGCTATTCCACTGTTGTAACAAATCCATAACCAAGTCATCGTTTCTAGCAGCAGCATATAAGGAATATTATGCCGAAATTCAAGAAGGCAAAAAGACTAAATAGTGCTGCCAAAACTAAAAAGCTTTTGTAATAAAAATTGGGCTTTATTTACTTTGTAAAAATGTAAGTTTTTACTTCTAATCTAAGTTTGTGAACAAAGATGGTGGACACCAGAACGTAGTATGTGTACCAGGTTAGGATTATGCTATAATTTTATTCTAATTTTCCTTTTTTAGTTCTATTACCAGTTTGGAGACGAGCCAAGTGACCTCCGTAGTATTTGTACCTGTAATTATGGCCTAACTCTAACCTAGTACACATAGGCTACTACGTTCCGGTGTCCGCCATCTTGGTTCACATACTTCGGGAGTACCGAAAATGTAAATGAAAAATAGTGTAACTTACGAAAAAAATCGACTATTTAATTACAAAATTGGGCGTAGAAAATCATAAATATTTCAATACTTCTAAGACCTTGGGCGAGTAGACGTTTAATACTGGGGCTGCCTCACTTGATCATTAGATATGTGCGTGTTATTCAGGTCGCGATAGATGTGTCTGGACCGGCGGCAGAATGGTCTCCAGGCCATCCAGGAGACGTTTCGGATAGTTGTGTAATGGCAAAATTAACTCCAGATTGGTTCGACTACGGCTGGCTTGAGGATGTTTCTTGCCATCAACTTCTACCGGGATTGTGCGAAGTATGCCGTTCCATAGCACCTTCAAATGGTGAGTTGATTTTTGAAAATACCAGACTGAATAGCAAGGCGAGGCCAAACCAAGAATATATTTCTTTGAAAGTTCCAATCTCCACTAATTTTAGCGACAATTTGGCGGAACTTGAAAAATGATAAAAAGTTTAAGTCAGTGTCAACACTGAGTACTCTTTAGCGATGGATGTGATATGATATCAACAGCAATTCTTTAATCAATGGATCCGAACTGAGCTGTATTTTATAATTTGGTAATTACTATTTCATGTCCAGGAATTTTCGAAATGGCATGAAATATTTTGCGTGATGATTTTATAAAGTTTTTCGAATATTTAAATAAAAAACATTCTTCATTTTTTGATGATTAATTTCAGAGCAAACGTGCAAAAGTGGTAAAGTCTGTACAATGGAGAATACGATTTGTGTAGTTCATGAAGGAAGCTGTTTTGAAGAATGTGTGTGTGCAAAAGGATACATATTTGATCCTGCAAATTCAATTTGCGTCCAAGGTGGATTTGATATATTATGTTAAATATACTTTAACTGTAATTACCAACTGAATACAATTCCACAAACGGAGCTCTACGGTCTGATTAATCGAGTAAACTGTATTTACTGTTCAAAATATTTTTCTATCCAAAAAATTCACATTACAAACCATTCATTAGTTTTATGGGTTAATTATAAAAAAGCTGAAAGAACGCACATTGAAACTGCATATTTATCAAGTTGAAAATCTTGTTTGGTACTGAAATCTATTGAGCATGATTTATACTTTTCAGACAATGCATGTAACAGCGTTACTTGTGGACTAAATGCGTGCTGTGTTTTTGACTCCAATCTGAATCGACCCACATGTAGGTGCGAAGGGGACTATCTACCCTCAGGCCCTAATGAAGGAGATGACTGCAGCTGTAGGTTATTTTTTCTTTTCTTTTTTTACTTTGCCGAAAGTATGATCGAGGTGCTTTATCAGAAGCAAATATGTCCGATTGAGTCAAAGCAAAAGTCACATCGCACAACAATTTGATTGCAATTGATCGATATGACTGCGTCAGCATTAACAGCCAGTTCAATACTCATTCCAATGCATCCCAGACGCCTTCAATATTAATTTTGTGCAGTAATGAACGAGGGGGTATCGCAACGATATTTACCAAATTTACTGACATACAAGCAGTAAGTTCTATGTTACTGTCTACGCTATTTACCAAAAGACGATGCGACAGGGAGTATATTGATTTTGCCATAACAGCTTTCAGTAAGCGTAGCCAACTTAGGGCTATAATTTATAATAATGATGCCTGGGCCTGAATATAGGCCACCCTGTGCATAGTTCTTTTATGATAACCAAATACATATCGATTGATCGAAGCAGAAATTGTTTGTAGCCTGTTATATCAGCGTGATGTTTAATTCATTTGCTGGTTTTTGTTTAGATCCCTCGTGCACTACGCCAAATTGTGGGAGCAACGCAATTTGCGTTCGAAATGTTGACACATACCAAGACGAATGTATATGTCTGGACAATCATATACCCAATCCTGCAACGGCAGGAGCATGTGTTCGTGAGTATATCGAGCGAGTTGAATATACGCATTCTGATTTAATATTGTGAGTTCATACAACCTTGTACTCTCAATAATCAATGCGAAATTCAGCAATGCTGCAGAATCGAAAAGGGCAATTCCAAAAGAAATATATCGTCATTCAAAATTAAAGAGCGTTGTCAAACATGAAATAATCGTTTATGATTGTGTCAAAAAGCACGAATATTCATTCACTAATTCACTGTGAACGATATATATCGCTTACTCTGATCTCGTATGCAGACGAGCAGAGACGTACTTTTTAGTAGAGCTAGTTCGATTTCTTCAAATGTTACGAGTGTGGCCTTTAGGGTCGAATTAACTCGGGGAATGTGATTGTAGATGACAATATTTCATTTCATTTCTTGCATTACCTTCAAGTATCTATTTGGTACTAAATTTGTAGTTTTCTATTTACGTAAACAATAGACCTTGTGATTTATTTTTATTATCCGGATTTCAGATTCAATAGTCAGGCAATCTGTAGTCGTTTTGAATTCAGTAACATTTTTGAATAATTTATTATTTATTAGAGATGTCGAAGCAACTGCTGAATCTATGGTAATGGGATATTGATTTTCAGAAAATCCATGCGCAACAGGAGGACTTAACTGTGGAGCAAATACCAAATGTTGTATAACAAACCCCAGTACGGCATCTGGTGAATGCTTATGTGACGAAGGATACTACTACGTAACTGGAAGCACGACCGAATGTTTTGGTACTATTTTGTTTGTCTTTACTTTAATCGGAACGTTCTATGCTTATAATTAGCGATTGCTTCGTTTGAAGAAAAATGTGAATCGACAATCACAATTTGCTTGGTATTTTCCTTTGCATTTTAATAACGTAAATGAAAGAAAGAGCTACAAACATCTGTCTGTCTCAAAATCTTACTATACAATTTTTGTCAATGACAGAATTAAATCTTATTTCATTGGAACGTAATATCAAATTATATGTGAAATTATACATCTTAACCTGGTTTGTAGTTGTGAACCAGGCATAGGATATCATTCATGTAACCAAGCGAAACCCAAAATGTGTTTTTAGATGTTTAGATTCCCTTGTATCGTAGGGATATGAAAGGTTGATTTTAAGTCTTCTAATTTTTTCAACGAACAGATCCATGTGACAATTCACTCATTACATGTGGAACAGGTGCAATTTGTGTTGTAGATGTGAGTGATATTTCTCTACCAAAAGGTGTGTGCGCATGTCCGACGAATACTATTACGCTTACGACTGCTGCCACTGGTGGATGTATCAGTAAGACTTTTCACTACTTGTTGCATTTTTATAATTTACTTGGGTTTGGAATCGAAACATTGGGTTTTTACTGTGTTAGTACTATGATCATCAATTTTATGTAAGTCTCTCTTTACGTGTAAAATTTGACATTGACCAAAATTGATTTTGCAGTCGACAAATGCTCAAATGGAGATTATCCATGTGAACCTAATTCACAATGCCTCGTCATAGATACAACCACAGGACAACAAGCATGTGTTTGCAAAGAAGGTTTCTACAAGATCACGGATACTGATGAATCAGGATGTTTTGGTGATAAATTTTTCAAATGAAAAATAGATAATTAGGCTAAAATAGATGATACTTGGGCAATTTATACAAATTAGGTTAAAGTTAACTCTTACAAGAGAAAATGCAGAAACGTATGAACAGGTGATCAGAATGACTTACATGAAACTTTTGAATATTGAAACTGAACTGATATTCCGAAAAACACTATTGTCGATGAGAGATAAAGCCCAAATCGAATTGCATATAAAATTTCCGAAACCAACCGAAACAAATAATTTAAATTAATCACTATCATTTTACTAGCTAGAGGAAAATTAGTATGCAACCACGTTTTCTTAGCTTATTTTTAAAATAAGTTTGCTCGGAGCAAAGTCTCTAGCTGATGGTCGAATAAGTACTGATGAAAGAGTTGAAAACCAAAACAGAGTCCAACATAGTTACGGGTCCCAGTAAGATAAGAAAGATTGGAAAAGACATACCAGCCTAAACTTCTTATACATATATATGTATTTGTAACATATGTTTTTAGATCCGTGCGACGGTGTGAGTTGTACTGGAGCATCTGAAAGTTGTGTGATTGACTTTGGTGGTTCTACACCGACAGGTGTGTGTGTATGCAACGTGAATTTCATAAGGAACTTTGATAATAACTGCGTTGGTAAGTATACACTAATCCAGGGGTTCCCAAACTTTATTGGCCGCGGGCCAAAATTAGAATCGGAAAGATGTTCGCGGGCCGGAAGAATGTAGCGCCCAAAAGTGGATTCACTTTCATTTGACATTTTTTTGAAACATGTTTGTTTGACTAATAATGGCGCTTAATGTTGTATTCCTTCAGAACTGGAATAGTTCGTTGGCAAAGAAGACAAATCTCTAAAGTTTGATACTTTTCAATGGAGAAATACGAACACTGCCATTTATCCATGAAACGTTAGTTTTCTGAATCTAGTTTTCGTTAGATTTCTGACATCTTTAAGCTTTCCTATATGGCTGATACCTAAATTACTGCCCTATGTAATCCTAACTCCGGGACCCATAATTGATATACTGGTATAATTGAATTGTTACGATAAACACGTGCTTAATCATTATTAAATTAAAGCCTATTTAAAATTTTGGACTTTGGCCATTTTTAATGCTGAGTGCAGTACACCATCCGGTTTTAATAATTTTTCAACAAATAGGAAAGTTTTATCATTCATAAGAATCAGATGCCACTTTAAAGTCTGGAGCAACATATTACAGAATCTGGAAGTAAATCTGGAGGCACTAAATTGAAGATGAATATTTTCAATAAATGGACGTTATTCGAAAACAGATGACAAAATGCGATTATTGTTTAATTCACCCATTCGTGTATTAAATATTATTAGAATGTTCATCTGAAGAAATTTTTAACCCAATTTCCAAATACCGATTGGCCGCTTTTGTAAAGAACTATTTCAGTTATTTTGACTTATTAATATCTTGGTATTGTTTCAGCTGACGTGTGTGCCACATTGTCGTGTACAAACGGTGTTTGCGGATTCAATAATCCTCCATCATTTCAACAAGGATGTGTTTGTAATCGTGGCTATGGATTCGAGATTTCTTCCACTACTGTGTGCGAAGGTTGGACTCATATTCACTTTGAACCTAATTTTCATCAAACGTTTTTTTTTGTAATAAATCTTCATCGACAACTATTTTATACAAATTTTAATACTAAAGAGGAAAAAGTAAATCATTCTCTACTGACTGCTTTTCTATGTATACAAAAGTCCAGTTAAATATCAACTTCAAAACATCCTCGTATTCTTAGACTCGTAGTAGTGTGAAATATTGAGCATACAAATCTTGGTATATCCTTTCCTACTACCAACTGTTGTTTCCACGTATAAATATTTAAAAATATATTTCAGCATGTCCACAAACAAGATGGGAATTTCCAAACAGAAGTGCCAGTGATTATATTTTGATCAATGATCCAGCAGGTTTAAACCAATTAAGTGCAATCACTTTATGTGCGTGGTTGACGCCACCATCTGGAGAAGATTTGACTGGGCATTTATTCAGTTATGCAACCAGTAGCTCATCCAATAAATTTATATTGAATATACTATCGACCGAGCAGACTGTGTTTCTACATTCTTCTGCAAATGGCCTGGAAAGGGCTGACTTTGATCTAAGAATTTCGAAACGAAGTCATTTGTGTTATGTGGTTGCAAGAGAGCTATATTATGTGCAATTGTTTTTAGACGGCAAACTTTTTGATACAGTCCAGTACGACAGTAATGAAAGCGACCCCGCCGAAACAGGGCAACAGGCAATCATAATCGGTCAAGACCAAGACAGTATCGGGGGCGGATTTCAAGCGAATCAAGCTTTTAAGGGAACCATAGAAAATATGTTAGTATACGACAGAGTTCTAACACGCGAGGAGATCAAGACTATGGCCGCTGACTCCTGCTCCTGCATAACTGATTATTACTTAACTTTGGAAGAAAGCAAGGTGACATCACACGGTGGAGTTGTCCAGGGCACTCCAGTTCCCTGTACCTGAATGAATTGATTCAAATCCAAATTGAGTTGATGGGTTTTATTTTATAATCTGTGATAGATTGAATGATATCAATTTAAAATTTCAGTTTTTCAATTTATTTATTTCGAAATTACGAATATTTGTCAGTGGCACTCACTTGGCTCGAATATTTTAACAAAGTTATCACCGTAGTTCTAATGAATTTTTTGTCATGTAGATATTATGTTTATATATGAAAATTTTTGAATATATTGAATCTTATTTCGGTGACGTCTGACGTGATAGTTGACAATATCTTTCAGAATTAAGAAGAAACTGATTATATCGTGAAATTATAAATATTTATGATTCAATATGTTTGTTTGATATATAAAATTTATTTATCCTCGTGGCGTTAGAGAGGAGTGTTGCTTGCCGAGATGCGAGTTTACACTCATATGAGGTTCATCAGGGCCGGCCTAAACTATTTCGGAGCTTTATGCAAAACAGAATGCGCGGAGCCCAGTTTCCATGAATAAGGATAATAACTGAAAATTCAGACTCAGAAAGAAGAAGCCTTTATTTTTTTATTAACCTATTATGAGCCTTGTTTTACGAGCTTCGTGTGTCGGAATAAACACGCTGAATTGAACATGATTCTAATTTATAATACTTGAATTTAATATTTTTCACCTGTTGGAGGGTGAGGTGTGGTTGACATCTTTAATTAATTTAGAAGTTATTGCTCAATTTTATATAAACCTATGTTTTTTAAATGTGTATTCACTGTTCCAGTGGCCAACGTACACTTTTTTACGTTTTTAACTTTATCCCAAGTTGTTGTTCGTTCCTGATGCATGGACATGATGGTGGAGTATTTAAAATACAAACCGTGCAGCGAGATTAGAAATGCGGCTGGAAGTGTGATGAATAAAAATGTTGATTTGAAACAAATACCCCATTTAACAGGCGCCAATACCACTCCTAAAATAAGTCCCGAAAATTTAGCAATGGTAAAGTATAGGGAGAATAGAGGTCGGGGAAAGGTCCATAGCTCCGTGGGATATATTAGAAGTCTTTTCTAGAGTATTTTCTGGCGAAAACCTTGTTTGAACCAACTTCAGAACTTGGCATTACAACCTGCAAATTCTATGAAGCGAAACAACTATTAGTCATCAATTTATTTCGATCTAGCTCACAAAATGCTCTAATAAACATTAAACTCGTACCGTATATTATATAGATCTTGTAAATAGTGCTATGCTCCATATTTAAAACCAATTTTCACCAAACCAGTGAAGCAATACAATTTAGCTTCGCAGAATTATAGGAATTTGGTTAGTAAGAGAATATTCTGCGAAATTGCTATTAAATGCGCAGGCTCATTTAGTATAACACTGGTACCATACAGAAATTAACCTGTCCATATTAAGTCACACAAATGCACACTCGTGAATCTTTTATTATTCGGTATATCATCTCAAACGTCAAAAACATCCACAAATGTATCGAAAGTTGTGTATAGCATGGAATTCTATATTTATCTTCCGACGTTAGCGAGCAAATGAAAATCGTGAAATTTTAACGTCTCTCATTTGTTGCGATCTGCAAATTGGTGCAAATGGTGTTTGAAGTGCCATACGGAGAAATAAATTTGACATTTCAAACATACATATTGAATCATAAAAATAATATATCCACAATATAATCAGTTACTTCTTAACTCTGAAAGATATTGTCAACTACATCACCGAAATACTCTTTAATATTCAAGATTTTTCAAAAACATAATATATACATGACAAAAAATTCATTAGAACTACAATGATGAATTTTGTCCAAATATTTGAGTCAGGTGCGTTCCACTGACAAATATTGGTAATTTGAATGTTGATACTTCTGTCAGCCAATGTAAAATTAGTCTCGAGTATAACATTGAATTATTGGTTTAAGTAAGTCACATGTCCAACAAAAAGCTTCGGGCAAAACACAATAGTGAAAGTATCTTGTTTAAAATAAAAAAAATAAAAATTTGGAATGATATATATGCATTCGATCTATCACAGATTATACAATAAAATCCATCAACTCAATTTGGATTTGAATCAATTCATTCAGGTACAGGAAACTGGAGTGCCCTGTATAACTCCACCGTGTGATGTCACCTTACTTTGTTCCAAAGTTAAGTAATAATCAGTTATGCAAGAGCAGGAATCAGCGGCCATAGTCTTGATCTCTTCGCGTTTTAGAACTCTGTCGTATACTAATAGATTTTCTATGGTCCCCTCAAAAGCCTGATTTGCTTCAAATCCGCCCCCGATACTGTCTTGGTCTTGACCGATTACGATTGCCTGTTGCCCTGTTTCCGCGGGGTCGCTTTCATTACTGTCGTATTGGACTGTATCAAAAAGTTTGCCGTCTAAATACAATTGCACATAATATAGCTCTCTTGCAACCACATAACACAAATGACTTCGTTTCGAAATTCTTAGATCAAAGTCAACCCTTTCCAGGCCATTTGCAGTAGAATGTAGAAACACAGTCTGCCTAGACGATTTTATTTGCACCATAAATTTATCGTTTGATCCACTGGTTGCATGACTGAATAAAGATCCTTCTAAAAAACTCATTCCAGACGGTGGGGTCAACCACGCACATAAAGTCAGTGCATTCAACTGTTTCAAACCTTCTGGATCATTGACTTTTATATAATCATTGACACTCCTGCTTGGGAATTCCCATTTTGTTTGTGGGCATGCTGAAATATTGATAAATATTTATACGTTAGAATCGTGGTTCTCAAAATGGGCGTCGCTACGCACAAGTGATATAGTAAGAAATTTTGATTCTGAAAATGTAACGAATTTTTTGATTTTCTTGGATAACGATTATCTTTCCGGAGTTAAAAAAAACGTTATATATACACTGTCATCCCCTCTGCGACTTTTTGACGTGGCCTTAATAAAGGTAAAATATCGCTCTCGGATAAATGTTCAGACGGTTCAATGACAATTGTAAAAAAAAAAAAAGTACACCCATCGCATTAACTGCGATTTCACTGCCTTTCGTCAAATTTTGTTTGTTCGTTTAAATAAAACTCTTTGCAAAAAAGGTCTTTTATTGAAAGGTATCGAGACATTTTTCACGGGGAGTCGAAACTAGGGCATATTTTTCGTAGGGCGTCACAACACAAGTGAAGTTTGAAAACCACTGCGTTAGAAACAACAGTTGGGAGTAGGAAAGAATATACCAAGATTTGTGTGCTCAATATTTCACCATACCGAGGGTCTGAGAATGCGAAATGTTTTGAAGTTTATAATCAACTTGACTTTGTCTACAAGCTGTCAGTATATATAGAGAATGATTAACTTTAATCTCCTTAGTATCAAAATTTGCATAAAATCGTTGACGATGAAGATATATCCAGATGATTTTTTACAGAGAAAATAAAACATTTGATAGCAAATAAGTTCAAAGTGAATACGAGTCCAACCTTCGCACACAGTAGTGGAAGAAATCTTGAATCCAAATCCACGTTTACAAACACATCCTTGTGAAAATGATGGAGGTTTATTGAATCCGCAAACACCGTTAGTACATGTTAATGTGACACATGCGTCAGCTGAAACAACACCAAGATATTAATTCAAGTTAAAATAACTGAAATAGATCTTTGAAAAACCACCAATCGATATTTGGAAGTTGGAGCATAAATAAAAATTTCTTCAGATGAGCATTCTGAAAATATTTACTACACGATTGGAAGGATTGAAAAATAATCGCATTTTGTCATCTGTTTTTGAATAACGACCATTTTTTCAAAATATACATCTTCAATTTATTGCTTCCAGATTTACTTCTAGATTCTGTAATATGCTGCTCAAGATTGTAACGTGGCATCTGATTTTTACAAGTGCTGAAACTTTCCAATATGTTGAAAAACTACTAAACCGGAATAACGGATGGTGTACTGCCGTAAACATTAAACATGGCCAGAGTCCAAAATTTTAAATAAGCCTTAATTTATTCATTGTTTCAGTGTAATTAATAACTACTGTATACTTACCAACGCAGTTATTTTCAAAGTTCCTAATGTAATTCACGTTGCATACACACACACCTGCCGGTGTAGCCCCACCAAAGTCAATCACACAACTCTCAGATGCTCCAGTACAACTCACACCGTCGCACGGATCTAAAAGCATATGTTACAAATACATATATATACGAAATTTAGGCTGGTATGTCTTTTCCAAATTTTCCTGGGCTTACTGGGACCTGTAACTAGGTTGAACTCTTCAACTCTTTCATCAGTACTTATTCGACTTTCAGTTACAGACTTTGCTCCGAGCAAACTTATTTGAAAAAATAAGCTAAAAAAACGTAGTTGCATAATAATTTTGCTCTAGCTAATGAAATGATAGTAATTAATTTGAATTATTTGATTTGGGCTTTATCTCTCGTCGAGAATAGGGTGCTTTGTCATTCAAAAAGTGTTTTTAGGAATATCAGTTCAAATTCCAATATTTAAAAGCTTCATATAAGTCATTCTAATCACCTGTTCACACGTGTATGCATTTTCTCTTGTTTGAAAGAGCGGAGTAAGAAAATACCATATTATTTTTCACTCTTAGGTTCAGGTATAATTTGTACAAATCCCCAAGTATCATCTATTTTTGACTAATTATCTAATGTTCATTTTAATTTATCACCAAAACATCCTGATTCATCAGTATCGGCGATCTTGTAGAATCCTTCTTTGCAAACACATGCTTGTTTCCCTGTGGCTCTGTTTATGACGAGGCATTGTGAATTAGGTTCACATGGAAGATCTCCATTTGAGCATTTGTCGGCTGCAAAATCAACTTTTAGTCAATGTCACATGTAGAGAGAGACTTATATAATATTTATGATCATAAGGTTAATACACTAAAAACCCAATGTTTTGATTCCAAACCCAAAGTAAATTATAACAAATACAAGTAGTGGAAAGTCTTACTGATACATCCACCAGTGGCAGCAGTCGTAAGCGTAATAGTATTCGTCGGACATGTGCAAACACCTTTTGGTAGAGAAATATCACTCACATCTACAACACAAATTGCACCTGTTCCACATGTGATGAGTGAATTGTCACATGGATCTGTTTGTTGAAAAAAATTAAAGACTTGAAATCGAACTTTAAATATCCATAGCAAGAGCGTAGCCAGCCTAAAATTGGAAGAGGGGAGAGCAAATGTTTTTGTATAATGACGTAATACGACGCTTACCCGTGCATTTTGTTCCGAGCAAGGCTAGATAAAGGCAGCCACTGATATATAAAAACATCATAATATCTTGAGGAATCTCTCCGCAGACTTACTTTGCTTTCGAAGTTATCCAAGGTATACATGCGCGCATTTTCATCCATCTCGGTTGGTTGATTTGGTGGAAGGATTATTGATAGCAAGACAGGAAATGTTAGTTTTTAGAATAGAGTAAAATGGTGTTGGAAAAGGCTTAACAATTCATGTCTCACTGCATGGTTCCTCAGCTGACGAGATATTGGTATCTCTTTATCGCGGTAATAAAATGCAAAGGAAAATGTCAAGCAAATTTTGTTTGTCGATTTACATTTTTCTCTGATTATAAGCACAAAGTGTTCCGATTAAAGTAAAGACAAACAAAATAGTACCAAAACATTCCGTCGTGCTTCCAGTTACGTAGTAGTATCTTTCGTCACATAAGCATTCACCAGATGCCGTACTGGGGTTTGTTATACAACATTTGGTATTTGCTCCACAGTTAAGTCCTCCTGTTGCGCATGGATTTTCTGAAAATCAATATCGACATCTTTAATTCAATAAATTATTTAAAAATGATACTAAATTTAAAACAACTACAGATTGTCTGAATTTTGAATCTAAAAATGAAGAAAAAATAAATAAATCACAAGGTCTATTTTTTACGTAAATAGAAAACTACACATTTTGTACTAAATAGATACTTGAAAGAAATGAAATAAACTATCGTCATCTTCAATCACATTCCCCGAGATAATCCGACCCTGAAGGTTAGAAGAAATCGAGCTAGCTCTATACTAAAAAGTAAGTCTCTGCTCGTCTGCGTACAGATCGGAGTCAGCGATGTATTTTCTTTACAATGGGTTAATGAATGAATATTCATGCTTTTGTGGCACAATCATCAACGATTATTTCGTGTTCGACAACGCTATCTCATTTTAAATGACGATATGATATTTTTTTCATTCAGTATTGCCATTTTCCAATTATTCGACATTGATAAATTTCGCATTGATTATTTAAAGTACAAAGCTGTATGAACTCACAATATTATTTGAGAATTCGTATATTCAACTCGATTAATATACTCACGAACACATGCTCCTGCCGTTGCAGGATTGGGTATATGATTGTCCAGACATATACATTCGTCTTGGTATGTGTCAACATTCCGAACGCAAATTGCGTTGCTCCCACAACTTGGGGCAGAACACGAAGGATCTAAAGAAAAGACCAGCAACTGAATTAACCATCACGTTGATATAACACAAACAATTTCATGATTATTCGATAGATATTTGGTTATTTTCATGAAGAGACCATGCACATGGTGGTTCAGATCCATGCCAAGGCATCCTTATCTGAGGCCCGCATCACAGTTGTTGTTATAGGTAACAATTGGTAGTTTACGCAACCAAAAATCGCATTTGCTGTTGTTTCGTCATAAAAATAATTAGAATGATCTTTTGGCATATTGTCACATTACTAACATCATTGTATTGACTAGTGCAGGGGTCGGCAACCCCGGGCACGCGTGCCAATTGTGGTACGCGGGAGGATTTCTCATGGCACGCCAAGCGATTTGAGCCATATTCAGATATTTATTTTCGTAGTGCGACAAACATTCTACAATTGAACAAAAAATAACAAATCGACAAATTCATTGGAAAAACATGCAATATTTAACTGCAATCGACGAGAGGCCGAAGTCTGTATCCAAAATCGGTGTAGATAAGCGTGTGCAGTCGATCATCCCCCTCCTTTCAAATTTTTGAAAAAATGAAAAAGTCGCAAATACCGCGTGCGATCGCTTTTTGCTAATATTCTTGATTGTTTTTGTCAGCGTGACGTGTTATTTAGGCCGTTAACACTTTAAGTTGGTGTTTATTCTCCCTGAATCACAACAATTATTCCACGACAACGATAATAATTATTTTATTTTTGCCCAGAATTGAAATTCGCCGAGAGTTATTATACAATCAATCGAAACTAAATACAATTCGCCATTAGGCATGTTTATCTCGTATTTTTACATCAAAAGATTGATTAGTATTTCAGACTAATGATGTTTATATATTGACGCAAGAAGACGTAACCGCGAGTTACAAAATTATATCAATATGGAATAAAGTTTTAGATTCTCGTAGCTGTTTCATAAGGGAATGGAAATTTTTGATTTTGAAACACCCCCTTTCGAAAATCCTTACTGCGCGCCTGGCTGATTTTCATCATTTCACCGTGAGCTACATGCAGCCCCAACAAAAACGATGAAATAAAGGCCGCTCCGTTGTATGTGCACCAAGATGGCGGACACCGGAACGTAGAATGTGTACCAGGTTTGGGTTAGGGCATATTTTAATTCCAATTTTCCTTATTTCAGTTCTATTACGAGTTTGGGGACTAGCCAAAGGACTCCCGTAGTATTTGTACCTGAAATTATGGCCTAACCCTAACCTGGTACATACACTACGTTCCGGTGTCCGCCATCTTGGTGCATATACTACGGATGTACCAGAATAAATTTTATCTTCTTTAGTATTTATCGCGATTTCATTGTTTCTTGCTACAAAACTAATCGAGAGTGGCATTAATACCTATTACTTAAGTCGTGCAAAGACAGGAAATGCCGTATGCCGAAATCTCTCGTAAGCTAGTTTCCATGCACGTTATCCAATAAAATGAATTGGTTTCTCATCCGCTTACTATTCAAATCAGGTAGTTGGCTATGCAAACCATACACATAAAAATGTTTGGCACGCGAAGGTGCTCATTATTCATAAACTGGCACGCCGAGTTTAAAAGGTTGCCGACCCCTGGTAGTGTAATGACAAGATGAGACAGGCTAGACAGAAACGATGTTGGTAGGTTAGTTGAATAGCGTGGTTGCCTATTCTAAATTGTCAACTAGATTAAGTGAGTTATTTGATTTAAACAGTCGTATATGACTTGTAATTTCCACAAATTGATTCTATATTTTCGGTCGAGAATATCCGCTGATAACATCTTAATAGGCTCAATTGGCTACGCCTACTGATAGCTGATATGGCAAAATCACATTGTCTTTTTGTAAATATAGCGTAAACAATAGCACAGAAATTACTGCTTGTATGTCAGAAAATTTGGTAAATATCGTTGCGATACCCCTGTACCTCACATTTGCTGAAATTACGTTATCGATCAGTAGTGAGTAGTTTTGTTATCAAGAGTTTGAAAAAAAAACGACCAATTCAAACAGATTATATTATTTTATTAACAGATTTGGAAGGAAAAGTACTTGTTTGTGAAAAACAAAAGTAAGTAGGTAAGTTGGTATGTAGGCAAGTTGTTTCGGTGTAAAAAAATTAAAGGTTTGCTTTGAGAATATTTTCGATGTGTATTTATATTTGCAAAAGCACTTTCTTCGCTATGAGGAGACTGAAGCCTAATTTATACAAAGAGCAAGTTGGAAGACGAAACGTTAGATGTCTGTTACTGACTGTCAACGACTAACATAAATGTTGATATAGATTCTATATTATAAAACGATTGATTAATGATATATAAGTAATTATCAAATGCATTTGTACATTAAACGATTTTGTTTTATAAGTGTAGTCTACCTATTTTTGGCACTAATGTGGCTCTCGAACAAACAAAAATAATATCGTGGACCCAGATGCCGACCACCTTGGACTCCCTTGTCATAGCGCATTTACGAGATTTCTGAAATGTTCGTATCGATTATGTTAATCTGGGTCTTGCAGTTGACGAAGCGAGCGGCGTAATTTCTTTATGTAAATAATTCGCAAACCTGCTCTGCACGATATGGGTTTGGCGTTTACAGCTAAAACATTCGATGTCAACAGACAATATAGCCTACATTTGACGTCATTGAAGGCTGTTCATTACTGCACAAAATTAAGATTGAACGCGTCTGAGATGTATTGGAACGAGTATTAAACTGACTACTAATGCTGACGCAGTCATATCGATCAATTGCGATCAAATTGTTGTGCGGTGTGACTTTTGCTTTGACTTAATCGAACATATATATATATTTGTTTCTGATAAAGCACCTCGATCTTACTTTCGGCAAAGTAAAAAAGAAAAAATAACCTACAGCTGCAGTCATCTCCTTCATTAGGGCTTGAGGGTAGATAGTCCCCTTCGCACCTACATGTGGGTCGATTCAGATTGGAGTCAAAAACACAGCACGCATTTAGTCCGCAAGTAACGCTGTCACATGCATTATCTAAAAAGTATGAATCATGCTCAATAGATTTCAGTACCAAACAAGATTTTCAACTCAATAAATATTCAGTTTCATTGTGCGTTCTTTCAGCTAATTTATAATTAACCCATAAAACTAATGAATAATTGTAATATGAATTTTTTGAATAGAATTATTTTGAACAGTAAATACAGTTTAGCCGATTAATTAGACTGTAGAGCTCTATTTGTGGAATTGTAAGCAGTTAGTAATTAGAGTTGAAGTATAATAACACTCATCAAATCCACCTTGGACGCAAATTGGTTTTGCAGGATCAAATATGTAACCTTTTGCGCACACACATTCTTCGAAACAGCTTCCTTCATGAACTACACAAATCGTGTTCTCAATTGTACAGACTTTACCACTTTTGCACGTTTGCTCTGAAATCATGTAAGTTATGGAGAATGATATTTGAATAAAATTGTCGCACAATCATCACGTAATATTTTTATGCCATTTGGAAAATCTTTGGACATGAAATAGTAATCACAGAAAATACAGCTTCATTTGGATCTATTGATCGAAGAATTGATGTTGGTATCATACGTATGTAGACACTGACTTAAACTTTTTTTTAAAAATTTTAAACCCAAAGTCCTGTCAAATTTTCGTTAAAATAAATGATGATTGGAAATTTTAAAAAGAAAAAATATATATTCTTGGTTTGGCGTCGTCTGCAAAAGCAACATTTCCTGTGGCCTATGCAGGCCTAATTTTAAAAGTCAGCTCACCGTTTGAAGGTTCTATGGAACGGCATACTTCGCACAATCCCGGTAGAAGCTGCTGGCAAGAAACATCTTCAAGCCAGCCGTAGTCGAACCAATCAGGAGTTAATTTTGCCATTACACAACTCTCCGAAACGTCTCCTGGATGGCCTGGTGACCATTTTGCCGCCGGTCCAGACACGTCTATAGCGACCTGAGTGACACGCACATATCTAGTAATCAAGTTAGGCAGCCCTAGTATTAAGCGTCTGTGCGAACAAGATTTTAGATATGCAACCGTTGATATTAGCTACTGCATTCTGAAAGATTTAAACATTTATTTATGATCTTCTACGCTCAAATTTGTAATTAAATAGTCGAATTGTTCCTTTTTAAGGTACACTAATTTTTTATTTCCATCTGTTGAGAGAAAGTTCGAGAGAACTCAACTAGAAGCAAAAAACTTACATTTGCTCAAAATAAATAAAGCCCATCATTCCAGTTTTGAAGGGAATATTTAATATTTTTATATTACAAAAGCAGCACTATTTAATCCATTTATCTTCATCGATTTCGGCATCTTGCTCTCAAATATGCTGCTGCTGGGGAACGATGACTTGGTAATGGATTTGTTTTAACAGTGGAATAGCCATTTAAAACAAAGATATTCAAAATGCTGGAAGCGCATTTTAGTAAGTCATATATTTATTGATAGAAATGTTTCTAACTCTTTTCATTTAATTAGAATTTTGATTTAGAAGTTCAGATATCAGATAAGAGATGGCTAATTGCTTATACTCGTAGTTTTCACAGATGGTTTTCAAGTTCAAAATATTGTAATTAGTCATATAAATCGCTTACTCCGCGTGCTAAAAAATTCGTTTCCATTTTTTCAAATCCCGTAAAAACACCAGTCAGTATTTGTCCATTTTGAGTAAAATGGTATAGAAGTTTCCTGCAAAGCACGATTTTAAATATTTTTTCAAACAATTACGTTTCCATCGGAAAATAACATATAGAATGTTAAAATATGTTCAATGGGTTGCTAGAAAAATTAAATAACAGTTTTGCAATTTGTCGGTAAAATTCATGATTAATCACAATAGTGGAGTAAATACCTGGAAAATATACCGATTTATTAAGCTTTATGTATTTACTGGTAGGATGGCTTATTGGACATAGAAAGTTGACTGTGATTGCAATAGTTATTATAATAGATAATTGGTGCCAACGACTCAACGAGCCTTTACGAAGTTGTTATGCGAAGTCATGAGATAACATAATATATATATTTCATTTACTTGAGGTTGTTTCCATTATTTATTGCATCAACCGCAAGAACTCCTCCTTTTTGTTCGCAAAGTATTTCACTAACGTGTTGAAATGCCGGAGGAATGATGAAGTATTCGCAATTGTTTTTTGCAATGAATTTTGGTACCCGAGCAGGATAATCTAAAGAAAAATTTACTTGAAAATGAGTTAAAAATGATTCATATTATTAATTAGTATTCCACTTTCATCGCACGCATACGCTGGTGTCTTTTGAATCACAATATGAAAAAGTTTCTGAACGCTCATTGAAAGACATTTAAACTTTCATCGCGCCATGCTTGAGTTATTATGCTCACAATCCGGAATACGTCATTGATGAAACTTTATAGGTTTGTTAATTCAATACAATACTGCGTTTGCAATTTTCTATATGCATAATCTATTTTCTTTTTAAAGGGTCGCAACTTCACTTAGAGGCAACTTTCTTGAAAATTTTTGAAATCTCACCTATTGGTATCTCACAGAGAGCCCGAGATAATATTGTACAAGCTTCATCTTTGAGAAATCCGTCTGTTCTAAGCAACGCACAGTCTTGGTTATTTAGGTCGTCAGGTTGGGATGGTAACCACGGAGTATAAACTTCATCGGCTAACGCCTGACAAAAGTATATTTAAATATATCTACGAATTCGTAAAAAAAAACATAAGGTTCTACATTGAGTTTGAAAAATTGACAGTTCTGTATCGATGTCTTTAAATAAAATCACAAAGTTAAATATATTGTGGTGATTTTTTAGTTTGATATACTAAAATTTGCTTTACTTTTGTCAATCTCATTTGGACAAAACTACGCAATGAAAGAACTATGTAACAAATATTGTTATCTTGGCCATTTTTGATTTATTTTGTCGTATCATAAACCAATTAAATAGTTTTGTTCACAAAACATTCAGGTTCCTTTCTCACCCCGTCGTTCCAGTAAAATGTTCCTTCTGTATCTCTGTCTGTGAGCCCCACATAAGTTCCACCGAACGCGGCGGAATTTGCAGTTCTAAATAGTGTGAAATGAAAGTACAGTACCTTTACCGACTGTGAAATTTTTCATGAAAATTGTGTATGTATGTATATATATATATATATATATATATATAGAAAAATTTGCTTCCGTGATAAAGAATTCCTTGTTTTCAAAATTCATGTTTTTTGTTGTTGCTTAAAACCAGTTTCTTATTCAGAGGAAACGTGTTAATTGTATGAGAAACTTATTTGCCAAGTGCAACTTTCACTGTGAATTTTGGATTGAAATTAATTTTTATTAAGAGTATAAGTATCCTGTTAACACATCTAAGTATAATGCATTATGCTCACGTACAACCAGTTTGGATCACGTGGTCCATAAATTGCGAGATGGCCGCCATTTCTTTCGCAAAACAACTGAGCTGAGATATAATTGTAAACTTCAATAGTTTTCAAGTATTGGTATCCATTTCCACCGTCAGTAAATTCAGGCTTGATCAAACCTGAACATTAAATATTTAATCGCATATGAAAAATAAAAAAGAAGTTTCCGACAGTTTTTAAATATAATATATTATCTAATTAAATTCTGTAACTCAATTCGGGCAAGATAGTTTAAATTTACATATACAAATTCAGTTACAAGATGAGATGAAACCGGCAATATTATCATAAAGGATATATTATGAATAATTGATCAATTTTTCAAATATGTTGGTGCTGTTTCATTACGCTATTTATTTTCAGGCAAATGTGAACCACGTAAAACCATTATCTTAGAAGCATCTATCTGTTTGTTGGAGTTACCTCTTTGCAATTCACCGAACAAACAATTTGAATGGTGCATGTATAATTCGTAGTAATACCATTCATCTCAACGAAAAACGACAGATCCTGTTTAATTCTTACTGTTTGCTATAGAAAGAGATCTAGACCGTTAAAAAGCATGTCTTCCGGGTTGAACGATTGGCTGAGGACACATTCCGCTGGATTATAAATATTAATTGCATCCATAGATAACTTTTGCTATACATTCTTACATAAATCGCAGTTTGTTCCAAATTTATCGTCCGCACAAGCACAAACTTGACCATCGGGAGTATTATGACACACACCATCACATCCTGGACAATCTTCGCAAGTCAATGCGGTTGCACCTGTAAAGTTTTCAAACATATTGCATTTGTAAAAACGGCACAAATTTGATACAAGACTAGATGCTGGTTATGGCTCTAACTTTGTATGAGTGAAAGATCAAGAATAAAGCAAGAGATAAAATGCTTACCTTTGAACACATTGGCAGCAAACATCGAACAAACGAATAACATAGGGATATGCATAGCTGTTTTGAAACGACTCAATTACAAACTAGTTAGTTGAGATAGTTTCTGGTGATAAAATATACAAATGTCATAAGTTGGACAGAAATAATCAAATAGAAGTAAAAGTCAATTTTTGCAATGTCCTTTGCCCAACTTTGGCAAGATTTCATGATCACTGTGCTGCCATCAGACGGTTTAAAATGAATTCACGGGATCGGTGTAAAATTTATAAATAATAAACATCATTATATTATTTATCCCAAAATGATTTAAACCAATCAAAGAAGAATTCCATCTGATATATACTTATAGTCCAATGGTTCCCAACTTTATTTCTGAATTACCCACATCCGATTTAAAAAGGGTCTTCATTCCCCACATACTAAACCCTTCAATAAATTTTGATAGGACTTTGTTTAATTGAGTGTAGAAATCAAGACCTTTAGTCAGTTTGGAGGTTTTGTTTTGAAGCAAATATTTTTGGGAAAGCTAGTGGATATAGGAAAACGTTGCGATGCACTGCTTTGATTAACTGCCCATGTTATCGCCCCTCCGTAATTATATACGCGCAACAACACGTTTATAAAAACTTTCTTCAAAAGCTTAGGTACTTGTTGGCACTATGGCCATATTCCTTTGCTTTGTGTTATTATGTTTTCCATAGTGTAAAAATATTTTTACATTGTGTTCACTGCGTGTATTCATTTACAAGTTCGATTATTCCCCACTAACAAACCTTCAATTTTTTCCAAGTGGGGAATTACCCACCGGTTGGGAATAACCGGCCTTATCAAAAGTTATTGGGTTGTGAACTTATCGTTTTCTGCAAAACTGACGATCTTACCCCGACCACCTCATAAAAGTTGACATTGCACGAACAATGCGTCATCAGAAAATGCTAATTGATATTTATTTTAGAAAGTTCACTTTGAGTTTATACGAATACCGGTACTTGTGTAAATGCCTTACTGCCTTCTTATCGATATACAATGCAACACAAGAATATTATTAGTTCGAAATGTTTAAAGATTTTAACCAACTGGTATCAAGATTATTCCTGAATAAATATATAGTGTCTGATTGTTTTTAACTGCTCTTTTCATCGCCGTTTCTTCTTAATGTGTGAATTATTCAGGCATTATTACATGGCGTGTTCCATTCGTTGCCGATTCAAATTGCTTAGCCAAGTTACCCCCGAAATTTTATTTGTGGCTTTGTAATAATCTCTTCCCTTTTTTCTGGCACACTATCAATTTCACGTCATTTTTTTTTAATTGAAAAACCTACCGTCAACAGTCAACACTATTCTGACTATTATTTTCCATCGTCCAACCCAAATGATATTGCAAATACTCACTCTTTGACAAAATGAGGGTGGTTTAATACATTCTTTATATACATTATACAACAGTTTCATCATGGTTGCATACCACACCGTCTTGTTCTCTATACAAATACTATTCCATGGATTATTTTCATCAATTTGTTTCTCATATATTCAATCTGTATGGTTCCGGTTCCGGTTGCTCCGATTGAAAACTATTGCCGGAAACGAGATAGGAGTGATGAAAAGACTCCGGTGAAAATGTCTGCTACCTACTCGTGGAATTAAATATCATTATTCTTACGCACAATAGTCAGAAGCTTCATTCAAAATCATTTGATTCCAAACAATTCAACTATAGCATGAAGTCTATTCATTACATTCGTTTGTGATTTGGAAATGCAATTAGTATATCTATATCATTCAGTATCATCATAATTCTTGAATTAAAGGAAAATGGGAAAACTATTGCCGGAAAACGAGATATGAGTGATAAAAAGACTCAGGTGAAAATGTCTGCTATCTTTACTCGTGGAATTAAATCTCATTATTCTTACGCACAATAGTCAGAAGCTTCCTTCAGAATCATTTGTTCCCAAACAATTCTAATATAACATGAAGTCTATTCATTACATCCATTTAGTATTTGGAAATACAATTAGTATAGAGCTCATTTATAATCATCATAATTTTTGACAATTCAAATGCTATGCCTCAAATGGAAAAGAAGAAAATTATAATACTCGGTTTACATGTCACGAGGCAACTTTAAGTATTATTCAACTTTAGGTATATCAGTGCCTACCCTCCCGCCTATCTTATCAAGTAAGTTTTCAAGCACAAATGGTCTGAATTAAAGGTAATTACAATCGACAACCACATTAATACAAAAAATACTATCAGAGATTTCAATGAAAATTGACTTGACTTAAAATCCAACCCAAAAACATATTTTTTCCGCCACGCTTCAACTCAGGATGATTGCACATTCAGGTATTTTGCAAGATCCTAACCTGTAGATTTGTAAGGTATGGCCATCTAAGTAGTGGTATTCTCAAGTTTTAAGTTTATTATGACATCCAGATATAAATATATATAGTAACAAATACGAGTACGCTATTCAAACATGATGACGTAAAAAAGTATTAGCAAAATGAATAAACACATTTTCCATGTTAACTCTTTTAACGACAAAATACAGCTATTGTGCATTCTTCGAGAAAACAAATAAGAAAATAATGAACTCTTGTGGCCACCACCAAGCCCATAGAGTATAATGAACTAGTTAGGAAATTCTGAAACGGAAAATAGGATCTACTGAGCATTATTAAATGCCTGTCTAAAATATTGTTAGGCGTCGAAATGTGGGACATCTTATAAAAAAAATGTGTTATCAGAGATTACCGTAGTATATTGTATACGAGTATATATTGTATTGTCGTATGCCACTTAAAAATAGATCGAAACCTGTACAATTTAGTGCAAAAATTACAGATTATTAGATGAAGTGAATGAATAAAATATATATTATATTGCTTAAAAATCAGTAGTTTTTGATCAAATAAAAACTATATAAAATACCAGATTGAATAAATGATGATATAAAATTCTGAAAACAAACAAAAAACAATGGCATCTAAACGTATTTTAATCCTTTTATTATAATATCAGTAGAACACAGAGACACATTAAAGTTTTCATTCCATCCTTTTTGTAACTTTAAAAACAAAAGGCAAAACGATTCAAAATATTTTTTACGACAGAACGCGTGAGAAAATGCTTTAACTTGTTGATTGTTTTTACTGATGTCCCAGTTCAAGCAGGAATTTTGAAGTCGAATATAATCCTCAACTTACAATAATAATGCAACATTCTCTGCATATGATATAAAACATCAAAACATAATATATATACATTTAGTCTTCTGTTTGACTAAATCGGATAGATATTTCAACAACTATATTTCTTCAAATTTGATCTTGAAACGTGGCGGAACGTAAACGATGCCATATGTTCCGTCATCAAACGATGGTATTGTTGTTTTGTCATCTGCTGACAAGTTGAAATTCTGCACAATGTGGGTGATGAAAATGAATAACTCCATTTGTGCTAATTGCTCGCCTGCACATCCTCGCTTTCCAATAGAAAATGGATTACAGTATTTTGACTTCATGAAAGAACCGTCAACCGGATTAATGAATCGTTCCGGACGGAACTCCTCAGGATTGTCAAAATATTTCGGATTGTTGTGAACGACCCACATCGCAGCAAACACCTAATACAAGAATTTGATTTGATTTATTGAAATTGAAACGTGCTTGAAATTGTTTGTTGAAGTTTTAAGATTAATCATTATTTATTTTACCGGGGTATGCTTTGGTATCTTGTATCCTTTCACCGTAATTTCATCAGTGGTGCACACGTGTGACTGGGCAGCCATAATTGCTTTCCTCATAACTTCGTACAGGAAGGCAACAGTCTTCGGCATTTTTTCACGGTGGCCCATCGTCACAGCGCCGTGTTCTCCTAGAAATAAAACCAGTCAATAAGAATTTTCAATATATACTTCAAATATTTACTCCCTCATAGTTGAGTAAATTGAAACTAATCTGAATGTACTTGAGACAACTCAAAGTATGAAACAATACCGATAAATTATTCATCAGAATCATTATAAGATAAGGCTAATTCTTAACGTACCAACAACTTCTTTAATTTCTTCTCTGATTTTGTCTTGCCAGTCTGGATGTGAAACGAGACCAACTAATATCCAAACCAGCGTACAAGAAGTGGTTTGCGCTCCTGCATCTAGTAGATCACGAACAGTCACGATAAGTTGTTCTTCCTAAATGACAACAAACGTTGAGTCACATAAAAACAATATCTATTCGATCAAAACGAGTTTGATATAAATCACATTAAGTTCAATGCAATATAAAATGCAAAATTTCTAAATCAATACAATGGTAGAGAAATATCGAATACTAGGAAAAATCAAAATGTAACTTTTTACATATTATGCTATTAATTTACTTTATAAGTAAGATGATCATCGTGACGATGGCACACTGGTAGCTGTGTGGTTGAAAATGAGTAAACATTTAGAGAAAAGTAGATATATCTTGGCATTTGAATTGGCGTACAAATGTTGACGCTTTAAATCGGCAATAACTGCTTTTGAAGTAAGTCATATCTTACTGTAAAAGTTCTGTCGTGTCTCTCTTTTTTCGTTTCTTCGATAAAAGCGTCAATGAAGTCCCGGATGTCGTTTTTATCGTAGGTTAGTTCGTGTTCGTGAATGTACTTTTTGATGGTGTCTGCCGTAGGGAATAAATTAAAGTGTATTTTAAAACTAATGCTGAATAATTTTAATGTTGAAAGAAACAAATTTCAATCTTTCAAAAAATAGATACGATGTTCGCAAACAGAATTATATATTAAATATATATATCATTATTATATCACAATACACACCTTGAACGTAGTCAAAATCGGAGACGAAATTTTTAACAACTTTACGAAAAGGTGGAATATGTCTCAGATATGCACAATATCCCAACAAAATTACGAAGTCACCATCGTCTTGCCACCTGCATTGCAGAAATTGCCATAGGAGTTTAAAAATGTACACTGAACAAAACGTACTTCCTGTTTTAAAAAGGTAAACTATATACAGTAACCAGGAAGTATGAGATGACAGGCCGTTGGTTGAAAAAAAAACATTGGAAGGTTTAAAATGTATTTGAAAGATAATATTTGTTAAAATGTATTTGGTTATAAGTTTAGCGCAATGAATTTACAATTCTTACCCCCTCACTAAATGTTGAACGAGTTTTTTGAAATCTTCGTCATCAAAGGCAAACCTCTGTCCCATACAAAATAATGCGGCAACATTGACTGCCATCAAAAGAAACATATCCTGAAAATTCAGATTATTGATGTTAGCTTCGATAAAATAAAATGACTTTTTCACCTTATTTCTTTCATTTCGATGTTAACAGTCAATTTTGAACTGCGCGTCTTTCAGTTTAAAGAGGAAAATAAACGTTTTTGACAAAACTCAAACAAACAAAATAAGCGATGACAAATATGATATTTGGGTAATATTCCAGCACATTCATTTTATACCTTTGGATCGTACGGATTTCCGCCTTGCTTTTTCAGTTCTGCAATCATATTAGACGATTCATCAAGAACTCTGCTCTCTAAAAGCTTTTTTCCCATTCCAAGCCTGTTTTGTTTTCAAATTAAATATGGATCTCTCATTTAATTTATATGCCCTTTTTTAACTGCATGAAACCATATACATATAATTAATAATAATTTATATAAAAGAGGGCATTTACGTTGGATCCAACATCTCGTTACTAATAATCACAGCATTTTTCATTTTGCAAGGTTCTGGCAATCTTAAATTTGTTTTGTCATGCAAAAATGGAAATATATTTCTAGTGAAATTATTATTATAGCAATACCTCATGTTAAAAATAGGCACATGACATTGGTCTGGGAATTTCCGTTTCGGCTGCATTTACTTATATAAAATATTATTATTATGTGTCATATTATGAAAATGGTATTGTGTGTTTCAATCTCGCCAACTTGTTAATAAAAGTATGGATAAAAAAACAAATATTTGGCAGTATCTAATAAATTGATTCCATGAATTACCCAGAATGATTTCACATCTTACAAATTTTATATAGCTAATACATAATTCAGCAGACTTACTTTCTTAAAGTATTCACAACAAATGGTCGATGCACTGTCCAAACTCTTGGTTTGGCAAACAATATTCCATGGCCCTTGGAACAAGCGTCAAGTATAGGCAGAGGTGGCCTGTTTTCAACTTTGTTTCCTTGTTTTATGAGAACCTATTGAAATGAAGCATAATATGCGAACTGAATATTCTTATTCATTTTATTAAGTCTATTTGGAGGAGGTTATAAGTAAGGGGGTTATAAGTATTTGCCATAGGTATCAGTTTACCGAGAATATTTGGAATTTCTTGCCTGGAGATGATATACCCATTAAAATATTATTGGTGCCGAAATTGAGTAACATTGTGCAGTATTAATATCACGATATGTAAAGGGTGTAAAGTTATCTCTTATGATATCACTGCTCGTATACAACCTTTATTTCTACATGGGTTAAAACGTTTTGTCACCAGACTAATCTGACAAATCTTTGGAATAGATTGGCTATTATTATTTCATTGTTTATTCACTGGATACTTGAACAAATTTTCAAAACTGTAAAAATTGAATAATATTTTACACATAATACAAATACAGACCTCGTGGATAACGTCATAATCGGTTAAAACCAGGTAATCAGAAGGTCCGACTCTTGCAGAAAATACATTTCCATACTCTTTGCTCCACTCGCGAAACCTTTTTGCCGAATGACCTCTAAGAAACGGTATAACTCCAAGCAAAGGAACTCCTTTTGGACCAGGTGGCAAACGACTATCTCTTCGATACCAGTATAAGCAGGACAGCACAATTACAGCGAACGCAACTAGGATACTTATCATTATGCCTTTAACGTTTTTGCTTTTTGCAGTAGTAAACGAAATTAACGGGAAACAGTTAACAAGCTGCTGTGAATATTTGTAGCAAGATTTAAATGAAATGTTTTTAAAGTCCTAGAGTAGCAACTGACAAGTATTTCAAAGTTGTTTTTACTGAAGCTTCGATGCCAGATTCTGTTATAGTGTTCGTATGTATCTATTCCGTTAATGCATACATATAACCTATATAAAACACCTATTTCTCTGACTTGGTAATTTAGTTTACTATTCTAGTAAATTTTAATCGTGGTAACAAATAGCATGGGCTAATAATACCATACTCATTGGCATATATCCAAGTTAGCTCGTGAAAACTTTCCGTCTTTATTTCAGGGAAAATATTTCGTTTATTTGCTCCCTGTTGATTGAAAATCTAGTAGCACTTTGGGGTTCTAAAAATAACAACAGGGCAAAAAAGTTGCAGTTACTATTCCTAACGCTGTTTGTATAATTTGCTTACTTGTTGCGGTTCCCTTTATCCAAGCGTGAATAGTTGGTTCGCGGCATAAAACGGCATCAAAATAGCGTTCATTCATGATGTTCTATACGCATGGTCCGTATATATATTTACTAAATGATATATTTCGATATACGGAAATTCATCACGTTAGCTTTTAATGAATCATGAGCTAAATACTTCCATTATCCATGATACACTTTGTCAAAATATACCAATACAATATGCGGAAGCTTTTAAAATATTAACCAAAATTATTCTAAATAGCAGCTGCAACAAAAAGTTTTATCCCCAAGCATAGATTTGAATAACTCGTAACAGCTTTTTTATATTTCCCGCTGATTCAAAATTTACGATCTTTGGTCATTGCTATTTAAAACAATATGAAATCGTATAAATTCTGATTCATGTTTTCTTATGCTCGGATTTTCGAATGTAGCTTTCCGCTCATTAGAATGCCGACCGCCGCTGTTTCAAGTTTCATCAACATTGAACGCAACTTGTTTCGTTTTTAACAATGATTTAATCAAATGTATATTGTAGGATATCATCATTGTCGCCAAAAACCATGAACACTAAAGTAACTCTATACATAAGTTAACAGTGCTGTACCTCAAATATGAAAAAAGGACCTACTTCATGTTCAACTCTTTCTAATCCCAATCTGTTTCTTGGGCACAGCTTATCTATTCATTATTAGATGATATACCAGATATGCATAACAACTAATTTATAAAGCTTTCACGCAGCAGTTAGATTATCTACCATACTCGCCTCCGGTGTGTCAGTTGGCGATCATTAAAACGTGATCAGACGTGTTGTTTATGGTCTTATTTATTTAACTAGATAGTTACATGCATCATGCATAATGATAAATTATTTTGCTAAAAATATTAAAAAAAGACAATACAAAGTATTCATTTTCTCATCACGATGATTCACTCTCTAACAAAGTATAATTATAGAGTTGCTACGATGACGACAACGTTTGCGAACGGTATTTTCAACACTAAGGAGAAATGTTTTGCTTGCGATGACAGAAAATATCACACAGGCATATTTGCTTTAATCAACGGTGGGACGTGGCACAGATTTTAAGATGAAACTACCCGGAGCGAATAATACTACAATTACTCAGGTTTAGTAATGTTATTTCCAACATTCCATTCATCATTCAATTTCTTGCAGATATTTGTTATACATTTCTAAGAACCAAAAGTAGATAGCTATTTAATGCGATAGTTTATCAATCGCTAATGATCGATTAACTGAATGACACACACGTTTCCACTGGAAATATCAAAACTGAAACTTGTTTTAGTTTTACTTTCTACTGGGCATTTCCAGACGATAACTTGTTGCGTAATATGACGCAAGGCGCGATAGTAACACATTACGCGTTTCTTCGCTTTGTCCGTGTTATTTTTACACTGATCATAGACTTTATGAGTTCATTCATTCAAAATTTGTCGCATGCTGGCGGTCAAACAAATCAGGCAAGCTTACTGATTGCTTGTAGACGATCGGTCTCTCAAAATTCAATTCTATGCTAATCTTTGATACAGACTAGTAAAGTATAATTCCGTGAAAGAAGAAATTTTCTATTTCCATAATTTTCAAAATTAAGTGCGAACAATTGGGTGGTTAATCCCCAGGAATGCGCGCAAATACTAGGATTTCACTAAATTGCCCTACTAACCATAGGATTGTTTCGGAATTTGAGCAAACCCTTGATCACAGATTCAAGCACATTAGAGAAACCTATCAGACGCTGTAATTCGTATCGCTAACCATGTGCATCAGGAAAGCAGTATATCGTCATTTTGAGCCGTAACGTTGCAGTTCCGATAATATCGACATGATTTAAGAATACTTTAAGTTTCTTATTTAAGTTTTTCGATTGAAAATCGGCGTAATGTACTTTTTGCCTCAACGATTATCGATATCACAGGGCTGTCATATCGAAACAACGCAGAAAACACCAAATTTTCATTTACAACATTTTTTCGAAAATATTGGCAAGCAAATAAACAAAGTGTCAACCGTTATTTTGAAATTAATTACTATTGATTACGCGGAAGTACTCAAAACTAGGTGATCTGGAAGTACTTGAAACCGACTGGGCTATTGACTACTCTAATCCAATTGATCCGCGAAGCGAATGACACTCGAGTTCAACGAATTCAAACTCATTTCGACGAATTCTTAATATGCACACACGTTCTCGGCTATGACTGCTGCAGAATTCTCATTTATTGAGAACACGAAATATTGAAAGCAACTTCCGGATGTACAGTAACATATTCAACCTAGAAGAATTTGAAATTTCATTGGTCTCTTTAGGAAATATTAGTACAGTTAGTAATCCTGATGTGTTTTAAACTGAAAACATTGTGATATATAAAAAAAAAATGCAAATGAACGTTAACTTGATTACAAAGCTGAAGATGGAAATACTTAAGCAGGTGCCAAACCACATCGCTTTTTACTATCGAAAATCAAAATACCAGAAATTCCCGTTGCCAGGAAAAAAGCTTGGTTGGTCGCGCGTGGTCGTCACAATCTGTTACATTAGTAATGTAGGAATATTCAAGGCTGCTCCCGAAATATTCGTACCAAGATGGCGCACAACCTGAACATAGTATGTGTACCAGGTTGGGGTTGTTCAGGTTGTGCATCATCTTGGTACGAATACTTCCGGAGCGCCTATTCAAGTGCATCTATTTCTATGTGGTGTAGCTAGCGTTTAGACAGTCTCTGAACTCATTGATGGGTGCTTCACACATTTGCTCGAAACAGGGCTCCGGAATTTATTGATGGAAGTTCTTATTAAAGGTGTTATTATTCAGCTTTTTGAAATATCCACCAACAAAAGCTAGAATAATCAATACATATATATGCCTAATTGCAGCTATTGTATGCTTCAATAAATATTATACATTCACTAAATAGATAGAAAACTAGATAGAAGATAGAATATTGGCATGAATAGAGAATTTTTAGTATTTTATGCATATTGTGACGTATTTTACATATTGCTGGAATCGAACATTTGATGAATTACCAATTTGTTGATTAGTCCCGATAAAAATGAAGATGAACTTAGATGAAAAAATAATTCTCGATGGCGAATGTGATGGACTGTGAGACGATCGAGTTGTAGTAAATGCAGGAAATGTAGTAATTTGGAACAAAATCATCAGTCTGACTTCCAGCCAGGCCTCCTACAGGTAAGCTCCGCCAATAAGAGTGATGGGAATAAATCGCCCATTGTGGCAATTATGGAAAGATGAGAAAACCTTGTGCATCAATCTCCGTTGCCAATATGGACATGTAAGTGACCTTCGTTCTAGAAAAGCATGAACAAGCGTCAAGCAAGGATTATGCATCACCATTCCATAACCTCTACTCAAGGTTAACGCATGATATTAACTATTCTGTGCTATTATTAGGACCTCATTCTTGGTCTTTCTCAAACATTCGCGACTTCTCTCAATTATTGCCAATTGCCGCCGGCCAATCTCAATAGAGGCGATGTAAACAAACAATCGGGCCTGAAATTTCATACCAGCATGTTTTCTTCTGCCCACCTTTGTCTCAGAAGACACGGGTATGCTCAGTGTAGGATTTGTGAGTTGTGGGATCGTGCAGCAATCTCTGTTGTCATATTGAGTCCAAACCGAATTAGTTCATGAGATGCGTGAAAACTATTCTATGAGACATTGAATGCCCACCTCTGTGAGGAAATGACTCACGTATTACACACTAGTATAGATACTTCCTCACCCTAGCAATATGGCCTGGCTCGCCATATCAGTTTTTCAGAATGATCTTTTACAAATTTGAAATGATTTTGTAAGTAGAACAAATGAAGCGGGGTTAGTGAAAATTTTGCGAAAAGCTTGTGGATTTCCAAGTTTTACATTGGTTTATGCACCCTCGATGTCGTGGTCGCTATCGGGATCTGCCTCTGTCATGGTTGCTCGCACAATTAAACTCAAATTACTTTGAAGAGTATTGTTCAGTCTCCACGAAAATGTCAGATTTGAACTTTTTTCAATTATAAAACTACTGAATCAAAAACGGCCGAATTCGGTTGCTAATTGAGAAAGATTGTTAATGTACGGTAATCATGGTTACCGAATTTTTCGGACCATAAGGCGCACTTTGAACCTTTTTTCATCAAAAATCGACCGTGAGCCCTATAAGCGGTGGTGCACCTAGGTGCTTTATTGCTTATACGTTGGCTTCCTCATAACTGGGTCATTTGCCTTCAAATTTCAATCGCGAGTTACATTAGTTACCAAAAGATTCGTTTATGCGAACGCTGGGCATTATATCAGAAAATCTGTCACCAAGGTGGCTGTACCTGTCGACGATGAACAAATGTCACCTCATTGCACATGTACAGTTCCTTGAAATTGACCGTGGATATTTAATTAAAGCAAGTTACAGGATGTATTCTGACAGAAAAACACATCCAAACAGCTCACATGGATTTCATGCAGATGGAAGGTTTACGCATAACATCAGCAATGCATTTTTCTCGCTACATAATTAAGTCGAACA